TAAAATAAATATATTACAATTAACACTATCACAATAATCATAGCAAAAATAAACTATCTAAATATAATTAATCAATAATTATAGGTCCATAACATGATCAATTCATCACAAAATTAATTAAAAAAATTATAATTCAATTAATCAATTATGTTGCCTAAATTAAAAATAAAATGCAGCTACTTGAACCTCTTATAATACTTTTGAACAAATTTTAATATATCTACCTTCTACCCTAGATAAATGTGATTTGACTATTGAAATATCTCCATGATAGTTAGAGTTTTGTTCAACATGATCCCAAAATGCATCTTCTTCTTTTCTTTTTTTTCTTTTTTTTTTCATCTTTCCTTGTTAGCCTATATATTTATTTATTTTTTCATTTTTCCCTATATATTTATAATAAATGCATAATTATATGGTGTGATACTTGTGAAAATATCTTTATATTTTACTAAAACATCTAGTGAATGTGTTGATTTACAAACTTCCAAAATAATAATAATAATAATAAAGACACTAACAAAATTTAAAAGATCTCCGAACAAAACAAAAAATTTATAAATGTCTACAAACATTAATAAAAATTTATGATTCTTCAAAATTATAGTGTTTATATATGTGTGTTTCATTACTTTGATTAAAGATCAAGTATTGGATTGACAATAATAAGCGATTAAAAAAAAATAAATAGAGTGATAGTAGAATAACTGAGGGGTAACAGCCTTTTCTGAAATTGCACTACAAATAGTATTATTTTGATAGTGTGAAAGAAAATGGTTGTACCAAACAAAAGACGTAATTTGAGTTAAGAATGTGTATTTGAAAAAAATATAATTATAAACGTGAACGAAATAAAAAAAAACAATTAAAGTTATCCTAAAGTATAAATACGAATTAAACGGGGTAAGCAAAATGAATAAATGTGTTGCATATGGGTGATGAAAAAAAATATATATTTTATCGTATCTTTCAATTCTATTCGATAAATAAGAATATTTTTCCAAAATTCATATGTACGCGTTTAATTCGCGTAGCATACACAAATTTACTAACGTGCCTACGCCGTAGTTAACATAACTCAATAAGAATGTAAAATTTTAAAATTATTAGTAATGAAGTAAAAACTAGAGTAAACATATCATAGAAACTAAAAATATTAGAGATTTTAAAATTTTATGAAAATATTTGGTAAAGATTTGGAAGAGTGAAAAAGTATACCGTATATATTTTTTACGAAATCAAAATAATCATATTTTTCAAATACAAGAGTGGAGAAGTATGGTTTATATGCATTGCAACGTCCCTCCACTAGTCATTCTCTCTTGGTCTGAAGTCAGAATGCTTCACATCACACCGAAGGGTGTGGCTGATAATATCCAACGGACACTGATACGTAGGTCCCACAAGCGTCTCTCTATTTCGGAGACTGGGCTGGACCGGTAGTGGATAGCACTACTAAATTACTAGTATAGGAGCTGCGAAGTGGGCCAGCGTGAGTAATGGACAGGACAGTGGCTGGTGGGTTCAGTTGCGGTGGGCCACCACAAGCATGGTCATTGGTCAAGGATTGTGGAACTCTTCAGGGGCATCGGAGATCCATTTTATGACATCTTTGTCCTCTTAAAGGTTAAATTGCAAGAAAGAGCTTACAGCTATTTTGTAGTAGCACTGAGTCACACTAGGTCAGTGTTCGATCCCTATTAATTTCATTATCACTCTTGACTTATCTGGTATATTTTTGGGGTGAGACTCTGCACCTTCAGGTTTGTAGCCTAAGATGGGTCCCGAAGGAACCCTGCCTAGAACAGTTCTTGGTGCTAACTTAAAAAAAAAAGAAGCTATTTTGTAGTAGTTGTTTGATAACCAAATGAGAAAATAATTAAAATAGTTTATTCAATTACATGTGTTTGATAAAATTTTATGTTGCGGGGCATCCTTTTTTTATATCAATGCTAAATTTTGAAAAATAATAATTAAAAATCAAAAATTTATTTTTTAATTATCACTTAAAAGTTACAATTTTATCAAATAACGTCAAAGTCATTAAAATAGATAAACATCTTTACTGTGATTCTGACTATCACTTTATTTTGTTAATTATTAAATTGAGAGGTTAATTAAGTGAAATATTTTTAGCAGAATCGGTTAATATGAATTGAGATTTAGGCTCTGTTTGTTTGAACTTATGTAACATTTTTTAATCTGTAATGTTTTTTTTTTTTTGGTTGGTAAAGGTTTTGAAAATATTTTTTGTGTTTGGCTTCTAAAAATATTTTTGAATTAAATTAAAATTCTTATTTGAGTAATTGATTGTTCAAAATTTTTCTTACTATCAATTGGTACAATTATTTTTATACCAACAATAATAATTATTTGACAAGAAATATCAAAAAATAATCAATTGATTTTTGAAAAAAATATAAAGAAACCGAAACAAGTTTCTCTATTATCGAATGTTGATGTCAAGTAAGCTTTTTTTTCTTTTCGTTTCTTTCTCCACTTTATGTATCACTTTTTTAGGTTTAAAAAAATAGTACTACAGGTTAATCGCTAAACCAATAATAATGAAAAAAAAAATATAATAATAAAAATAAATTGAAGAAATCAAAATTAGGAAATTGTATGATTGTTGTTAAATAAAATATTGGCCTCGTGCCCTCCTTCGTGCCTACGGTATGGGCTTATTGACTATTCTCTTAATAGTTATTTTGTTTCTGGTCATTATAACACATGTAAAATGGTTTTTTTTCTCTCTCTAAACGCTCTCTTTCTCTCTCTCTAGACTTTTTTTGGCTACTATGTAACTAACTATTTTATGTACTTGATTAATATTTTTTATGCCATATACTTTTGTTAAGGATATTGAGAGTGAAATTGATAGGCTCAAAAAACGACTTTTAGATGATTAATTGGTAAGTTGTTTTAATTAAATTTTGAAATTTTATTTTCCTTTGTAAAATAATTTTTTTTGAATTTGTTACTACCAAACACCGAAAAACATAATATATATATATTTTTTGTCCTCAAACAAACGGAGCCTTAAGATAAAAATTTTGAAATAGGTTTTTTTTTAGGGTAAAGTGCAAAAAACCCCTTGAACTATGTTTGAATTTACAAATAACCCCTTTGAACTAGATTTTGTACATAAAACCCCCTAAACTATCTTATTTTATTGCAACATACCCCAATGACTATACTATATTTCAATAAATGACCATAATGACCCTTTTTATTGAATGACATTTAATATATTTTTCTTATCTAAATAAATTATGAAAAAATTCATACTAATTTGATGAGATATTTTTCATTAAATTTGCATAAATTTACCTTTAATTATTTAAATAAAAAATTTTAGTATAATTTTTTAATTTTTAATGAATATATTACATGAAAATAAGGTATTTTTTTAAAAAAGTATTTTATTAGTTTTTCATCAATATATTGTATGAAAAAGATGATTTTTTTTATTTATGATAAAAATGTTTAAATTGGTTGTAATATGTTTTATTATAAATAATAAATTTTAACAATAAGTTAACCAATTTAGAAATTGGCAGTTACAAATCAATTTATCTATTTTTTTTTCATTTTTATGATAAATTGATACTGATAATAAAATTAAGGTAAATAGTATAATTAATATTTACATAAGAGAAAAGATAATAAAAATAATTTAGTAAGAAAATAAAATTTGAATGAGAAATGGTAAAATAGTTTTTTGTAATAGATTTATCTTTAATTGCAACAAATCAATAGTTTAGAGGGGTAATTTTTAGTTCAGCGAAGCTATTTGCAAAATGACAATAATTTAGGGGACGAATCTTGTATAAGAGCTTAGATTAATTATTTTTTCTTACATTTGTTAAGACATGAGGCTGCCTATTTTTTCTCACAAAAGTTAAAAAATTTATTGCTTAGTGATGTTGTTTAATAATGTTAATTTTTGGTAAATGAAGAATACATATTCCAAATTATGGGCTTCATATGTTCACATATCTTGGTGATGCAAGTCAGCAATAACGATTAACGCATGGTATCAAAGTTGCATTCAAATTAATTTTATAATATATTTGACATGAATAGTTTACTAACTTTTATGCTTTAAGACAGATGTAAAATATTTTTTTATAAGATATATATTTTTATTTTTTTGATGTTTGTTTATTATAAAATATTTACGTAAAAAAAAATATTAAAATTTAACAAAAATAATGTATTCATTAATATTCGACAAATTATTTTACATTCCCTGCTTGATGAATTCGACTTAAATATTTGTCGAACATAAAAAAATAAAAAATAAAAAATATTTTACCTAAAAAATAAATTTTTTTGAATAAAATATTTTACAATGTAAAAAAAAAACAAAAAATTCATGAAATCTTTTCGAATTGAACACGTGGCGACTACTTACAGCAAGCCATTGATACCATGCCTGTTGTGAGTGAAAACAAATAGAAGAAAAAGAAAAGGAAGACAATGTGGGAAGATGAAATGTTGTGTTTGGTACAAAATGTTGGAAAGAAAATTAAAGGAAAAAAATAAAAACAAAAAGATTTGAAAATGATTGTATGAATACTAATTCTTGATATTCTTCTATTTTTGTTAGGAAAGGGAAGAAAACGAAAAATTAGCATTTCAAATTAAACATTATTAATATTAAATTTATTCTTACTTTTATAAAAGAGAAAATTTATAAAAAAGAGTATACTGATAAATTTATTAAAATAGTTTTATTTCCTTACAATATTAAAATAGTTTTCACGCATAGCAATAGCATATGCTGTGATAGATAATACATATTTTTCAGTGTAAGAAATTATTTTCTTTATTTTTCATTAATAATTGAGGATGTTCTTATTTATTTTTTTTATTTTTGTTGGCAAATGAAAAATTGCTACAGAATAAAAATAAAAAAAGTAATACTAAGGAACTTTTCGTCATTTCATACATGATGATTACAATCAAAAGAAAATAAGAGGGAAAAAAGAAGCGAAGGAGTAATTGGAGGAGAGTCGATACGTGGAGTCTGTGGAGAGAGAAATTTCGCCTTTTATTTATTTATTTCTTCGCCTTCTCGATTTCATCTCTCCCCACAAAATATTGAGAAAACAGGGAGTAAAATACAGAACGAGAAAGAGAAGATTATCGTCTTCTGCTCAAAAAAGAGTGGAGTTCTGATCTTCACCATGTTTCATATCAATTGATTCTTCATTTCTCTGTCTCACCCTTTATTTTTTATTTTTTAACACACTCTCTCTCTCTAAAGCCTCCTCCTTTCATCAATCAGGCCAATGCGGAGAGTCAGACCTACCGCAGCGGCCAAGGCGGCGCCACCGACTACGGTGGCCGGAGAAGCCAACCGATCTGGATCCAGAAACCCCGCCAACGAGATTAGATTCCGAGGAGTGAGAAAGAGACCGTGGGGCAGATTCGCTGCAGAGATCAGAGACCCTTGGAAGAAAACTAGGGTTTGGCTCGGGACCTTCGATTCCGCCGAAGACGCCGCTCGAGCCTACGACGCAGCTGCTCGAACCCTCCGCGGACCCAAGGCCAAGACCAACTTCCCTCTCTCTCCGTACGCTGATATCCACCAAAACCCTAACGATCCCTTCATTGACCACCGGTTTTACCCTCCGAACCACCTTCAGGACCAACAGATCATTCCCCAGAGACCCACCTCAAGCAGTTTGAGCAGCACCGTCGAGTCCTTCAGTGGTCCCAAGCCGCCCACGCAGACGGTGGTGCGACACCCTAGGACGCCGCCGGTGCTGGCGGACGATGGTCGCAGCGATTGCGACTCATCGTCTTCGGTCATCGACGATGGAGAGGGAGAGAGAGACATCGCTTCGTCGTCGTTCCGCAAACCCTTGCCTTTTGATCTCAATCTTCCTCCTCCTCCTGATGGGGTTGACTTTGGTTATGGTGACGATGATCTGCAGTGCACGGCTTTATGTCTCTGATGATCGATCTACCCAAAACTATTTGAATCAATCCCTTACAATTCTTCGTTCTCTTTTTTTATGCCGAGGAACAGACAAGAAGGAGATGAGGATAGTTGAGGTTAAGTAAGAAAAAGATCAATCGTCTTACTTCTTCGAGTTTACTCAGTCTTTTCATGCTGTTTGAAGAGAATTTACCTATTTATTTCCCTTCTAATCTCATGGTTAGAGTGATTTGGTGTATGGATGATGATCTTACATGGGCTTTTAAATTTATGAGCTTTACTAAGTTTTTATGGAACTTGTATCACATATAAACTTAGTGTATCAGTTCTGATCTGAAGTGGGTTTTCATCTCCTCCTGATCTCTGATGCCTCTCACCCTTCATTTCCTGTAAAAAAATGTTTTTTTATTTAATTTAATGCTACTCAGAAAAATTAGAATCCCTAATGCTGTTCTCATATTTATAATTTATTGTATGTATATGTCTGTGTATATGCATCTGCAGTATATGTTTAAATGCCTGTTTGCATATTTGTTTTTTGTTGAATTAGTTTGTGTTCTTGCTTGCATATTTGAATTAGTAAATGAATCCATGGCAGATTAGTGGAAATGTAAATCTCACTTTATGTAATGGGATCGTTTATTTTAGAGATGTATCTAATTTGACATGCATCTTTATATGGAACCTTTTGCAGAAGAACCTCTTAGAACAAATAATCTATGGTACACATGCATCGTGATGTCGATGTGGATGATTTCCCGGATTTGGAGGTCGTCTTAGTCATTTTTTTATGAGAATAATTTGGTGCATGGGTAATGTAGGTCTGTAAATGGCAATAATATGATTGCTTCATTCTTTATTGGGAGAAAATTATTTTTTTGATCGTTATGGTCTTAAGCTTCATAAAAGGATAGATTTGCGTAGATTTTTCATGGGATTGTGATGCTTTATGTGTTTTTTTTTGCACAGTTTGATAACTGATCATAATGATTAGCTTTTGGCTGTAATTGACTATGTTAATATGCCTTGTATTGCGAATATTCCTTGTGCACCAATTGGATGCTAACAAAATTCACATTTTGGAATCATAAGACTTGTACGTTGACGGTTTGACCTTGAATCCCAGTTAGTAGGGTCTTTTAATTTCTCTATATTTTCTGTCTTCTAAATTAAGCATTGGCCTACTTGTGTGTTCGGCTCTGCCAGAGTCGGAGCCCTAGTTTAAGATGCTGTGTCTTGAACACTTCACATATTGAAGGCCAAGACCAACTTTTCTCGCTCCCCTCATTACCTCTGCTGTACTTCCATTTCCAACAAAACCCCAACAATGTGTTCATGGGCCACTTGTTATATCCTTCCAACCACCTTTAGGATCACCAGATCATTTCCCAGAGGCCAACTTTAGGCAGTTTGAGTAGCACCATCATGTTCACCTGTGGACTCAAGTGACCTCAGATGAACAATGTTACAGTTGCCTTTGTCATGGTGGCACCCTGGGATGCTGCTAGTACTTCCCGGCGATTGTCCCAGTGACTCCGTCTCATTGTCTTTGGTCATAGACGATGTTGACCGGAACATTGCTTCATTGTCCTTTCACTAACTCTTGACTTTATTTTTCATTCTCCCTCCGCAGTTATGGTAGTCGTGATCTGCAGTCCTGTTTTTCAGATAATTGATCAGGCCAAAATCACTTTAATCAATCTGTTACCATATTTAGTTCTCTTTTTTATGCAAAGTAACAGACAAGAAGAAGATGATGATAGATATGATTAAGGTATAGATCAATTGTTTACTTCGACTGTCTTCTCATCTTTAACGTGTTGTTTGAAGAAAATTAACTCTCTTTTCTTAGATAAGATTAAGGCAGTTTTAGTAGCACCACCAAGTCTTCCTTGGACTCAAGTGACCTCAGATGAACGATGTTACAACTTTCGTTGTTTAGGTGACACCCTGGAATGCTGCTAGTACTGTCTGGTGATTGACACAGTGAGTCTGTTTTATCGTCTTTGGTCATAGACGATATCGACCGGAACATTGCTTCTTCGTCCTTTCACAAACCCTTGGCTTTCTTTTTCATTCATCCTCCGCAGTTATGGTCGTCATAATCTACTGTCCAATTTCTGATAATTGAACAGCTCAAAATCACTTTTCAATCTTTTACCATATTTGGTTCTCTTTTTCGTGCAAAGTAACAGAAAAGAAGAAGATGATGGTAGTAGATAAGATGAAGGTAAACATCAATCTTTTACTTCTACAAGTCTACTCATCTTTTTCTTTGAAAAAAATGAACTTTTTTTTTTTCCCTTTCAAAATTTAATCTTATGCTTAAGAGTATACAATGGATTTGTTTTGTGGATGATGATCTTCTCATTTAGTGATCTGTGTAATTCTTCAATTATTACACAGGCTTTTAAATCTATGAACTATACTGTTGTTGTTGAAGTTGTATTGCATGTAAACGTAGTGTATTAGTTTCAATCTGGAGTGGTTTTTCCTCCTCTCTATCTCTGATATTTCTCACCCTTCATTTTCTGTAAGTATAATGTATTCGATTTGATGAGAATATTTATGGTCTCCAATACTGCTCTCATTTTTATCATTTATTATGTTTATATGTCTATATGTACGTGCATGCATGTTTATGTGTTTTTGTTAAGTTAGTGTATGATTTTTCTTGATGTGGGTTGATTCATTGCAAGTTTGAAGAAACGTAGATGTCATTTTGTTTTCATGTATGGGATGGTTGATTTATAGTTGAATCCAGCAGAACATGCATCTTTGTATGGAACATTTTTCAGAACAACATTTTAGATCGTTGAATCCATGGTTCACAAGTAGCTATTAAGGTTTAGGTGTAATGTAGGTCCATTATCCGTACATATTTAAGAATTTGGCCACTGCTTTCTTTCTTGGTAGAAATTGTTGTTCTACTCCCTGTAGTAGTCTGAAAGCATTATTATAAGGTGGTAGCAATGTTAGTATTACTAGAAAAATCCATAATTTGGAACTGCTCGGTGTATGCATTCCTTCCGTAAATCTGTTGTTCCTCACCTGGTATGTTGACATTGCTTTTATTTAGACATAAACTGCTATGCAAGCGAATCTATAGATGTGCTGAAGTGGTTGCTGAGAAATGGGGGGCATGGCAATGTAGAAGATGTGTGCGCATTTGGAGTGCCGTTGTGTGTTGGGGTTAAGAATAATGCACCATCACCATCAAGCTCTTTCTCACCTTGTGGCCTGAACCTGATTGTAGTACATGGTAGATTGGTACCAATTGGACGCAATAGCATAATGGGGTGTCAGCTTTACTTTTTGGTTGCATGTTTCTTTGTTAGCGTGAGGATGCCATATTATATGCAGTATTGGTTCTTTTCTTTGCATCATTCCAAATTTTAACAGCAATTTCTATCTCACGCTAGGTGTTATTTGGGGAGCCCTGTACCATGATGAATCCAGGAAAGTATTTGAGTATATATGGTCGGGTGGTAATATTATACTACTAAATAAATAACTTAAATTTTTGGATTGAATTGCAAAACACCGGTCAAAAATTGGTTAAGTTACAATATTCCTGTCTTGAAATTATTATTATTATAGCGAATAAGAAAAGAATCGCTATATTATTATGATAGCGAAGAAGAAAAGAATCAGTAACTCGTTCTTTTCATTGCTGCTTACCTTAAGCATGATAACGTAGTACCCCAGAAATCAGACAATTTCTTCAAATTTACTTGAGTCTTAATTTATTTTCATTAAAATTTAAAATATTCATTATAGGTAAAAGTTTATATTACATTACTTTTTACCCTAGTAATAACATGTCAGTCACTAGAGATCATATACAAAAGTTAATTTCTCATTTGTCTAGAAAAAGATATGTTTTTTTTTTTTTTTTTCATAGAAAAAGATATGTTTCAAAATTTTGAAAAATAAATAAAATTGCTATAGTAGACCGTGGATGAATTATTAAAAATATGCATTATCAACTTTTTAATTAGGTAAGACGCAGTATTCGTTCAAAATTCCTCTCATATAAATTAAAGGTAGAAATAATAACGTTACTTATCAAAAAAAAAAAAAAAAAAAAAAGTAGAAATAATAAAAATGTTCCTCTCCAACAACTTTGGTACGTGTCAGCATGTAAGGGCTAAAAGATGTAGAGATGAATGTGAATATGTCAACTAACTTGTATTTACAAGTATGGATCACACAGATGCATGTAGTTCAAAATTTCAGATGCCGCAATAACGGGTGATCCAAATTCATCCACCTCTAACGTTAATTATGACAGTCACGAGCATTCCATGAATTGTTTTTTAGTAAATTTATTTATTTTTATTTTTTGCTTTTATAGATGATATATCCAATGGTTTATGGTTATATCAACATAATACGTACACGATCAAACGTGAAACGACCTATTGTGTTCTAAACCATTGCCAGTCACATTTGATTTTGTTTTTTGATTTCAAATCCGAGTATTTGTATCAAATCACGTAGAGTGGGGGTGCCTGTTATCTCAAAAAAAAGTAGCATTGATGAATACTAAAAATGCCACTAACAACTGTGCAATTCCAAGTTATTTACTATCAAATTATATGAGACATAGTGTGAATCAGGGTGAAAATTAAAAACACAGATTTTTTCATGAAGTAGAATGTATTTAAATTTTTTGGTTAATAGTAGTGTTTTCAAGATTACAAATTAAATTTTTTACGTAGTTAATTACTGTAAATATGCATTTTTGTTATTTAGAAATATTTATTTAAAAATATTTATTCTCACAATTGTTAGATTAATGTACACTATATCGTATGCAATAAAATATCATTTTCTTCTATAGTTATATATATATAAATTATACCCAAATGAAATTTAATACAATTTTTATTTTTCATTAAATATATTTATTCATAGCCAATTTTTTAAAAAATGAAGAACCTCTTTTGTTGGAATACACTAATAGTATCCCCATTGCAGCGTTTTCATTCTCATTCTATAGTGCCATGTCAGTAATTATGGTAACATAGCTCTACACATTTAAAAAAAAATTATTTCTCTTATTATGTACACTTCTTTTAATTATACATTTTATTATTTTAAAATTTACCCACGTACAGTTAATACACAATCAATTTATTTTATAAGGCTCACCATTTCATGGGTAGAGTGGCTACTTAATTCCACACATTTGAAGAATTGGATGTGGAATATGAAAGGGGCCCACAAGTGTGTAATGTGCATGGGCAGGATATTCATTCAACACTTCATCAGATATTGTACACTTTCCTTGTGCGCTGGGTTGCTCTAATAGGTCAAATTCAAAATGACCTACTCCTGCTCTATTCTACTACCTGATAAAGGCAAGGGTGCTGGATCTAGAGCCAATCAAATTGTCACAACTCACAAGCAATGTCTGTGAACCAAAACCGTTGACCATCATTGGTGATTTTTTTAGTCCCTAAATTATGTTTATTCTCTCTATTAAAGAAAGAAAGAAAATATTATATGAATTGTAACTGGTTAAGTGTAATCCTCGCAGTGGTAAAGCTTTGCTGGCATCAATTACTACGTATAATTTAACCAAAGTAGAAGAAAACCCATGTGGCAATGTCATGTTGCCCATTTCCTTAATTCACGCTATGATTGTACACGTTGCACCCATTGGCCCCACCGCCAGCTGTAGGAATGAATTTTTTTTTTAACCAACCCCCAAGGAGTAGTTATGTGGCACACGATATTGGGTACAATATACACTGTCATATGATTTTGTCGTTTACTACTTGATTTTTTTTGGTATTGTTGTTTAATCCAATGCCATTGCAACTTATTTCAATTGATTAGTGAGATTATAATTCTCAACTAAAGATTCACACTAAGTCCTTCTAGCCACAATTTGAATAAAATTGAGTTAAATTTTAACATTTCATTTTGTGTTTTTGAATTTGAAAGATTTAACATTTTATTTTTTTTAAAAATCCTTGTAGCTAGTTTGATTTTTGGTTTAGTTGATTCGAAAATTGAATATATGTATATATATGTTGTTTTATATGTTGTTATTAACTGGTTAATAACATTAATTGTTGTGGTAGTGTGTCAACCAGTTTTTGGATTAAGGTGTTGGTTTGGAACTTTAGACTTGACCATTATTTAATTATGTTTTAACTATTTCTTAAAACCCATTCTTATGTGATTAATTCAAACTCAATTGGAAAAAAATAGTAACAAAAAAAATAATAATAATAATAACAAAAATGGAAACACCTTATCATGAGAAGAGTTATGAGCTCTTCATATTTAATTTAACTATCAAATAGTTATAGAATGAAACAATTTTTTATGATTTATAAAAAATCAAATTAGTTATTTAATACACTATTATCTTTTCCGATTTAATACAGTACCATCTTCTCCTATTGTCTTGCACAATGGCACTCTTAATTGGTTTAGAATTTCTAAAATTATACGTTAATTAATAGGAGGTCTTCTACCATTATGGAACATTTAAACATCATTTTTTTGTCTCCCCTTAGTCGGATGGCATATATATATATATAACACCTAAATTCTCTCTCTTTTTTTTTTTTTTTCGATACACCATATATATTGAGTATCTATATATACAAACAGCTACTTTCCTTTTTGTACATCTATACCATCTAATCTTTGACCATCTTATATCTCCATTATGAATCCACACACACACATATATAATTATATATATCATCTAATCGTTGATAATGAAATCATCTTATCTCTCTATTATGAATCCATAAAATTATATACATGTTATGTACATAGAAAGACAATTAAAGAGAGAGAAAAGTTTAAAATATAAATTTATAGAACAAAAATGCCCTTTTAACACTTTTTTCACTCCCCTCAATAAACATTTAAATACATCAAACATGTTAATGTGGCTCAATAAAATAGCAACAAGTGTGTGGGGGGGGGGATAGCTTCTACTTCTTTTTTTTTTTTTTGTATATATATATATCATCGAATTTTTGATAATCAAACCATCTTATCTCTCTATTATGAATTCATATATAGTTTGTGTATATATATAAAATTATATATACACTCTGATATAGAAAGACACTTAAAAAAGGAAAGAAAGAAAAAAATTCATTCCCAATAGACAATTTAAAAGAAAGAAAGAAAGAAAGAAAATAATCATAATCCATAGTATCTATATATGTATACGGATAAACTTAGAAGAAAATAAACAATTAAAAAGCACTTTGTCTCATAAATTTATATATTTAATGTCTCATAATGGTAGGAGATATAAAATTAATTAGCTCATAAATTTATATATTTAATGTCTCATAATGGTAGGAGATATAAAATTAATTAGCGTGTAATTTTAGAAATCATAACTAATTAAGAGTGCAATTGTGGGTACGACTTCAATTAACACTCCTCTAAGAATATTTGTATGATTGTGTAATTTAAATTATTTACCTTCTCTCTTCTAAAAGTGAATATTTATTTTGGGACCGAATTTAAAATTGGATAGGGTTTAATTCAAACTTTATATTAAGTAGTAAATTTTCTCTGATTTTATATCTAAAAATGTGAATTCGGTGCCCCAAAACAAACCATATGAGATTTTACTCTAAAAAAACATGACCATTGGATCAGTAGACCACACTCGACGACCAAAATCGGACGGTAGTCCTTGAATACAACGGTTGGAAGAGTCCAAAACAAAGCCAACACTACATTAAGAACTTTCCATTTTATATTACTACATGACAAAATTAAATTCGTCCACTTTAATCCCGTACTATAACCAACCTTAAATCGCCACGTTGCATTCTCTCATTGGCCAAACTAAAACAATCGCCGAAACAGGTAATCTCAGCCCCACCTCCATCTCCACCTAAGCGCAAACCCAACTTTTTTTTTTATCTTCCATTGAAGACACCTTCATCGTCACAGCTATTTACATGCACACACACACATATATATATATATGCGTGTGTTTATGCAATTACTACAAAGAGTGTCAATCAATTTGTCCGCTTCTTTCTCTCTCTAAATTCTGTTTCCGTCTCTCTCTCTAAAATTGATGATACATCAAGATGGGAGATGAAGGGGAATCGCTTCTAATCAGCAACAAACCATACTCGCGAAGTGTTTCGCACGCGTACGACGAGTTACACAGCTTCAGATCGTGGCTTCGATGGATGTGTGTGGATCAATCCAATTGGTGGACCGCTTGTCTCTCGTGGTTCGTTTTCCTTCTCTTCGCCATCGCCGTTCCGGCTCTGTCGCATTTCTTTCTCGCCTGTTCCGATTGCGATGCGAAACACGGTAGGCCCTTCGACGCCGTCGTCCAGCTCTCGCTCAGCAGCGTCGCCACGCTGTCGTTTTTGTGCCTCACTCGTTTCGTGAAGAAGTTCGGCCTCAGGAGATTCCTCTTCTTCGATAAGCTTTGTGATGAGAGCGAGACGGTGAGGAAGGGTTATACAGCACAGCTCAATGTATGTCTTCTTTCTTTCTCTATATATTTTTTATTGAATATTTGAATTTGGTTTGATTGAATTGTGTATAGCAGTTAATTATGGTCTAAAGTAAATATTAGTCCGAAAATGAATTGGGAATTCATTATATAAGCATTTTGTGAAAAAATTAGTTCCAATATCATGAGCACAGATTGAAAGAGTTTGATTATCTGAATCATCTTTGCAAGCGTTTGAATTCACATTTGAGTGTAAATAGTTGTAAATGATGTATATGCACAAACACACACTTGTTTAACAGAGATAGACAGAGATAACAGTTTCTATTGAGTAAAATATGATCGTATATGGGTGCTTGATTCTTCCGACTGGAAATACTGTTTTTTTTTTTTTTAAGGAAAAAATAATATTTATATAGTTTGCTTTTCTCCAACTTAACTTTTCATTTTTTCTAAAGGTCATTCATCAAACAGAGAAGCTTATGGTGGTATAAGTGTATAAGTCAAATTTAGGGTTTAAAAAGTCCTAAATTTTAGTTGTGCCTGAAACTGATTGATGCTGAATGCCCAACTGTAATCTGTCCAAAAGCCAAGAAGTCCATTTTCTGAACCACAAATCATTTTGAAAAGAGAAGATAGAGAGAGAAATTGGACTAGTTATTGACTACTGTTTATGCATATGCGAATCTGTAGGCACAAGCCTGGGAGCAAAAGGTACAAATAGTCAAATAGATAATGAGTTTGGAGCTTTTGAGTCCCTCCTAAGCTTAGACATAGCTGATTTTATTTATTTATTTATTTTTATTTTTATTTTTTATTTTTTAATTGTAAGTTCTTGGCAATTGTTGTCTATAGGATTAGCTTTTCTCCTCCCACTTTCCTATCTTTTCTGATAGGTGATGTAGTGGCATTGGATTTCAATGGAAGTTGAAGATTCTCATCCACTTCAACTTAAGCTTTGGTAACAGCTTTAATCGGCTTTACAGACATGGGATTGAACTTTTTATTTGTGACCTTCCATACGGACCAACAAAGATCGAAGAGGAGAAGGATCTGATTTGATGTGGTTGAGTGTTATCTTCATTTTGCCTCTGAAGTAGACTGAGTAGCTATTGATCAAATCTACAAAATTATTCAGCTTAAATAGCAATGTATTTGGCTTCCAAACTGTACATTCCTAGTGAGAACAGTAGTGAGAACAGCAGTGACACGAGAAATTGTTTTTAACTATTTCAACAACGTTGAAGACCTTCCTCAAACATTAGGTCCAATGGCATTAAGGCAGACATTTTAACCTTTGGAATCACTTTCACCTGCCAAATGGATTTTCATAGCTCTGGAGGAGGGGTAGGATAAAGAAGCTTTTGATATTTGGCCTTTTCTCATCTTTCGTTTTGTTGATCATGGCCAACTTTAGAACTCACATTAGGGTATTTTTGGCCAAATAAGCCTATCCTCCTGATTCCTTAGCTCATTGAGATCGCTTTTATGGCATTAACTGCTTCTTGGGAGAATAATTCTGCTGATTTGGCTTCCTTAGTGGGTAGTGGTGCCATTTATTTATGTTGTTAAACTCCGTGGGATCAAAAAGTTGAGGTTGAAGATTCTCATCCATAAGTCCTATAACTTTGTTTTACTGCCTGCACTAAATGGTGGTTGCATGAAATCTGGATGTTCTGATCACCCTACCTAAGCCATTCAAGTTTAGACCTTTGACCCCAATAGATGTGTCGCCTCCTCCGTAAGTGTTCCAGGTCATGCGTGGCTTTACGAGCTTCCTCTCCAAGGTCTGGATCACTGGATCCTCTTTTGCACTCTGAATACAACAAACTTGTATTTTATAGATTCGATTTCCTTCCTTGCATTACCAAAGGTGGTAGCAGAGCTCCATCTAGATAATTGCTTACTACATTCTTCCAACTTGTTGAGTTTGTATATATTGGAGTCCTCAATCCAAATCACCTTGAACTTTAAATCTTCTGTTTGCTTTGGGACTATCTGGTTCCAAGTCAGCCACCAAGGGGCTTGTATCTGAGCCAACAGCAGGGCGAGCAGTAAACGTGTCTATTGCAAAAGAATACTTTGTTCTCCATTCCACTGTTGTGACATTTCCTTCCCCATCCCTGCTGTTTGAAGGTCTTAAGCTTCTTCTTAGGCCTTTCCATGTTGTTCCACCATGCCAATGTGAAAAATCTAGATTCACATTGGTGTCATGATAGTTGGTCTTGCTTGAATTGGCATTCCACATCTATGAGAATCCTAATATTCTCTATGATTTCTATTGAGGGTTCCTTTCTATTGAGGATTCCAATTCCACCCGATAAACCAACTGCCACTGGATCCACTTTACAGCCACAGTCAGGCATTGGATACTTTTCAAGCTTTCCATTTTGCTTGCTTGCATAATAGTTTCAAATTTCAGTAGTTAATCTATCGAGTTCCAACCCTAGTCAGTTCCAATTGATGAGCTTCATTGGTCCCAATTGGTACTAATTTCAATGCTCATGCGGTATTTTGAATTTCTGTTATGCTGTGTTTGGAAGTACTGAATTGTTGTTTTGGTTTAGAATTGAAGAAAATTTAATTCTAACTTCATGCTAAATTTTCTTCAATTCCAATACCTAATTTGGCGCTTCCAAACACAATATTAATTCCAGCTGCCATTACCTCTATATCTAATTTTTCGTGGCAGGCTTCCTCTGGAAGTTGGGATTTCTGTCACCTATAAAAATTGTGATAGCCCAATATTAAGTCTTGATCGGTTTCATTAAAGCCCATTCTTTGATGGACCCACTGAACCGAAGAGTTTGGCAAGTTGGGCTTTCAATGGGTTGCGTTGTGTTACACAGCCGAGCATATTCTATTTTCCGACCGTTTAAAGGGATCACTTGCACAACCGCGACGTAAAGGCGCCACACGCGCCGTCGCCTCTGGCTCTGCAACTACCGATCTCTGGGTTTTCAGGGCAGTCCTTAACTCAAGCCATACTCAGATTGGGGCGTCACGCTTTACGCTCCGTCATTTACTGGCCTGAATCTTGAGTTTTTCTCACTCCTCCTTTTCCATTGCTGTTAGTTTGGTAAGGTATTGCTCTTAATTCAGGTCTATATCCACTGTTTATACCTGAAATTGTGAGAAGCACGATTTTGGGTATGTAAAACGAGGGATTTACTGATTGAATTAAATTATTAGCTGTTAGGATCTTGTTGCCCAGCTGCATATTCTCTTTGCGCATCAACTTCTAGGGTTTCCCTATTAAGTTTCCTATCTTCTCCTTGAAACAGTAGGAAATGCGAAGTTTTAGAACTACAAAAACGTACCGTGATTGAGTATACTTATTAATTTCTTCCTCCTTTTGGAACATGAAGGAGTTAAGATTATCGTCTCAGCTCCCTATATAGTTTGCCAAGTCCTTGAATAACCCTTGTTTCTTTAGGTGTCTATCAGAGATGATAATTCCTTGAATTTTGGAGCATCAAATAAGACAATTTCATATGGCCTAAAATATTCATTAGCTTGTGGGTTTGGCAAGAAATCTTTTACCCTAATAAGATGACATTTGGTTTTTGAATCATTATGTCAGTAAAAAAGGGTTCTGTATGGCTTTTGATATTCATTTTTAACACAATCTGTAATATAATTTTCTTTCAATTACCAATGATCAAATACAAAATATGTTTCTGTTTACCATCTGTTGCAGTATTTGTCAGTCTCAATAAAAGAGCTTCTAAAATCTTTTAATTGAGTGTGTTCCACATTAACTGATAGGTAAGTGCCTTTCACTTAAAATCTTGACACTTATTAAGTGAAAATGTTTTTTAAGTGATACCAAGTTGATTTATTGAACAAACTCTCTTGGTAATGCTTGCTAGGGAAGAAAAATGGAGGGAGTGGGTGAGGAAAAATGGAAATGGACCCTCTCCTGTTTGGTAAAGGGGATAGGGAAAAGGGGACGGAGGAAGATGACTCCTGTTACCAGGGGAGTCTTGTCCCACATTGGTAGTAAGGTTTTGTCTCATTGGCTGTGGATGTATAGACAGCTTATTACACATTCTCGTATTTATGCAGAGATCACTGCATTAAATTTATGTATATATGATAATATGATTGACACTGAAATTAAGGTTCACATGAGAGAAAGAGTTGATAGTAGGATCTGATCCTGCTAATTACTGATCATGCCCGTGGTCTTCTAATAATCTGACAATTGGGCATTAAGGTTTCATCTTGTTGGCTGCGGATGTATAGCTAGCTTACTACACATTCTCGTATTTATGCAGAGTTCACTGAAGATCCTCTTCTTCTTCGTTCTACCTTGTTTCACTGCTGAGAGTGCATACAAGATTTGGTGGTACAGTTCAGGGGCCACTCGTATTCCCTTCTTGGGCAATGTTTACGTGAGTGACACTGCAGCATGCATCCTAGAGCTGTGTTCATGGCTTTATCGGACAGTGGTCTTCTTCCTGGTCTGTATTCTCTTCCGTCTGATCTGTTATCTACAGATTCTCCGACTACAAGACTTTGCTCAAGTTTTCCAGGGGGATTCTGATGTGCAATCAGTGTTGAGAGAACACCTCAGGATCAGGAGGCATCTGCGGATCATAAGTCATAGGTACCGTGTATATATCTTGTGGGCCCTAATATTCATTACAGTGAGTCAGTTTGCCTCCCTTCTCATGACAACAAGTTCCTCCTCGGATGTCAATATATACAAAGCTGGTGAACTTGCGGTATGCTTTCTTGCTAGTCATAATTGTTCTCTTTTAAAGATATATGCTTGCAGCTTATGACAATGAGCCTGATTTGAGCGCCGTGCAATGTCACCTTACTATCATTATGATTTCAGTTCTATGTAATTCCTTTTGAGTCTTACAGAGGCTGAAATCATGAAGTGATTGATATACATACATATGCATGTTTTGTTCCGGTTGGACTATTTTTGACTTTTTTTTTTTCAATAGAGTTTGATTAAATGAATGAAACTGATCATATATCAAGCAATAAATTAATTAAATCATAATCAATTTATTCAAACAAATGCATCCTTAGATTTTAAAAAAAGTAATAATAAAAAAAAAAAAAAAAAACTGAAAGCTTATAAAATTTATTCTTTGTTATTTAATCAAACATGATTTTTTTGATAAACCATATAAATTTCTTTTAATTATCTAATAATCATTTATGTAATGATCACAGTCTGTTGAAGTAATTTAAACAAAATGTGACCTAAAGCCATTTGATTTTAATCAATCTTGAAAAGTGATTAATATTTTGCTTATGTATTATAATATATAATATATATACCAACGTGCTAGTGGCCTAACCCTTATTCCTCAAAGGGAGGTCAAGGGTTCAAGCCTCCATGGAGGCATGTGTATCTCCGTGTCAACTAGGAAAAAATATATATATATATATATTATATACGTGGTATGCAAAACTTATAACTAACAGCCATGAGATTGAATTAATTTTTGTATATCTGGTTTATGATCAATATGCAATTGTAGATATATAAAGAACATCAAACATAGTAATTATGAAATGCAAAAGTTTGGATTTTGGGCTTTATTTTATTTATTTTGTATTTTTTCATTGGACATGTCATACATCATGGATTTTTTTTTTTTGGTAGCTATGCTCCATCAGCCTTCTTGTTGGGCTAATGATTTTGGATTTTTTTTTTTTGGTAGCTATGCTCCATCAGCCTTCTTGTTGGGCTAATGATTTTACTGCGAAGTGCAACGAGAATCACACACAAGGCACAAGCTATCACGTGCCTTGCAGCTAAGTGGCATGTGTCTGCAACAATAGAATATTTTGATACAGCCGAAAGTGAGACTCCAATGGCTCAGGCTACCAGTAACCGAATTTTTCCAGTGAGTGATTTGTCATCGGACATCGATGATGTTGGTGATGAAGAAGACGATCTGGACAACACCAAACTCATCCCAGCATATGCATATAGTTCAATTTCTTTTCAGAAAAGGCAAGCCTTAGGTGAGCCACCTCGCAACACCTCTCAGTATATATATATATATATATATATTTATTTATTTATTGTAAAATTTTATTTTTGTTGGTTTATTTACCGTTATAATTTATATTAGGTGATTCCTCTCATTTATCAATATGCTACTCAACTCACCATAGCAAAGCCTTTTGCCCTTTTCCCAAAAAATTACCAATATGCCGCTCATGCACCAAAATATATATCCATCCACTTGATAGAAAAAAGGGAGACATTATTTGCACACCAAAAATATGCCCGCAGTTTAAGATAATATTTTCATCATGTTATGATGAAATCCTGGATTTATATGTATTATTATATATATCAAATTTCATATTTTTCCACCTATGGGCATTAGTATCTCTCCTCCTCTAAAGTGGAGATTGAGCGTTAAGAGTCTTATTAGGGACAATATTGTGAGTGTGTGTGCAAGTTTGCTTGAGTTTTTGAAAAAGAAAATCAGATTTTTGTGAAAATAATTGTTGGGCCTAGATTTACATGAATGGCTTTTTCGTTGTGGCGTTAGATGTTCTCTTTTGTAATTGCAGTGTGGTAATGGATAAAGCACATAACTGGATCTTTGATGCAGAAATTAGGAAGAAAGAATTTTTCTGTGTATTATTCCGTGCATTGTATATGTGTAAGTGTCACTGCTGTGCTACTGAAGAAAATACATTACAAAAGTGAATGATATTATATGTGATGACAGAGTTTGTCGACTTCTGTTCATGAGTAATAATAATATGTATCAGCAAAAAATACATGGTTTATCTGATGATATTTTTTTTGTTTACCCATTTATTTGTTTGAACAGTGACATATTTTGAGAACAACAGAGCTGGGATTACAGTATATGGATTCATGCTGGACAGGACTTCGCTTCACACCATATTTGGAATAGAGTTGTCCCTTGTCCTCTGGTTGCTTGGGAAGACCATTGGTATTTCTTAAGCCATTCTTTACATCATGATATGGCTGCTTTCACTTACCCACTTGTGGATAGGTGGCGGGTGCATGTAGATTTTTTTTTTTTTTTAATTTTTATTTATTGGCTTCAGATTTTGTATTTTATTTCATTGTATTATTTATTCATTTTCTTTTTATTTTCATGAGTTGTTTTATTTTTGTCATTTGTTATTGTAATCATGCATGTGCTATCTTAGGTGAGAGAAGCTATGGTCAAACTATGTTTTTGGCCATACAAATTAGCAAAGATGAGTTTATGAATTTTTATTTATTTTTCTTATCTTCTTTCAAATTGATTTTAATTTCACCAAAGCTTTATAATCTTGATTGTAATTTTATTGCTAATTGTAAATCATCTATCTTCTCTTTTAACATTTGGCACTTATGTGTGGAAGATAAAAAGAAAAGAAAATTATAATTTTAGGGCTTGAACGTTGGTTCTACTGATGAAATCGTTGATACAAATGCAAGAACCCCCGTCTTTATGCAGACTAGGCGAGGATGCCTTTCTTATTTATCTTTTGTGAAATCTTTAATTAATGCAGGAGTGAAGCAGAAATTCATTGTTTTTTTTCTTAGCAATCTTTTGTTCCAAATCTGAAACTTATTTCGTTTATATATATAAGTGTGTGTATATATATATATATATATATATATAGACACACACACACTTGGAGCATATTTAACAGTTGTGTATATATTTTTTTTAATGTAAATTTGACAAAAAAATTTGAATTATTTGTTTTTAACTACATTGGTTATTTTATACCTTTTGTATAAAAATATATCCCAATCACTCAGATATTACATCATTTTTACAAATTTATTTAATATAGAGTTGATTCATTAATGGAATGAAAAAAAGAGGAAAAATAAAATATGATGATGTGATTGTGTAAAAAAATAGTACATTATTTTATATATTAGTGATGTGATAGTATATTTTAATATATTTTTGAAAATGAAAAAAACTTACATATATATTTTACACAAAAAAAAAAAAAAAAAAAAAATTTAACGCCTCGCTAGATATTCTCTTAGGTAATATTATACTTAAAAACAAGACAATAAAATATTGTTGGCTTTTTTTAGATTTGTGACCATTTGAGTCGGGTTGTGGGCTCTTTATATTGTGTGGCGTACTTAAAATTAGGTGTCAAAACACTTTTGAGCCACACATCTTTTTGAATTCAGGTAAAACTCTTGTGTCAGGGCGATCACTTCATTCCCAAGAGACTGACCCTAGTCATCTGCAGGTATAATAATGAACCCCACTCTTTGTGGAGTGATTTCTATTTTCTCATGTGTAAAGAGAATTTCAGTTCTATTCAGTTTTTTAAATTCTCTGTGGCCAGTGTACCAAAGATGATTCACTAAAAAATGAAGTTCACAACTATAATTACAATTAAATTATGTTGGTGTGTGTTTGGTTTAATTTTTTTTAAAGAAATAGTATAAATGTTGTACGCATGTTTTCTTAAATAGTTCCACTGAAAAATGAATTTCACAACTATAATTACAATTAGATTGTGTTGGTGTGTGTTTGGTTTAATTTTTTGAAAATATTTTTTTATTGCTAGAGATTAGAATTAAAGCAAGTGAACATGCAAAAAGAGCCTACAATTATGGGTGGGGAAACATGGAATGCAAGTAAGAAACCTAGACTAAGTTTGGTTTGGCATATAGCACTGAATTTAGCAATTGGATATTCCCTGGGACAAAACCGGATTTGCACGCTAAAATATCTCTTTATTTTGGCTGCCCACAATTAAAGAGATATTTTGGAGACCCAATTACGTAAATGGAGGTCCAATTATGTAGATGGGATATGGAGATGGAGCCTGTTTTGAAAAATTCGGCAGGATTTGGACAATTTCGGGGGAGGATTGTCCCAATAAAATCTTAACTTTCATTTCGTTTCATATCTTAAGTCTTTTAAAAAAAAAGAAAAAAATTAAATAAATTCCTTAGTTAGGTGTAGAAGATATAAGTTAAAAATGATAATAAGAAGGATGAATTATCCTTTCTTCTTCACAAAATTTCATTTACCCAAATATGGACGAAAGATAAGAAAGAAACAAGTGAGTCTATTATAAAAGTTTTAAATTATTATATCATCCTTTATAAATATTTAATAAATCCCATAAATAAAATAAAGGATGGGTTTAATGATAAAAATAACTTAATATGGACGAAAGATAGGAGAGAAACAAGTGAACCTATTATAGAAGTTTTAAATTATTATATCATCCTTTATAAATATTTAATAAATTCCATAAATAAAATAAGGGATGGGTTTAATGATAAAAATAACTTAATATGGACGAAAGATAGGAGAGAAACAAGTAAACCTATTATAGAAGTTTTAAATTACTATATCATCCTTTATAAATATTTAATAAATCCCATAAATAAAGTAAGGGATGGGTTTAATGGTAAAAATAACTTAAAATTTTATTTTTCCTTTTATCCCACCGATCAAATTAAATTGTCAATTTTTTTCATTCTCTTCTATCTAACCGAACAAAAAGAGGGAAACACTTAATTTCTTCGGATGTCTCAGTCATCATTTTTTCTCTCCTTTCTATTCAAATTTTTTTCTTCCTACTGAACCGAGCATTAGGGAGAAAATAAAATAAAATAAAATAAATGATAGTATTAGTTAAGAGAGAAAAGAAAAAATAAATGATATCAATAATTTCTATTTATGTTTGGATAGGTAGAAGAGAAAAGAAAAAGAAATAACAGTATTATTGTTTGAATATTATAGATCGGAGAAAATATAACAACCAAATTACTATCGTATCCTTTTAAATAAAAGTGATATAAGTGGAATAATAATTTTTCCTTTTAATTAATGAAGGCAATGTCAGAATAATGAAAATACTACTTGAACACCATTATTTCTCTTCCTATCTTCTCATTTTTTGAGAGATAGAAAATGAGGGATAGGGAGGGATAAACTATTCTTTCTTTTCTCTCCTTTTAAACCACCAAAATACACTTAAACCATATCATTTCTTTTATTTCCCTATCCCTTCAAATCATCACATATAAACGCACTCTAAGACTATGTTTGGTACGATGGGAATGAAAAGAAAGGATAACATTAGTTATGAGGGAAATGGAAGGGTAATTTTAACTTCTTATCGTGTTTGGTTGATTAATGAAGGAAAAGAAAGGCAATGATAATAATCATGTTTGGGAAAAGAAAGAAAATGAAAGTATTTTAATAAATTTACTATTATGCCCTTCTATAATTTAAAAGATAACTTTATGGGGCTCAAAATTTATTAGCCCATGGATGATGGGTCACCAGAAAATATATATATATATATATATTTAGGACAAATCATTTTACCCTCCCCTGTTGCCTCTATCTCTATTATCGTACTCAACTCTGAACTTGCCATTTCTCTTTCTCTCTCTCTCTAACTGCAAACTACAAAATCTACGAGAATAAGAAGTTCAAAACCTATTACCTATATCAAAACCCATATCGGCATATCATTTCAGATTGTTAAAAAAATCAAAACCCATATCTTTCAGTTTCCATTGCCCGCTGCTCCAGTTTGGGTTCGCCGTTCACAAGCTTCAGCCGCTGGCCCGCTGTCTCTCAACTCTCTTGCTCGCCCCCTCTCTCTGCAACTACTAACTTGATTCGCTGGCCCGTTGGCTCTCAACTCTCTTGCCCTAAAATAATTGTCATCTTGAGGGTAAATTTGGCATCACAAATAACACATTAACCCTTTCCTTCACTTTCCTCCCATTTTTGGGAGAATAAGGAAATTATTGTTTAAGCTTATTGACAACCTTCTATTTCCTTCCAACCATTTATGCCAAACACAATTTTTTAATCACCCTCCATTACTTCTTCCCTCCTCTCCTCTCTTTTTCATTGCGCCAAACTGACCCTAATTCTTGTTAAAAAAAAAAGACAACCTCAAATGGAACATAACCCGAATTGCACGCTAAATTATGTCTTTATTTTGGCTTGTCATCCAGTTGTGAGATTTAACTGGCAAAAGTGGCACTTCCACAGAATTAAAGGAAGCTAAGCTTCCTCTCTCATCATAACGACGTCGTAACTCATTCTATGTGCGTCGTTATAAACGATCCCCTTCTCATTTACGGTAGTCGTTTTCTGTTTTCGGAACACATTCATGGATTAATAAATACTAATATAAAATCAACCCCTCTTTCTCAGTATATATCTACACCCCTCTTTCTCCGTATATACCCCAACTACGGCGCCGTTTTATACAATTGTTTTCGCGCCTGTGCAACATTCCGTCGGCAAGAGGGGGACTCTCTTCGCCGTGGATCTTAAAACTTTACAAACAAAATTCTGTCTTCAACTTCAGAGTTACCAAGATCAATTTGAGTATAGTAAATGGAGATTGATTCGGCTCCGATTAGTCGGTGCTCCAAAGAGCACCAGAAGATCTACCAGGAATGGTTCAATTTCGCTGATTCAGGTTTGTCTTATACACTGATATGTGTGTATATGTATGTATATTGATCTATGATTGTCGAGTTTTGTGTAAATCTGTTGTTAAACAACCGTTTAATAGTTCAGATGGCGATGGGCGCATTACGGGTGGCGATGCCATTAAGTTCTTTTCCATGTCCAACGTGCCCCGACAAGATCTCAAGCAGGTTCTCTCTCTGTGCTTTACTCCAGTTCTTTTATCTGTTTGGCTGCCTAGAAAAAGGAATAAGAGCATGGACAGACATATATCTTTTTTGGAGTAATTCCTTCTCTAGATAACTTGAGGATTGTTATTTATTTAATTTTCTTTTGGTCCTATTTTTTATGTATATTTTCTCAGCAACCAAATGGAGAACTAGGGTTGTGCTGCTTACTTTTTTCTTTTTCTTTTTTAATTATCAATTCTAAAATTAAAGTGTTCATCACGGATTTTTATACTAATTTTTATCATTTAATTGCCTAATGTAATATTGACTTTGTATCGGTAAAATTGATGGCCTAACATGGTACACTCTTTCTTCAATGGAACTACAGTCTCTGAATGCTAAGAACCAAACTTGCGCTAGTTATTTTTGTTAAATGTACGGCCTCTAACACTCATTTAGTACAATTGTTCCGAATAGAGCTACAAATTATACATTTATGTGGAAGTTTTTGTGATGACCACAGTTTTCTGTACTGATTAAGGACAATGGAGCTGTGGATTTGAAGGAATAGTATGCAATTGAGGCTTGATCACAAGTAGGCATATTGGTATGCTAAAGGACATCTATCAGGAAACTATTATCAGACTAACAACAATTGGGGAAGAAACAAATAAATTTGCAATCAATATAGGTTTATATCAATATTTACATTAAGTCCGCATCTTTTGACCTTAATTATGATGAATTATCAAAACACAATTATGATGACATTTTCTGGTGTATGGTATTTGGTAGTGTTACTTTTTATTTTATGGTTGATAAAACTAGATTAGGGCTAAGTGCTAAATTAGAGGTCTAGAGTGAAATTCTAGATTCAAAACAGGCTTCAAGATAGATAAGATTGCAGTTTGATCTATGAAATTTAACTCTAGTGTAACCGGAAATACTAGTGGAGATATAGTGTGAATTGAGGATAAATATACCAAAAGTGAACACTTTTGTTCCCTAAACTTGATTATTCACAAGAAGGGAGAAATTGGAGGTAACGGTTATTATAGAAATAATAGAACTAAACAAGAATGGGTTAAATGGAGGAGTACTTTTGCATACTCTGTGAATAATGTAAATCTTTGAATTTGAAAGGTGATTTTTTATAAAATAGGTACTAGACTAGTTATACTTTATGGGCATAATACACAGAACGTTGCACGGTTAAGAAATAAAAAGATCCAGTAGATAGACAGATTCTATGGCCAGAGGAGTGTGTTCGGGTTTTGTTGAAGGCCATAGGACTAGACAGTCTGCAGGATAGGTGAGCGATGAGAGAAAAGATAAAGATTGCCAGGGACCGATGCTTGTTTGAAGATAATTCTTTGAATTCGAGAAATAAATAATCTGTTCTGGAGATGTTCTCATTAAAGACAATAGCTCGTGAGCTAGGTTAGCGTATCAGAGATAAGTTTGCCAAGGTGGCCAAAATGGACGGTATTTGTAATCAAACATTATGTAAATCAAAAGGATAACAGTTGTCGAACTCATGGTGGAACAAGGCCAGAAGGTGTTAGGTACTACTTTTAGTAGTACCTTTACCTTGATTACAAGAGTTTGAAGGTCGTGAGGTATTCCCTTTTTTACAATTCCTTGACCTCAATATCAGTGTCAAGGTCATGAGATCGGCAATAAGTTTACTTATTATTTCCCGTAGAAAATGCCTCAATATTATGGGTTATATTTGTTTCTTCGGAATCGCTCCCCTTTGATCGCCTTTAATGTAGTTTACTTATCAAATATATATATATATATATATATGTATATATATATATATATATTGGGGTTATACAGGACATGCCACCAATCAGAGTTGTCCTTCATTGCCATCTATACCACGTGACTAGGCATGACATGCTCCCTGGTGCCACAGGCAACGAGGGAGTCATGTAACTACATGTGGTACCCTAATTTTCTAGATGCTTAAAATCATTAGGGTTCACTCAAATAAAAAAAAAAAAAATTGAATTATTACTGGAAACTCTCATGATAAGGGAAGATTTTATAGTTTTAATGGACAAAATTGGTGGTTACTATTTACAAATATAAATAGAAAACTAATTCGAGATAAGGGGAAGATTTACAGTTTTTTTTAGGATATACTACTGTGTTAGATATTACATTTTCCTTCTTTGTTGGCTTGGCATGTAAGATTTTTAATGGGGTTTATTGTATTTTTTTCTCATATCTAATACATTATAAGAGATTTGTTTGTATATTTTTTTTGGGAGGGAGGAATGGTGTCCTTTCAACTATGCCTCCTCTTTGCAATTGACCGAGGATAATGGACAAATTGTGCAAATTTAATTAACCCGAGTGGCATTCTCTTGGACATATATATGGCTATACGATTACGTGCACAGATATACATCCCTACATATGTATTTGACCTATTTACAAATTTTATGTGCTTGAATATTTTAATTGTCAGCGTGTTCTCGCATTTAAATTTAGGTGTTAGTCAACTAGTATGTTTGGCTTTGTGATTTAAATGATTTTGCAAGAATATTTTGATGGCTTTTATTTATCGACTCTCTCATTCTCTATATATGTATGTTTGTGCGTGTCTTTCTTTTCTTTTATTTTTCATTAGGTGTGGGCAATTGCTGATTCCAAGCGACAAGGCTTTCTTGGTTTTAAAGAGTTCATCACTGCAATGCAGGTTCTAATTCGCTTATATGTTTGTTTTATTTTTGTTTTGTGTTGTTTTTGTTTTGTTTTGTTTTTGTTTTTTTTTTCTTTTGTATTCTTAATTTATTTTCTAGGAAATGACCTATCTTTGCTTCTTGATTTTTAGCTTGTTTCTCTGTCGCAAGCTGGGCATGCACTAACTAAGGATCTCTTGGATGCTGGAGGTATGCAGTACGGTTCAGTTTGTTGTCTTGTAGGAACATTCCCGAGTTGTTTTACTGCAAGTTTTAGTTGACTACTTTAGTCATGAGTGAGCACTTTCTGTTTATTGGATTTTGTATATAATTTATAATGATGATCTCACTTGGAGTTAAAACATAACAATTTATTGCAGTTGATTTGGAAAATTTAAAGCCTCCATTCATGGATGGTTTGGATGTATTACTGGCTGTAAGTATGCTTCATTTGTTTTTTCCCCTTTATGTTCGTTAGGGTTCATTTTCTGATAGTATAAACTTGTTTACTGATGATATGCAGAAGAATAAGCGCTTACCAAAAACAAGTGATCCTGAACTGAATGGTAAGAAAGTTCTTCCTTAAAATACTAAAAGGGTAATGGTATTATCTTCTTTTGAAGTCCGCTAATTGGCTATGATACAGGCAGTTCTCAAATTCAACCTTCTCCAACTGCTCATTGGTTCACTTCTTCAAAATCTGCGAAGAAGGTATGTGTTGTAGTTATTTTGGTGCTTTCATTAAGATATCAATTTATATGTAGGATATCCAGACAAGGAAAAATCGTGGGGGCACCTTCCCACAACAACCAATCTATTATAAGAGAAAGAAGTACAACTTTATGTTACAAACTCTTATCCTAGGAATTATTTACGTCTAACCCACTCTTGATCTTTGTTGTAACTTGAAACAAGTCTAGATGTGTACAATCAATGAATTTGTCCCATGCAATTCACCCTTCTTTATTGTGATTCTCAGCCAACTCTTGCTTCTATGTCTTTAATGTAGGCAGCAACAAGTCCACCTACTCTTCTATAAATTTATCATAGATAGTGAGCACACCAGCCTTCAATGAGCCAGGCCTTCACACCAAGATATGATATAAAGATGTCATGGTTGTTGATCTCTATATCTTCAATGGAGTTCGACTTAGAATTGTCACAATAGAGAATTATCTGATATTAATCCTATGTTGTTCTCTAAAATCTCTTAAAAGAATTTATCAAATAAATAAATAAATAAAATCTCTTAAAGAACTATTAAAGATTTCTTTTATGCTCTCAGCTCAACATAGTAAGGTGGGTCATTGCCTATGGATATCTACACTAATTAAAATTTCAACATTCGATCATCTTAACACAGGATGGAGTTTTTACATGTTCAGACAAGTGAGGAGATAGTTTGAACATTTTACAGATTTAATATGGTTTTTTAAAATTGCTGCTACTGGTTCCACAAGGACCTTTTTTTTCCTCAAAGTCCATAACAAGATTTTTTGTATGGATTCCTATTTTATTAGATACTGCTTTCTAGTTTAATCCTTGTCTGTTACATTTATCTGTAGCATTCTCCCATCTTTATTACCTGATAAGTAAATAAACTGATGATCATGCCTGGTACTTTTCCCTTTATGTAGTGTTTGAGTTGTGAATCTTGTGTTAGTTGGCCCTCTTTTGCAACTTTTACATGTTTGTTTCTATAAAAACCTCGCATTATTTTTGTGCCCCTTGAACATTAAACCAAAGGCATAGAATAATTGTTAAAGAGCTTGATGGAGAACGGGAAAAATTCCTTAGAAATGGTTATGTTTCTTAGATGATTTGAAGGCTAGCTATGTTTTATATTGCAAGTTGTTGGATTAAGAATCTCTACGACATACGGAACAACTTTGGTAGTGAGGATGCCAAAATGGATGGTTAGAAAATTGAAGAAAAAGGTAGAATAAAAATTAATGCATTCTAGATGGCACTTATGCAAGACAAATTTAATGAAATTCATATGAGATGGTTTGCCGTGTGCATTGAACATTATTGAAATAGTGATTTCATTCAAGTTGAGGCACCAAATGGTTAACGAATTGGTGAATTGCAAGGATAAGACGAAATATGAGTCGAGGCTTAACAAAGAAATGATTACAAAGGTTTGATAGGATATGACTCTAGAAAAAGATGAATGCAGGAAAAGGTTTAAATGTAACTGGGCTTAAAATAGCCCAGATAAGCAAAACTTTCAGTTGAGGTGAGATTGATGATTATTAAATAAAATGCTTTGAAGAACCGGGATTTAAATAAATTGATTTCAACTTATTTGTACTTTAAAGAACAATTTTGGCCTTATTCGTGTTCTTATGTTGCCATGACCCCAAATAGTTTAGGTCTTCCTTTTATTTGACTTACTTTTTAACTCTAGTTTCTCTTTTATTTACTGATTTTTTTTGAAAAAAAAAAATTTGTAGGTGCAATATCCTTTATCTTAGTCTATAATGATGCTTTCTTATTATGATTTTTTTGTTTTTCCCAGGTACCTCTATCCTCTGTTACATCAATCTTTGATGGCTTGAAGAAGTTGTACATTGATAAATTGAAGCCATTAGAAGTTACATATCGTTTTAACGATTTTGTGTCCCCGTTACTGGTGAGTAGGTGATGTGTTGGCCCTTTAACTTCTCTGGCATTGAGAATTACCAGCATACTTTTATTTCATTACTTTTCTTCTAATTCTTGTGAAGTCTTATATTCTTTTAAATTTTATTATTGTTGTACATTTAGTTATGGACAGATGATAATAGTTGGCTTACCTCTTGTTATTGGTGCTATGTGTTTGCTAGACAAACAGTGATTTTGACGCCAAGCCCATGGTGATGCTTCTGGGTCAATACTCCACAGGGAAAACAACATTCATCAAACATATGCTCAAAAGTAGTTATCCAGGCATGCTACTGTCTCTCTCTCTCTTTCTCTCTCTCTCATTTGGAAGAAGAAGTAATTTTTGTTTTTTTTTTTTCTCTCCATTTCTTTACAGGAGCTCATATTGGACCAGAGCCAACAACGGACAGATTTGTTGTTGTTATGGTATTTAAAGACCATTTTGTTTTACCTTGTCAGTGTTGTAGTTCTGAATGTTTTGTGAATATATTACCACATTAAAAAAATATAGACTGCCAACCAAGGCCATACACCTAGAAGGCCTAAAAAAGCAACAAGAAAAAACGTTAATACCCAACAGCAAATAAACTTAATAATCAAAGACATTAAGTTTCTATTAACAATAACAAGCAACTAGATACTGTATCTCCATTGGCAATCAAAATTGAGAAATCAATTGATATACTTACTTCCCACATAAAACTGCCCCTAAATGATCGAAGAACCAAAGCAATCAGCAGGCAAATTGATCAAAAACTGTCAAGTTTGTAATTCCTGAATAGTTTATCAAACTTCACGAATACACATATTACTTCTAACTGTTTGAAAACTTCAAGTGATTTTGAGATCTCAACATATTCACTGGTATTTATATTTGAATACAACATATAGTTTTAAGTTTTAAATTTGAACTTGCCCCATGTCCCCCTCTGCGAGGGTTAACTGGAGGCATGCATTTTACAATGAAACCTAGTTTTTTGCTCAGTGCAGAATACAAGGTTTTAACAAAATTGTTGAAAGTTTGGTGACCTGGCCCGGCTTGGCCTTTTGGTAAGGCAGTTCCCACCGAACTGACGCCCTGCCGGCATGCCAAACAGTAGTGGGGATTCTCGCATTCATGGTCAAAGAGCTCTCTTTCTCACCCTCTCATATAATTATGGTTAAATTGGAATGGCTCTCTTGTTTTTCAGAAGTTATTGTGCCTTCTACTTTGTTTATTTGATTAACATAATATTTTCACTCAGTGGTGTTCACTACCTAATTGTATTTAATCCTTGTCATTTTTTGTTCATTAGTTTTCACTTTTTTATTGTGTTTCCATTCAGAATGGTCTTGATGAAAGAAGTGTTCCAGGAAACACCGTTGCTGTACAAGCAGACATGCCATTTAGTGGTCTAACATCATTTGGAACTGCTTTTTTGTCAAAGTTCCAGTGTTCTCAAATGCCACATCCTGTGAGTTAGTTCTCTTAAAATTTTCATGTATAGTCTTCATATTATCTTTCCGTGGTTCCTAAAATATATTTGGGTTTTGAAATTTTGAAGCTATTGGAGCACCTAACGTTTGTTGATACTCCTGGAGTCCTATCGGGAGAAAAGCAACGTACACAACGAAGCTATGATTTTACTGGCGTGACATCGTGGTTTGCTGCAAAGTGTGACCTCATTCTTCTTCTGTTTGATCCTTATAAACTTGATATTAGTGATGAATTCAAGCGTGTGATTTCATCCCTACGAGGTCATGATGACAAAATACGTGTGGTCTTGAACAAGGCTGACCAAATTGATACCCAACAAGTAAGAAAGTGTATAACAATCTTGTTAGGATTCGGTTCCTTCCAGACTGATCTTTTAATTGCACCTTTGGCACTATAGCTATTTGATCTGCTTACTAATTGGTATTATATTGTAGCTGATGAGGGTATATGGAGCTTTGATGTGGTCACTTGGAAAAGTTATAAACACACCCGAGGTTATGCGTGTTTACATTGGGTAGACTCTCTATCTTAATTGGATTATTTTTTATAAATAATTTATATTTTGCTTCCATGTCTAAAATTAACAATGAAATGCAAAACCTAACTGTAATATTAGTCATGACTAATTTATAACTACTCAACCCAGCAAAGCCTTTTCCCAGGCTACATGAATTCTATTTTTTCATTCGCTATAGCTAAATTTATAACATCAGTCAAATCACATGTTAACATTTTCTTCGACACTTATTCTACCCATATTAACTTTTTGGTCTTTCCGCGCCCATTGAATTTCTCCAATTACTTGGGGTTGGCTACATGTATCCTATTTTTCCATTGACACACTTATTGGTCTTCTTAGCACATGTTGAAACAATCTTAATCTATTTTCTTTCAATTTTTGTCCTATTGGCTACTAAAACCATTTCACGAACTTGCCCATTTCTATTTCTACCCTTTCTTATATTGTTGCACATCCATCGCATCATTTGCATTTTCGCTAGTCTCACTTTGTATATATGTTGTATTTTAACTGAACATTCTTTTCCATAAAGTACAGCTGGTCTAATAGCTGTTTTATTGACAATTTCTTCTTTGTTATGAAAATTGAGCCTGAGTAACCGGAATGTTCAGAAAATGGTATTTCTAATCCTGATTAATTTATGTGTTGTATACAAATTAAAAAGATATATGATTTCTTATATTTGATAACTAATATGACCTTTTGAATTTTCTTTCTCATGTTTCCTTAGGAGGAGATTGTTAAACTTAACCAAGATTATCTTATATGTTCTTACCATAAGTTGGATTATTTTCCTGCTTTTGCAGTTCATTCAATGATAAACCTGTAAATGAGGCTGCTGTGGGTCCAATCGGTAAAGAACTTTTTGAGAGAGAACAGGATGACCTTCTTGCCGATTTAAAAGACATACCAAAGAAAGCTTGTGATCGTCGGGTGAGAATTTTTTTTTTTTTTTCATTACAATCTTAGGGCTCGTTTGGTAAAGCTGTGGTTTTCATTTATTTATTTTTTTTGCTCTCATTTATGTGAAAATGGTAGTTTTGAAAAGTTATACTGTCATTTCTGTCAAAATCAAAACATGTTTGGTAATGTACATCTGTTGAATTTTTGAAAAGAGGGGAAAATATGTTTGGTAATTTTTTTAAAAAAAAATTAACTCCTTTATTTATTATTCTAGTATTGAAAAATAATGAAATAATAAAATAATATTTTATTTTCTATTCGAGTATAATTGAAAAATAATAAAATAACATTTTATTTTACTATTTGAGTATAATAAAATATATATTTTAATTTTATTTACTATTTAAGTATAATTGAAAAATAATAAAATAACATTTTTCTAATTGTGAAATCATAAAATAATAAAATAACATTTCTCTAATTCTCATTTTGAAAAATAATAAAATATTATTTTATTTAATATTTGAGTATTATTGAAAAATAATAAAATAACAAAATAACATATCTCTAATTTTGAAAAATAATAAAATAACATTTCTCTAATTCTCATTTTGAAGAATAATAAAATATCCGGATTTGAAAACCAAAAGAAAAAACAAAATCTTCAATTTGAAGTAAATGACAACTAATTTTCAAAAGTCTTGAAATGTGAAAAGTCAAAATAGAGTTGCCAAAAATGATTTTGTTGCCGTTTTAAAAAAAAAAAAAAAAAAAAATTGAAACCACAACAAAAAACCCAAACTCAAAGTGTTACCAAATATGGCCTTAGTGGTCCATGTGAAAAAAAAAAAAAAAAAAATGATGTAATAATATTCCATTATGTGTTGCATGCAGATCAATGAGTTTGTAAAACGAGCCAGAGCTGCCAAGATTCATGCTTACATTATTAGTCATCTTAGGAAAGAGATGCCTGCTATGATGGGCAAAGCTAAGACTCAGCAGAGACTCATTGATAATCTAGAAACCGAGTTCGGAAAGGTTCTCTCTCTCTCCCCGGGCACAACACTTTTAGTGTCTGTCGTTATTATTTTATATATTTTCATTTCTTAATTTGTTTCTTTTAAATCAGGTTCAAAGAGAGCAGCATCTACCAGCAGGAGATTTCCCAAACGTCGAGCAGTTTAGGGAGGTCTTGAATAGTTACAGCTTCGATAAGTTTGAGAAGTTGAAGCCTAAAATGATACAAGCTGTTGATGACATGCTCGGGTATGACATCCCAGAACTGCTCAAGAGTTTCCGAAATCCCTATGATTAAAGATGTTAGCAGTTTTGAGATATTCAAAGATGGTGGTTTGAGAAACAGAAATTGATGCAGTTTCAGAAATCCACGCTGGAGCATCATCTATGTATTCTTTATTTTAATACTTATTTTTTAGTTGTCTACCTAAACTTATAATTTGATTGTTATATATGAAGAGTGGAAGAGATATTAGTTCAAATAATGTAAGTTTTGTTAGTCCACTCTTTGTACACCTTTTAAATACTTTGGTGTTTAAATTTGAAAAGGCAAAAAGACAGTTTTTTTGGAAGGTTAATGTATATGTAGAAGAGACAATTTTATTATGTACAATACTTTGGTTCTTCGTTGGGAGAACATACTTCATACGTAGCCCACTAAAATATAGACACCTGTTTAAATTTTAGAAAATAATTAAAGATCGGTCATATCTCTCTCTTCATCCCCTTCTCACTCTTCTGCATATCTCCATTGTTAGTTTTAGGCTTTTAGCAGAATTATTATTGTCCTTATTTAATCTCAGCACATAATTAGAGCAAAAAAACCTTATACTTTAAGTTAGGGTTTGAAATTCAAAGAATCTTCAATACTCTAATAATCCGAGTTGTTTTGCCCACACTCTGAGAGAGGGAGATTTGAATGTAATAAGTGAAAAAATTGTTTTCTAGCAGAATTATTATTATCCATACTTATTTAATCTCAGCACATTATTGGAGTAAAAAAACCTTAAACTTTAAGTTAGGGATTGAAATTCAAAGAATCTCCAATACTCTAATAATCCGAGTTGTTTTGCCCACGCCCTGAGGGAGGGACATTTTAATGTAATAAGTGAAAAAATTAACTTCCATCGATGAATATATATATATATATATATAAACGCTTGTCTATTCATAAATAAATATAAGAGATATGTGTATTCATAAATAAATATAAGAGATAATTAAAACTTACAGAGGGTAGCGGCGGAGAGACGTGAAATGATGTCTACAAGGAGAGTGGTGTGGCAATGACGGCGATGGAGCCATCGATTGCGTGAGGGTCGGAGATGATGAATTCACTCACATAAATCATTCGGGTTACCCGTAAAAGATGGTATGATATAATTTTAATTTTTTAAAATTTTTATTTTGAGTGTTCATGTTTCATTAGACCACCTTAACTCAGAGGATGAGACTTGTCCTCTTAACGGAGGCCCAAGTATTATCTTTTTCTTAATACAATATTTTTTTTTCCCAGTAGAAAACTGAATTATGATTTGTTTATATTTGATGTACTTTCTTTAATTAAGTGTTTGGTAGTAATGAACCCAGAGCTAGCTTGTTCAAATCAACCGCATTTTCACCCTAATGTCTTTCTACCAAAAAAAAATAATAATAATAAAATACTAAAATAATCCCATTTAATTGCCATCATAAAGACAATATGTTGCTAAATATCTTCTGAAAGTAATATCACCCTTTGCTTGATATATGCAATCCTATTTTGCGTTTTTAATCGTGTAAATGACAAAAAAAATAAAAAATAAAAATTTTGGCCTAGAAATACTGTCTCACACTAAAATTTGGACAAATATTATGCATGGATAAACAACTCTAAAATTTGGGCAAATATTATACATGAATAAATGGATGGGCACTTATTATTTTGACATTCTTTGTTCATCTATTATTAAAAAGTGACTTTGAATATAAAATGTTAATAATATTCATATACGTAGTATTAAATATATTTATATAAGGATGTCATTTTATACGATTTGGCAAACAGTTCTCCCGGTTAAAAACACGTTAAGGCTTAGTATAATTTACCCTAATGTCTCTGGTTTGCCGAAAAAAATATGTAATTTGGGCACATAAGAATTGTATACAGTACTTCGAAAAACTTCTGAAAATTCCCATATAAAGGTAGATGGCTCGTTGAAATCTCTCGCGCGCGCGCACACACACAGTCCACTATTGACGTTTTGTGCTCTTAATTCTCTCATTCGCCAGGTATGATCCCTGTACGTATGTGTGTGTAACTGTGTGCGGGTAATAGTTTCTTCGCTTGATTATGCCTATGCGCGTATCTATCCAACCTTAGCTTAGCTGTATTAAGTTCTAGTCAGGTCCGTAAACTTGCAAAGCTAAACTCGAATCTTTGAATACCGACGTCAGTATGTTGAATTTGTAGTTCTTTTAATGGAAGTTAAGGTGTTTGATTTAATTCCCCTTAGAATTGATGTCTTTTAACATTTTGAGGAATAAAGATATGCACTCAACTTGTTAGCCACTATCGTTGTGTATGTGTATATCATAAATGTATAATAGCCTCCCAGCCATCCATTTGCAACCCAATTGTTAATTGGTTGTATGATTCTCGAACTTATTAGATACTAACAAAATTTGCAAGCTGGAAATATTGGGTGTTCTATTTCAGAAGAATTACTTATGACCATTTGCATGCCTTGTATTGCTGTTTTTATGAATCTTGATTTTCATTGTGTTTTGATGATTATTTTTTTTTAATAGATTGTTCATGAGATATTACACGACTTAGACAATTGTTTTGAAGTGAAAACTTTATAGTGCTTGTGGTTGTGCACCCATCATGCTAAAGAGCAGGCCTTCTTTGTTTTTTTTTTTTTGGTGGGGGGGGGGGGGGGGGGGGGGGGGGGTTGTGGTTTCCTTTTGTTCTCTTTAAATTTAGGGTTAAGTAGGACAAGTACCAGATAATCTTTGGTCTTTCAAATGCCAATTTTATATATATAAAAATTAAATGACCTTTTAGTGGACTTTGAGCTGCAGAAATCAGAAACAGATTTGAGAATAATGTTGCCCCAGCGGTTCAAGAAGGCCATCACAGATAACCCAAAGAAAGTTGCCGACTTGATTGACCTTGTAAATCTTCCTTCAACAATTCGAGAATTTGTGGGTCAATCGCAGACCTCTCGTTTGGGGTTTTTCATGTGTGTCTGGTCATACATCAAGACCAACAATCTGCAGGTAATAATTTCTTCTTCAACATATTTGTTTATGCTAGTAAAAAATGAAAGATTATCTTTTAGCTGATGCACATAATTCTACTTATATTCCTGTTTCTCATGCGCCCCCCCCCCCCCCCCCCCCCCCCCCCCGGCTTTAAGCACCCTATTTGGAAATTGGCCCTTCATTTCATTGAGGAAATGCAGAATTTATATATTCATTTTTTGTGATTTTGTGACATGTCTCCCCGAGGATCAGTAATATTTAATGGGCATAGGATCTATTTACCATTCCATATTTTGACTGTATATGTTTTCACTTGATTTCAGTCGTCAAAAGAAAAATCTCCCTTTTGGGGAACAGAAAATGTTTATTTTGGTCTTTTGAAGGATTCTACTTTTAGGCTGTATTGACATGGTCTCTCATATCCTAAGGTCTATCTCGTTATCTGCATTATGTTTTAAGGTCCATGTATATCAATTTTGCACAGAAGCTTTGCGATATTATATTTTGCATCCATTTGCATCCTTGCCAACAACATCCTAGTGAAGCATAGAGAAATGCAAAATAATATCTCAGAACAAGAGGTGAAAAACTAATTCAGGTGTCATGCTCTAAGAAATTCTTTCAGAATGTGTATATGTTTTGGAGAAAAGGGGGTCTATAGGATCGTTTCTCCTCGGAGACTGAATTATACGATCAGGAAAAGAGAAAGTTCTGCAATGTCTATCAGGATTTAGTAAACCAACACATTCAACCAGATGGAACCATATCAATTACATTATCTCCTTTAAAAGAAATTGAACCTAGCATTACTATCTCAATTCGTGTTAAAGCGTCCAACAAGTATCAAGTTACTTCATTTAAGCTTATTGTCATACAAAATGCACTTCAATAGTCCAAATGGAGATTGTTCATCTCGGTGTAGATTTGAAAGTTTGTTTGTCACTTTATCCATCTCATTTATTATGTCTTTGTATCAAGCCACCCTGTGCATTGATTGCCTGTAAAATTAAGAAAACTCGGCATCAATTATTTCAAAACTTGTGATCATATCAATTCATTTGCAATGATATTTTTTAAAGAATTTTGAAAAAATAGCAGCAGCAGAAGTGTGATGCTTACACGAATAAAATTAATAATACTAAAAGAAATAGGCTAAGGTTGTGAATGTGGCTAGAATGAACTCTGAACACATGAATGGTGAGCAAGAAGGTCAGAAACTGCTTTCTTCAGCAATAAAGGGCACTTCAGAATTTGAACACTACTAAAGCATACTGAAATGCCATTAACAACTTGTTTCTTAAAGCTTTTGAAGCAGAGCTGACACAATTTGCTGCTCTCTATTCAGCAGAATTGAAGTGTTAAATCACTTATGGTTTTGCTTCACTAAATCTCAATTTGCACAAATGGTTTTGCTTCACTAAATCTCAATTTGCACAAATCTGACTTAAGCCAGCTTACTCTCCAAAATTTTGAGCATCAGTATTAAAGCATCAATAATTCTCAAAAGTGAACTAAATTGCACTTTCCACCGCCTTCTTTGTTCTACTTTCTTTAGATATCCAATGTATAGCCAAAGACAGGCATGTGAACTTTTGCATCATGTGCTTGATACTCTTTTCCGTTAGTACTGTATGCTTTCACCAACGCGATGACCACCAGTTTTTCCATATTTTTATCTTAATGCACATTTTGTTCTTTCCACGGCTCAGTTTCATAGCAGTCATACACGGCACCGAAATCCTAAAAAGTTATAGATTTCCATGATGCCTATGTTTTTTGAGAAACAAATGTGAGACCATGTTCCAGCATTGTCATTGTCTTATCATCCTTTGTTCCACAATATTTTTCCAGATTTTGATGATTTTTGCCTCAACTATAAAGTATTTTATTTTTTATTTTTTTCTTGTAGGATCCAAACAACAAGAATGTGGTCAATTGTGATGAAAAGTTGAAGAAAATTTTGTTGGGTAAGCCTCAGGTTGAGCTAGCTGAACTTCCTACACTAATCAAACTGCATTTTCCCAAGGCGTCAAATTGACTTTCAGGATTTGAGGTCATGGTGCCCGTCTTCTTCTTTACGCATGCACTCCTTATGCCGCCTTACCAAAAATTCTAGCTGCTTCATGTTGCGGTGAATTAATTGACGGAGTATTTTTGATTTTTTAGTTTCTGAATGGCTAGATGAATTGAATGTTTAGTTTATCTCCGTTATATTCTTTTTCGTTTTGGACTAGTTGCTTTATTTCGTAAACAATGTTTCATATCTGTACTGAGATTCACCGTGGTTGATGCATAATTATGGATGCTCCAAGATAATATATATATATATTTTATCTTCATCATTTCTGAGGAAATATTTCAGGTAATCAGAACAAGCAAAGGAACTCAGGTTTACAGTGTGCTCTTTTAGGATTTTCTATAATGATGATGTTACTCAAAATCCACATGAAATCTATAATGGAGAGAATTTATTTATTTATTTATTTTTTATATTCTCACTCTCAATTCATATAGCTTTCTCCACATTGGCTGCTTTTTTCCAGTTTATGCAATTTTTGTTACATGCCAATATATCCTGCACTTATTTTTAAGGCTGCGTTCGTTAATGTTTTCATTTTTTTATTTTTACTTTCACAAAAAAAAAATAATAATAATAAAATAAAACAGAATTAGACATAACGTTTTTAACCTTCCTCTTGTCACAAAATATATGATGTAGTAGAGATGACCACTACAGTACTAAAATGTTTAACAACATATCTGAAAATAATATTTATTAAACAAATTATCAACATATCAAACTCTCAGGTTAAAGATATAGTAAATGAGGATACAGTACTAAAATGTTTTGCCTGTTACTTTGAAAAAACAAAGGTTGTATTTTCTATTTTATTCAAAAACATGATAAATATTTTTTATTATAAAAAATATATATATATATATATTATTAACATAATTTTTGCTTTCACAAAACGTTTCCCGTTAGTGAAATTATTATTTTTCACTGATTGAAAAATTTTGTTTGAAATTAGCTTTAGATGAAATAATAGATGATGAATACATTTCAAAACCGAATAAATCTGGGTTTCACACCTCAAACCATTTTATAAAATAATTGTAATATTATTTTGCGGAGGCGCGTCGATTGTCTCCCACCCGCTTCTTACCCAAAGGTTCTGGACGCTTCTAAAACCAACTTTACTTGAAACTTATTTATGCATGGACAATAATGCCCTTCTTAAAATATTTCAATTTCTTCAAAAAAAAAAGAAGCCTGTTTGCTTTTTTTTTTTTTTTTTTAATAAGAAAATATGTGATAGTCACCTAACGAAAAATTAAAAAAAACATATGTTATGAGATGTGAGTTCAAGTTTCTACAAGGGGTACTGTGTTTAATTTTTTGTCTTAATGAAAATATAAAAGAAAAAAAATAAAGATAAAAATGTACAAAGTGATTAATAATCCTGTCCTCAAATAAAATAGACACCTACGTTTATAAATAAATAATATATAAAAAAAAATAAAAATAAAAAGCAATATAAAATAATCATACGACGGCGCTTCAGAGGAACCCTCTCTCCTTTCATTCCGTAAAACCCCTATTTTTCTCTCTGTGTTTTCTGTCATCCAAACCAGTTGCCACCGCTCTCTCTCTACCCTCTCTCTCTAAACAGGTATCCCATTTCTCCGCCAATAAATCCATGATGTTGTTTTCTAGGGTTTCCTCTCGGCTTTCGAGGAGTGTCTTGGCTCAGTCCCGGAACTCCTTGCTCTTCAGCGCTCGTCACCAACACCACCACATTCCGATCCCTTCCAATCAGTTTCACTTGCTCAGTGATTCTCAAAACAAGGTAAGCCCTTTCAATCTTCCTGATTTTGATGCTCTAGTTCGACTTAGGGTTTTATCGGGGTTTTAGCGACGCTGTGAATTTTAGGCATCTTAGCGACACGGCAGTATTCAATTCCGATTTGCCAAACCATTTTCCCCCATTAAATGCATAAAGTTGGCATTCTCGTGGTTGAGATTCGACTTTCAGTTTATTTATTTATTTATTGAAATATACTTAATTTTGGTAGTTCTCTATTCGATTTATTAGATTTTTCAATGCTTCTGATTTTGCAAGTTAATCTTTTTTCTTGGGGACTTCAGTATTGAATTTTGATTACATTGAAATAATGTTGTAATCTTATTCTTAATTTTTCTTCCATAAAGTTGGCATTTTTTGAGTCTTTAGGGTTGATGTTGAGGTTGTTATATGATTTCTTTTGTTTTATTGCTTGTTCTCCTAATGAAATTTTCATTCACCCAAAAACAAAAAAACAGAGCATAATACATTTACTTTTACTGTTCCAGTTGATTACTGGTAAGGTGTCTCTATTACATCATTCAATCCCCAGTACATTTGGCTTCCAACGATTTCGAATCTCATCGTCTGCCACTGAAGAAGAGAATGCAAAATCAAGTGGAGATACTGAAGTTGTTGATCAAACACAAGCATCCGCTTCGGGACAGGAGAAAACTCCTGATCAGAAAGAAGAATCAGGTTCTAATTCAGAATCGCTTTCTAACATGCCCAACTTCGGCACAAGGAGAAGAGTTACTAAACGAACTGCATTTTCTGATTCAGATTCTTCTGATTCTGATGAAGACTTGTCCATTGAGGATCTGGTGAAACTTGTGGCGGAGAAGGAAGAACTGCTAAAGTTAAAGCACAAGGAGATTGAGAACATGCAAGATAAAGTTCTAAGGAGTTATGCAGAGGCGGAGAATGTCATGGAAAGGACAAGACGTGAAGCTGAGAACTCAAAAAAATTTGCCATACAGGTTTGTCTTAGCAGTTCCCTCCAATAATTATTATGTACTTTCATATTGGACCAGCACTTAAAGGGGCTTCAATTTGTATATGGGTGTCTCACTCTGCCCTTTCTTTGAAAGTATGCTGCAGAACTTTGCAAAGAGCTTATTGGATGTTGCAGATAATCTGGGGAGGGCTTCTTCTCTTGTAAAAGAGAGTTTTTCAAAGATTGATGCATCTAAAGACACCTCTGGAGCTGTGCCCCTTCTTAAAACACTTCTGGAAGGCGTTGAAATGACTGAAAAACAGCTTGCAGGGGTATTATTTTCTCTTTACTCAGCAAAATTCAGCACATCTCCTTATTGCATATTTATTTTTTCATGAGACTCTTTAAAAGCTAAGGCATCACAGTACCATAAGTGTGTCTGTGTGTGTGTCTGTTTTGTCTTTCTCTTCAGTTAGTTGAGTTTCCCTTGCTTTAAGTGTGAGTCTTTTGATATCATAGTTGTTTAAAACATTCTGGACCTCTGGTGACTCTAGGCAATAGAGCTGGCCTATAGTCAAGGCAACAGTGATAGAAATCATAAAACATAATATTTGTTCATCCTTTAATTTGGACAATATACCTCAGTTGTATTTTCAGATTTTAGGCTCATTTCTATAAGGTAACATGTTGACATGCCTCAAGGAATACGAGGTGAACATTGTATATGATAATTTAAGTTCCATTTTGACATTTCTAAGTCTCACCTTAGCATCCATATTGCATGTGTTTGTATGTGAAGACTCCCTGCTTGGGTGGTGTCTTCTACCACTTTCAGTTAAATGCGGATGATTGAGTCTTGCATGTCAAGAAAAATAATAAAAAAAAAAGTCTGTATGTGTATATTTACATCTATTATATGCACATATTTACATATTATTCAATAAAACCAAACAATGCATGTTTCTTCCACATGTATTCTAGAAGGATAATAACCAGGTAAAATATTTCTACCAAAGCCTTAGTTGCGAGGCTGCCCAAGGACCTACGAGAGGGCTAAAAACCTAGGTGATGCCTATGTCATTTCCATAGCGCTTGAGGGTGCTTTCACTGTTAGGCTGCTGTCCATAACAACTATATTAGGTGTCATTCAGAAACATTTCATATTGGCAGCTAGTTTAAAGTTTAGCAAATAATGGATACTTCTGTTAAATGTATCTAATAGGGTAAAACTTGGTAAATGGATGTCAAGGTCATGTCTGTCCAGACAATGGTTGCACAGGCAATTTGTGCAGCTTCCACTACTTAGGCAGCTACCTATAACAACTATGTTGGATACTATTTAGAAAGAATTCATGATAGTAGCTAGTTTAATGTCTAGCCCGTCCAAGAGGACTAGGCATAATTGATGTTCCATGCACTATCATGTGCTAAGATGGGCTTTGCTATATAAAATGTAATTTGGAGATTTTTCTTGTTGGGCTTATGAATGTTGATGATTCCAGGTGTTCAAAAAGTTTGGAGTGGAAAAGTTTGATCCTACAAATGAGCAATTTGATCCTAACAGTCATAATGCAGTATTCCAAGTACCAGATGCTTCTAAGCCTCCTGGCACCGTAGCTGTTGTTTTGAAGGTAAATAATTACTGAATGAATCTTTCTGAAGTGTTATCCTTGAGAAATTGAGTAGGATGGGTGCCTTTTCTTAACCAATCTCCCAAGGGACGGACCTATTAAGGGATCAGTTGGGGCAGCCACCCCACTGATTTTTTTTATTTATTTTTTACACCCCTCACTGAAAATTTTTTTTTTTACAAAATTACCTAGTTAAAATCTTAACAGTGCCCCCACTCAATTTTTTATAATACTCCACTATATATTTTTGTTGACCCCCCCACCCCCCCCCCCCCCCCCCCCCCCCCAAAAAAAAAAAAAAAAAAAAAAAAAAAAAACCGTTGGATACAGCTGATAATAATTTTCTAATGAAATCACTTTGTGGTTGGTCTCAGTTTTTGGGTCGTCATTCTTTCCAGTGGCTACTTATGATTTATGTTTTTGTAAGTTAGTGGTTACGTAATGCTCATTTGGTATGAATGGTGAAAACTAGGGGTGCATTTTATTTTATTTTGATAAGTCAATGGCCCTTGATGTTCATTTGGTATGAATGATGAAAATATGGGTGCAACTTGGGGAGGTCGGTCCCAACTTGATTTTTCACAAGGGTTGGCAACCATGTTTACAAGGGCTTGAGCTAAAACTCATTTCAAACTTAATTGTTTAGGCTTGGGTTGGCGTGTCAACAACTCAAAACCTTAATTACAACATGACTTTTTGTATATTTATAATTTCTTATATACTATATAAATTTATAAATGTGATTTACCTTTTTTTTTTTTTTTTCCCAATTTCTTTTTCTTAAATCTTGATTTATTTTATCTCAGTCCTCTGAGTATCAATTTATTGTGAAGTTGCTTATATTTTTTTTATACAATTATATTCAGTTACTTAGATTTTTGTGTGTAAGAATAACCAAACTTGAGGCTAACCCGGTTTTTAAACTGAGAAATTGGAATGTGCATTGGGCTTGGATTTTGGAGGTTGGTTGAAGGTCGGGTTGGATTGGGCTTTGGTTGAAGGTTGGATGCCATCGGTTGAACTTGGGATTACCCATAGCCCCAATCCACCTGAGCTGCATCCCTGAGTCCATAATAAAAAAGGGAGGGAGGGAAAGGATACTGCTCTGTTTGCTGGAACAGGAAAGAGAGGGTGTCACTTTTCACTCTTCGGTTCTGGAATGAGGGGGATGGATGAGAGACTAGTACATTACATGACGACTGAGAGAGAGGAGATTGTGTGGGGTCCACCACTTCACATCATTCTCTCTCTCAGTCAGTGTCGCAATGTCGGCAATTTTTGGGCCGGTTTTTTTTTTTTAACCCCCATCCCCACCCCATTTAAGTAAACGGTTCTCCAAACCCGCTTTAAATGGGGCGGGGGTGGGGCGGTTCCCCACCGGGTTGGAGATTTTTGCCACCCCTAGATGAGAGACTAGTATATTGCACAACGACTGAGAGGGAGGAGATTGTGTGGGGTCCACCACTTTGCATCATTCTCTCTCTTAGTCAGTGTTGCAATGTCGTCAATTATTGACTTTTCCGGTCCAAAAATGTGAAAATGAACCCCCATCTAAAGTTTCCTCCTTGTTTTCCTCCAATATTTGGACCATTTGGTTTTGATGGGCTGGACAGTATTTTGCCCCATTTCAGCTTTCCTTGGACTATTTAATTGAGGAAAATGCCCTGAAGGGGCGGTATTTATACAATGAACCTTTTGTGTGGAAATTTTACCTCTAAATGCTTCAAGGAATTGGAACACTTCCCATTTTTGTGATTGCGGTTGAATGGTTGGCTTAAATACTTGTGCATTGTGTTATTGTTGCAGGCTGGATACATGCTCTATGATAGAGTTATTCGGCCAGCTGAAGTCGGTGTGACTGTGGAACTGGAAAAGGACAATAAGGAGGAAGGCCAAGGATCAGAAGCTTGAAGGAATGGCCACGAAGGATGCCTGCTGGATGATATTAGAAAATTTTGCGTCTGTTTGTGAGAGATTGAGTTAGTTCTTCCCAGGTTAGATAAGCTTTAGGTAACCTTTTTATTGCAAAGGATGGAACTACTACTTTTATTTTTTTTTTTATTATTATTATTTTTTTTTTCGCTTTTCAGTTTATTATTGTCACTTTATAAATATGTTGCCAACATTTACATCATAAAATTATAAAAACAGTTTTGATTATGGTATGGACGGTTGATATTGTTGGCTCTGGTAGCACCGCATGGGTATTTGTAGCATGGTTGTCTGAAGGAATCTGATATTGAATCGTGTCACTTTTTTTGCCGTTTCATTCTGCTCCATAATTAAAAAATGAAAATATGTAGAGAAAAATACAAGAATATGGTAAGATAATGAAATTACTAGAAAAAAATGGATCCAGTGATTAAAAATAAACTATGAACATATTTTCTTTGGGGTAGTGTTAAAGCAAGTAAAGAATATAAGTTGTTTTCATTCAAAAACAGCGAGAACATGTTTTTTACTTCTCAAATTTCCACAAAAATACAGCTATATTATATGATGTTTGGAATACACGGTTGCATCAAAATATGTGTGTAAAGATGATTACAAATATTTTTATAATATATAACTTTGACATAATATATATATATATGCATATATTAATATTAAATTCAAATTCAAATTCAGAATTAAATTAAAGTTATATATTTCGAGGTAAAAGAGTATTAACATGGATTACAACAATATGTAGGATCGTTCTATTAAATAAACAAACGTGTATATGCGGATGGATGAAATATTTTGCATTAAGATCTGCTCAGGTGCACACACCAAAAAAAAGAAAAAAATAAAATAAAATAAGCTTTGCTCAGACCGAACTTGGTCCCATTAATCATCTAATAGTGTCAAAGAATCTTGAGATTCTAAATACTGTAATATTATGTTTGTTTGATTGCACAGAATTAGTACCTTGAATTTGAAGGAAGAAATGTAGTTCAAAATTTAATATTTTGTGTGTAGTGACGAACTACTTGCTACTTAAAGATTAGAAAAGGCAAAGACCTCATGCTATTTTGGGCATATTGCAAAATTAACTCCTTAAAGACCAGCAGGATTAATTATTTCTGGTACATCTATCATTTTTGGCTGTAATAATTCCAGATATTGAGATCCCAACATTATTCACTCATTATGATAGCCTGGTGAAATATTGGAAGTTAGAACCAAGAAGACTTGCTGAAGTCAGGTGTTTTATACAAAAGGACTTAGATTGCACCAGCCGAAGAGGTGCGAGCACTAAGAAATGCAAGCTTCTCAACGGCATTATCATTCACCACCACTACATTAACGACTCAACTGGTCTTTTCATCATGTACTACTTGTCTAAACCTAAGTTACTTTATACAAAAGCTTACTAAAGTTTAATTTATATGCATCTTCTATGCTAGAAGCTAGTATATCATTTACATTAGGCACCGCAATGGATCGCCAAATGGTTATCAGCAGTCTCCAGAAGAAGCTCTGCATCAGTGCAGTGCCTTAAACCCACCCGAGCCCACTCTCCCAAGCTGAGCCTCATTGTTTTCGCTATCTGAATCCTCCTTATTCTTCTCGGGGTTTTTCAAGCACAAACTCAAGTCCAGATGGCTTTTGTCTGGGTGTTGCAAGGCCAAGCCATTCCCATTTGGTGCCTGCAACACAGACAGTTTAAAACTGTTGAGAACCTGTTATATTATGTCATGAATAATAACATACGTGTATCTCCAACAGAATATCCAAATTTTACCTCAAATTTTCATGCAGAATGGGGAACGACTTATAAAAAAGACTTGAATTTTAAGGCAACTTTGTGAAATTTGATAGTAATTCTGGCAAAAGTAGAGAAACTCTAGTAATTTAGAGTGAAACCTCTTAACTTCTAATTCCTTCTTATGAGTGTATACAATAAGAGAACATAATTGGACAAGAATATTTTACATCATTCATATGCTTGCTAATTCTAGTGGATCTGCAAGGAACTCAGGCTACGGAAACTTGTTATGAAGATTAGTTAGTAAAACCCGGAAACAAACTGATACAAATTTGAATAGATTAATGTTGGCAATAACCTTAAAAGCTCCACTCTGCATACCCAACATGTCTCAAGACAGTACCAGTGGACAGTGTGTTGCAAGAGAATCAAACCATGGATATATAACCTGACTTCATCTAACAAACCAAATTACCAAGCCACAACAAAAGGGAAAGAGGGAGAGTCTACTCACTCCATATTGCACCATCTAAGGTCATCTTTCAATAAGAAAGATATCCAAAGCTCACAGTCTCTAATTTCCAGCATTAAGCATGTAGTGTACATTGGTAATGGATAATAGAAAATATTTATGTAAAATATTAACTAATTTAACTATTTTTTAATCAAAATGGGTATTCAAAAATCCATTACAAAGGCCCGTCATGCCCTTCTTCCACTTTTGTAGTGTTGTGTTGAATCTGACCATTTTATGACATTTGATTCTCAAAGACTGTTTACATGGAAACAATGCTGAAAATTGCACTTCAATGACATTCTGTAAAAAGTTGCACCTGTCATTAACATCTTCCAACCCCTACCTCCCCTTTTTTCTTCCAGCCCCTGTTCCCTTATGTTGTTGGGGGAGGGCGGAGGCAAATCTTGACGCTAACCAAATTACTAATGTTATTTTGGAGTTGATAGGAGACGAAAGACAGATTTTCTCACTAAGAGAAAATTAACAAAAAAAATTTGAACACTTGTTTGATTCATTCTTTAGTTACTCCTATTAGCATTTGGACTTACTAATATGTCTCTGAATGAGAAAGTACCTCGAGAACCCTGCACACATTGTAAGACATTCCTAATCTATTCTTATTCATTTGAGTGGCATTGCTAATTATGGTTTACCGTAAAGCATGCCACACTAGGTAAGAACCAATACAGTTCCTAGGCTTAAAGCCATGTTAGACCAAGTTTTATACTTAGTCACTATAAATTTATTTGATGATTACTGCTTAATAAGAAGTTCTACAAGTTTTAGCTACATTTACTGCATCATCAAATTTCAAAGCAATTCCCTCTTTTTGCTACAACAAAACTGTCCTCACAATAATCAGCGCAATTGAAAATAATACCTAGGTTACACCCTTTGGCATAATCTAGAGGATAACATGAATGTAACATCACGAAAAGAAAAACTACACCAAAAACTGGAAGCGGTTTATGAAAGAAAGACAACAAGAAGTTCAAGGCAAATAAAGTAAACAAGAAGTTCAACAGTCTTACCCGATTCTCTTCCAGAATAGGATTATCGATGTTAGGACTTTCATAGCTATCATCAACCTTTGAAACTGGCCTCATTGTAGGTTGGTCAGTCTTGCTTGTTTTAGCTTCATCATCAACCTTTTTAGCAGCCTCCTTTTTCTGTTCTTCTAGCACAACAATCTGCACAATACAAGTTTTCAATAACTCATTCTATGTGAAAATTACCACAATTAATATCCTCATTTTTTATTTTTATTTTATTTTCAACATCCAGACAAGAAGAGCTAAAATAACAAAACAAAGGCAAGAAATAAGAAATCTCTAAGAAAAATCGACTCTCTGTTTGGAGTCTCTCACCATCCTGCCCTATGGCACAAGTATGGACGCTGAGTTTTGTTATAACAAAACTGAATAGAATCATTACTCTCAGTGTCAAGCTGCAGATGTGCTAGTGGATCATCTTGAAGTGTTTTCATAATTTTATTTTTTATTTTTATTTTTTTCCTGCTCCCCAAAACCGAAGATGCTATGGTTTTACGGCTTCCTCTTCTGTGAGCTTAAATACTGCCTCCAAATTCCGGATGGAGCTCATTTAGTTGTGACAAAGCTTGCATGAATAAGCACATATTAAATTAATTAAGATGTCAATACAAGAAAGATCCAAAAATTACACAACCATACAGTGATCATCCAGTGATTTTAGAAGCTAAATGAGCATTGATACCCTAAAGACGAATACGCTATAGAAAAAACCTCACCTAAATGGCTAAACCCCAGTAATTCTCAAATACCGTAGCAACAAAAACATCTTGAAGAGTTGTATATAATGCCTAGGGTTTGAAACTCAAACCAATTCATTTAAAACCACTTCTAATTGTCGATCTATCTGTCTATTCATCAATCCACATATTCACACGTATTAATGTAATAGGAAGAAGAAAAAAATCCCAAATCTCCAGTAGAAAAACCCTACTTAAACGGTTAAACACCCGCTCATTTCTAACAAAAACCCTAACAACCAAAAGTTCACTTCTCCAGTACCAAAACCCTACCTAAACCTCACATAATTCCAACAAAAAAAAAAAAAAAAAAAAAACTTCATAACACAAGAACCAACAAGTGACGTCACTCAAAGAGGGTTTATCTAACCGGAGTGTATCGGAACTTCCGTCTCGGTGGCTCCTCGTGCTCGCCGGAGTCGGCAGTGTGGGGCGGAGAGATTGGGGTCCACCGACAGAGGAGGAGGGCAGAGGCGTTACCGGTGCCGTTGGACTGAGAGCTGTTCTGGTAGGAGAGAGTGGACGATGATGACACTTGGACCCACTGCTTCTTCCATTTTCTGACCGGGCCGCTGAAAACGGTGGTCGAACCGTACCTGGCCGACGCTCGGCCGAGTCGGGAACTGACTCCCTCCATTTGTTCCTGTCGAAATTCCGGTGTGTCGGACTGTCGTTGGGAGGACAAAACCAGTGCTCTGTCTCTCTCTACTAGAGAAAGAGCTTTAATGGGGGGAGTTTTATAGTACAAAGTAGTACCACTGAACATTTTGTATAAAGAAAGAGTACCATATTTATGGCACTAAATAAAATATTTAAAACTAGCCTTGAAAAAGAAAAAAAGAAGTACTAGCAAGTTTCCATATTCAAACTATTCTTACAAGTTATTGACAAAAGATTAATTTACAAAATAGATTTAAATATTAAACTGAGAATTCCAAAGAAAATTAATACGCCCTTCAGGAAACGTCTAGAATTACCCATGAAAATGGTCTTTTCTAGTGAAAAAATAATTGAAATATGTATACATATTTTCATTTTATTACATTTGAGAATTGAGATATATAAAAAGTATAACACGAAATGGACTTATTATTACATTTGAGAATTGAGATATAGAAAATAATTATTTATATTTTTTATTATGCTTGCATGATGTATTTTACTTAGTATTGAATTCATCAGATAATTTTGATATATAAATTATTTTCTTTTCACTTTTTTGCTAACCAAACTAATGAAACAACATTTTCCTACAAATTCTTTAAAAAAAAAAATCATACTAACCAAGTGCATAATAAAAACATAATTTTCTTTTTTTTTTTACTGCATTTTCTTTTCTTTTCACTTTCCACCACCGATTTCCGACTAACCAAATGAACCCCAGTAGAGAGAGCAATTTTCATGTTTTAATTTTCATTGTAATTGAGATACAAATGCATAATATTTTCGTACAAAAAATTATTTTAGCAATAGGCCTAAAAAAGTTATTTTAACAATAGTCCTAACCAAAGATATGCCCCCTTTATATGTTTTTTTTTTTTATAAAAAAAATTATTTTTGTATATAGCAAAACACACTCCTTTATATGATATTTGCTCGCACTTTTTTTTTTTAAAAAAAAAAACCTTCTGTGTAGAGAAAAAAAAAAGTCTAGTGGACCAACAATATAGACACACAGCTACACTAGGTGCAACAAGAAGAAAGGCCAACAGGCCTCATTCCATTCCCAGGCCCGGACTGAACAAGTTAATTAATTACCGAACATCAAGAAGCCCAATGAGTGCACAACTGGCAAATTTGAAGATGACTAATAGTTATACGAGCAAGAAAAATGATAATTTTGACACTTAAAATCGACATAAATAAAAAATATTAATTTGACAAGTAACGAAATAATCGTAAATGTTCTCTCTTGTTCACACGATCTCCTCTGCTTTGTCGCTGTTCATTTGAAATCATTGGTCGTAACCACGACGACTTGGTGATAGAGATTCATCTCTGCCAGCGAAATTATTCCAGAATCTCAGAGATATATCCCAATTTCTCTCTTATTGAGAAAAAAAAAAAAAAAAAAATCAATTCACGTTTTGAAACAATTAAGGCTATAAAACTAAACATTTTTTTGTCTTCTTCACCTTATCGGAGATCAATTTCAATTCCAAATTTGATCTCGCCTTCATCGTCTCCAACTCTACCTCAATGTTTTCTCCAATACCACTGTCTCACCCTAATCATCGCTGTCGAATTCGACACTAGTCGAAGCCCAAACAATCACATCAAAAACAACTTGAACAACATTGAATCGAAAGTGATTCCTGGATTGAATTTGGGTAATATATGCCTGGATTGAATTTGAGATCATTGATCATATGTATATATATATATATATTTTAATTTCTTTCTAGAATTAGCTATTTGAGTGGTATAGAGAATTATTTAATTTCAATTTAGTTTGATGCATAAAAAAAAAAAAAATAAAAAAAAAATAAAACCGAAGTAGCCATTCTTGGGGATGTTTAATTTAGCGACTTGATGAATATACCGGCACTATTAGAGTTTGTTGTGATTGGAAGAGAGATGATGCATGATTACTTTGGTGGAGAGACGGAAAAAAAAAAAGAAAAAAAAAAAGGGAGGAGGAACCGCTGGCCCCACACAACTATATATACATGTTGGTGTCGTATTTTTGCAGGTTTTTTACTAGTCGGAAATAGCACTACTCTATGAGTAATGATGACTAATTTTATGTGAATTGAAGTTGATGATGTAATCGTGTTATTATTAATAACATTATGATACATCAACTCTCGTTCACGAAAATTTAATTAAAGTTGTCTAATTTTTGAATTCCAAATTATTATCCTACTTATATACAGGCAGTTGGATGCATTTTTATTTTCCTAACATTTGGATGCTCACCTTCTATTGGTATTAATAATCGTCTAGCATATGCTAGTCGAGATTTGATTTTATTTTTAATTCAACTCTTGTTATCTTCAGTTTTTTTTTTGAAAAATTTAACAATATGAAAAAAAAAAAAAAATTTCTACTATAATTTTTCAAAGTTAAGAAGGTAATCTTCGGAACATTTGAACCAACAAATCAAGCGAACACATGTCAAATCTTTGTATGGCATAAAGTATAATAAAAATCAATAGTACTTGGTACTTTAATGTATAGGGTTTTTTTTATTTAAATAATGGTTTGAGCTAGAGGCTAATTCTAACAAATAAAGTTTGTATCTGGTCCAAGTTTGTATTCAAATGTTATGATGTTGGAGTTTTCAATAGAACAAAATGACAGGGGTGGCCATCCATGGGATATAATTGGAGTAGGCATTAAATATAATTCAATTTGATTATTTTGGATTGGTGAAAATTAAAATTAATTTAATTTTGTTATTTTTGTAAATTAAATCAAATCGAATTAAATATTTTCACAGATCACATTAAATTGGTTATACGAATTAGGTTATTTCTAAATAGCCTAATATTATTATTTTTAATCATAACGCAATGTTGAATTTTCAATTATTAGCAAACTTAAAAATTTGTAAGTCTCTATGCTACATTTGGTGTGATGGCATAAAATGAAATGTTTATTCTAATTCATTCGTTTAGTATGCAATTTAAAATGAAAAAAAATAAATAAATAAAAATCTATTTCATAACTGATGACTATTTTATTTTTAAGTAAATTATTTTTTAAAAAATAAACTTTTTAAAAAATCCTCACAATCTAATTCTAAAAATTACTTTTATCTTTTACCACCATTTTCTACCGCTTTTCACTACCACTGTCACCGTGGCACCGTTATCTCTTTTCTCCGCCACCGCCTTTCTTTGCGAAGGTTAATGAACACTAGATGTGTTGGTGCCACTTACCTGAAGAAAAAATAAAAAATTGGGAGAGGAAACACAGATAAGAACAATATAGGACAGTATTTAATTGATTAATTAAAAACCAACGAAGTGGTTAAGCCCCACTTACAAATGAGTCTTTTCACTCTCTTAACTTTAGCCAACAAAGTATTTTTAATGGCCAACAATACCGAGCACAGAGAACAGTACAAAATGCATGTGAGCGTTCTGGTCGGTTCAGTACATTACTGTCTGTGCCACGTGGGGTAAGAGCAGTTGCTACTATTGCTACCTGTCTAGCAGGCTAGCCCTAGCTTCATGTGCCCCACTCAATTCACCTATCAAACTTAATTTAGTCAATGGAAATGAAAATTTTTGGTTAATTTTTTATAATTACATATACAATTAAATCCTAATAAAAAATATTATAAGAAGATATTTAGAGGGATAAATTAATAAAGAGGAACCAGATTCGCTCCAGGTGTAAATTCTTAATGATTCAATTTCAACTCTAGTTTCATTGCTCTTCTTACTATTAAGATATATTTTCAAGTATTTCAAAGTCTACTTGATTGCTTTGAATATAATATCACAATACTAATATTCTTTTTTGAAATTTCTCATACTACTAACACAAGAACAAAAAAAAAAAAAAAAAAAAAATCTAATCTCAGATGTAGACTTTTCCCTTCCGATGAAATTATATAATTAGTGCCATCAATTAATTATATTTTATCATGTAAGTAAATTTTTTATTTATTTTAATAAGACATATCATTACGTGTCAATATTTAATAAATTAATAATACCACGTGATTAATAAAATAACTTGAGCAATAAAGTATTTAGCGGAGACAGAATATTTAGATAAGCTATTGTTATTACATATTTAGATCATTTTAATATAAATATATTTAACTAATGAATTATTAGTTCAATAATATAACATCTTTTTCGAAAAACTAAGGTGAGAGTTTCAAACTCTATCAATAAATTGAAAAAAGTGAGGTCGATACTTACCTAAAAAAAAAAAAAAAATGTGGGCATATTTATTTATTTATGTAAGTTTTAATTATTCCAACCAATACAAGTAGTGAATGATGGACATTTAATTCTGACGTGGCCGCCATGTGAACAAGCACATCACTATATAGGTGACATATCATCTCTATCACACAATCCATTTAATGATCTGTCATTTTTCTTTTATTGGTTAAGGCCATCATACTGAAATCTTCTTTCTCTGTTTCCGACCGCGATTACAACTTTGTGGCCCTTCTGATTCAAACAATACTAGATTACATTAGGGACAAACATGTAGTAATCTAGTCCAACGGTCAGTGTCATGTTCGTAAATAATCATAAAACCACGGGCATAAGACATCAAAATCTTCAGCACAATTATATATACTAGTTATTTATACACTAGTAGTATAAACGGCATGTACAAAGGGACCAGACACGTTCCATTTTCTCCTATAATGCCTTGCTCTTCCTCCGTCCTTTGCTTGCTTCGATCATCACTATTCTTTTACGCACTCTCTCTCTCCTCGACACAAACACTGAGACGAAGACTCTTTTAGATCTGCGACCACACACCCTACAAACCCTAGTTTGAAGTACAATCTCGGTAAGCATTCACTGCCATTCAACCTTTTTTTTTTTTTTTTTTTTACATTGTTTCAGGAAAAATGTGGATTATCTATGGTGATCTCTTGTTGAATAAACTTCATTATAGTGGCTAAAATGGATCTAATTGGAGATCTGGGACATTTGAAGTTCATATAGCACTTTTGTTGTATTTAATGTGGTGTTTATGATCTTGGATTATACCCATTTTTTGCTAGATCAAGGGTTTGGGGATTTTTGTTCTACGTTGCTTGAAATGTTTCTTGTTTTGCACTGTCTTAGTGGATTTGATTCCTCGTGTCATGGTTTTGTTGTCTTTTTTGGTGTGATTGAGCTTGAGATCTTGTGAATAATTTTTTTTTTTTTTTGTTAATGAGGTCTTAATTTTTCATATAGTCTTATAATTTGGTTAATTAAGCTGGATTAGGTGCAAATGAGTTTTGAATAAACTTTCTATAAGCTTAGAAGTTTGTAATGTGGTTTCAGGTGCTGTGTCTTTTGTAAAGGTCAAAGATGATTTAGAAAAATCTTAAATTGATTCAACATTTAATGCGTCAAATTTGGTATTTGTTTCACGAAATGGTGCTGGCAATTACATCTTTTGTACATAAAATTTTAATTTTTTTCTTCAACAAATTAGAGGGTTTCTTTGATAAATCTACTGCACACCATTTTCATGTTCTAATAATTCCATTGTTATACTTTCCAAGTTGTTTATGGCATTGGGGTTTTTCAATTTGACAATGAATTTAGATGATTTTTAACCTTAAATGTAGAATCCTCGTCTCCCCCCAAATTGTTTAGTCTTTCTTCATTGACAGTTACAAATTCCTTTCTTGGTTGTTGTTTAGTTATGTAAATTATAGTTCCTTTGCACCAACGACCTTTTTTTAAAAACACATGCCAGCGCATGTGTTTTTGTTTTGATTCTGTGGTAAAGAAATATTGTTGCTAGTATATATCTTATATGGATTTGGTTTGTTTTTCGTTGGCTCTGTATCTTGTTTCTGCTTTGGAGAATATATTATAATCCATAAAAAAATTGAGAAACTATTTTGAATATTCCATTGTTGATGCAGGATAGATTGCAATAACAACATTCATGGCTGTAGCGGATGCTCAAAATTCTCTTGCTGGAGGAACTACCTGCGGTTCTCTGCTGCAGCAATTGCAGGCAATCCATTTTCTATTTTTCTTGACTTGCAATTTTGATCAAATTTTATTTGGGAGGATTTGAGAAGCTTTATAAGCGGAGCCCGAAAAAGCACTTTCTTGACTGGAACTACTATTTAGCTGTCAATATGATAGGCTAAAAAAACAATGTATTCTAATGCAGCAAATTTGGGATGAGGTTGGTGAAAGTGATGAAGAGCGGGACAAGATGCTTCTTCAAATAGACCAAGAGTGCTTGGACGTGTACAAGAGGAAGGTTGATCAGGCTGCAAAGTCGAGGGCTCACCTTCTTCAAGCCCTGGCAGATGCTAAGGTTGAACTTTCAAGTCTTCTTTCGGCTCTTGGAGACAAAACTCATGTTGAGATTGTAAGTAACCACTTCACTTTTATGTGGAATAAAAATGATGAGCCTCATTGGATTTCAAGTTGTGGAAGTTGTTCAAGTTAGTAAACAGGGTTATTCTATATATATATTTGGTCATTTGCAGCCTGAGAAGACTTCAGGAACAATCAAGGAACAACTTGCTGCCATAGCACCAGTACTTGAACTTCTGTGGAACCAAAAAGAGGAGAGGATAAAGGAGTTTTCTGATGTACAGTCACAAATACAAAAGATATGCCGAGAAATTGCAGGGGCAACTGAGCAGGTAGGTAGTCCTGCTGTTGATGAGGCCAACCTATCCTTAAAGAAGTTAGATGAATTTCAATCTCAGCTCCAAGAACTTCAAAAAGAAAAGGTAAATTCTCTACATCAGTCAACAGTTCATTACTTAATAGCCGTTTGGAACCACTACACTTATTAACTTGTGACTGACTATTAATTGTTTGTTTGATCTGGCAGAGTGATAGGTTGCACAAGGTACTTGAGTTTGTAAGCACTGTACATGATCTCTGCGCTGTCCTTGGGATGGACTTCTTCAGCACTGTTACTGAAGTTCATCCAAGCTTAAATGACTCAACTGGTGTGCAATCCAAAAGTATTAGCAATGACACCCTATCTAGGCTGGCTAAGACGGTTTTAGCACTAAAAGAAGATAAGAAGCAGAGATTGCATAAGGTAAGTCTTTCAGTATTCAGCTTTTGATACTGGTTAGAGAAGTTCATCAGAATTTTTATTTATTTATTTTGCCTTGCACTTCTATCACATGGACTAGACATGTGTTCTATCGAGAATACAGTTACTAAAAAGCTCTGCTTGCTGTTTTGTCAAGGCACATATTATTTGTTATTAGAAGATATCTTAAGATTGCAGAAATATGCTATGTGAATTACTTTTTTAGAATCAATAGAACTTTAAGAGCACTATCAGATCTTGTACTGTTGGCCTTACCAAAAAAGAGTTTAAATATATGGCCTTCTACTGTACTGTTCTGCTATTATGCGCTTTACAGGGAATATTTTCTGAGAAGTCCTTTCATTCTATTGCACTTTTTTTTTTTTTTTTGATAGGTCCTTTCATTCTATTGTATCTGGCAGCTTCTTCTCAATTCTGGAGAAACTTGTCCTTTTAAGTTAACCAGATTATGTTTAGATTGCTACTTATGCACATAATAACTGTGCTGATTTTCGAGATTTTCTCTTGTTTCATATGGTATTTCTGGGTACTGTGTTGCATCCTCAAAATATTTAATAAATATATTTATTCAGTTATGGAATGATTGTTGTTGTATATAGTTAAGTAATTTGGTACAACGTATAAGAAGTGATTTTGGCCACATTTTGGTTCCGTAAAATATGGTTTAGGGAAACTGAACTGACTCAACAAAGTATTTTCCCAATTTCTTATGGTCGACTACATGAATCCTATTTTTCTATTACGCCTTATTTAAGACCATAGGCTCAATCAAAGCGCATGTTATCACATATCTTATACTCATGTTAATTTTAGTCCTCCACTTCTCCTAGCATTATCCTGAAGTTGGACCATGTCATTCTTCCAAATTGGTGCACTTAGTGGTCTTCTTTGCACATGTCCAAACACAGAAGTTAATTTGTTCTTCTTTGCACTTAGTGGTGTACCCATGGTTCGGGACACGAGTAATATTTTCATTTTTCCTACACAGCTTCAAGAGCTAGCAACTCAGCTAATTGATCTTTGGAATTTGATGGATACCCCCCAAGAAGAACGGAGTTTGTTTGATCACGTTACCTGTAACATATCAGCTTCAGTAGACGAAGTAACCATCCCTGGGGCCCTTGCTATTGATCTGATAGAGCAGGTAATTCATTTCCACTACCTTCTTGAAGTTTTAATTGAATATGCATTATCAGTGTGCTCATGTAGTTGTTTGCCTCTGTCAAGGCTGAAGTGGAAGTTGAACGGCTTGATAAGCTCAAAGCTAGCAAGATGAAGGAAATTGCTTTTAAGAAGCAAGCTGAGCTTGAAGAGATATTTGCTCATGCTCATGTTGAGATTGATCCGGAGCGTGCCAGAGAAAAAATTATGGCACTGATTGACTCTGGGAATGTGGAGCCGACTGAGTTACTGGCTGACATGGATAATCAGATAGTAAACGCAAAAGAAGAGTCTCTCAGTAGAAAAGAAATATTGGATAAGGTTGAGAAATGGATGTCAGCTTGTGAAGAAGAGAGTTGGCTTGAAGACTACAATAGGGTATTTCTGCTCTCTCTCTCTCTCTCAATATTATTCTTCTATTTATTTGATCCAGCAACATTTGGAACTTTGATTACTGTCAATGCAGTCTATGCGATTCAGTTGATTATCTCAATGCCGGAGAGATTTTCTATTACATGATTGATGCGATCTACTGTTTCTAAAATTATGTGATTCACCAATGGGCCAGTGGCCCAGCGGTACCAAGCCCCTACTTCTCAAAGAGAGGTTAGGGGTTCAAGCCTCAGTGGAGGCATGGGGGTGTGAGTACCAACTAAGAAATATATATATTTTTATATGATTCTACTAGCAGGGGTTGTAACCCAGTGGTACTTTCTGACATTCTAAAGTAGAAGGTTGAGGGTTCAAGTCTCCATAGGACAAAGTGAGGTTGTGAGTCCCAATTGGGAAAAAATTAAAATAAAATAAAGTTATGTGATTCTTCTACATGCTGTTCTTTCTTATTATGCAGTCGGAACTTAAAATGTCTGATCCTTGTTCCAGTCACACATACTTATTGGTCAAAATTATTATTTGAGGATATACAATTGAGGATGTCTTGTGCGCAAGTTCGAGTAGCATTCTAATTTTTTCATCTATGATCTATGGTTAGTATAATCCTACTAAACTATTAGTAGCCTGGAGTCCTATATGATACACACACTAGAACATAAATTTCCCTATTCCTAGTATAAAGGGCGCGCACATTTTTCACATGACCTTATTGATGTTCCTTGTATAAAGGGCACATTCTTCTACCTATTGGCTCACAAAGGTTTCACGTCTTTATGGGCAAGGAAAAGGATAAATTTGCCAGTTTTTGTTACCGACTGATGTGGCAAAATTTTTTTTTTTTTGCCTTCCCAGCAATCAAGTTGAAAATATTACTGATGAAAAGCAGAATTGCAATCCAAAAATGAAAAATACTATCTTGGTTAATGATGTGGCAATATTGATAGTAACACTTTAAGAGGAAAGGGAGTGTAACTTATCTATTACTGACAAAGAGTCCTTGTTGGACGGAGTCGCACCAAAAAACGATCATGCATTGTAGGATTACTCTATGGGCAATGGTAGGGTTATATAGCAAAATGGGAGTGTCTGTCAAGTTCATGCTTGGTTACTTTTTCTCACAGCAACAATTAGGGTCTTGCTTTGTCACTGATCTTGCCTTGTTGAAACAGGATGAAAACAGGTATAATGCGAGCAGAGGTGCACATCTAAATCTCAAGAGGGCTGAAAAAGCACGGATTCTGGTCAATAAAATTCCAGGTATATACAGAATCAGACCACAAGGTTACCACAATGCTGTGTGACGTAAAATGTTATTTCATTGCCATACTTAATATATGCACATTAAGGATGAAGTATGCTCATGCTTGTTTATTTCATGTAGAATCGGACTACAAGGTTACCACAATTGCTGTGTGACATAAAATGTTATTTCATTTCCATACTTAATATGCACATTAAGGATGAAGTATGCTCATGCTTGTTTATTTCATGTATTACAATCTGCGTGTGCAATTTATTTATTTATTATTATTATTATTATATTTTTTGTGGATGTGTCGTATACTGTATACGCGTAGGCGTAGCATGGCGTATATTATCCTTAAAACCTTGTTTTAGATTATGAATGACTTATAATTGGCGAGGAGATTAAGATATTCTCTTGATTAATTGTAAATCTATATTTATTAAAATTATAGATAAACAGAGTTCAATGTTAGCCATAATTTCAATTGAACAAAATGGTGAAAAATTATTAATTTTTCTGAGGTGATCATTATTAATGCTGTATGAAGCTGCATACTGGGGATACTACCTAAAAAGTTTATTGTCTAATTATGCACATTACATGGGAACTCATGGGTGCAACCATGTAATATCTGCTTGACACCTTACATGTAGAATTCTCACAAGTAGTGATTGGTTTTCTTTGCCATGTAGCTCTTGTTGACACCTTGGTCGCCAAAACCCGAGCATGGGAAGAAGATCGTGGCGTATCATTTACTTATGATGGTGTTCCTCTACTTGCCATGCTAGACGAATATGCAATGCTCAGGCATGATAGAGAAGAAGAGAAACGAAGGATGAAGGTAAGTCCATATTGACGGAATTGTCAAGAGATATTCAGGGAGGGTCTAGCACATTGCAAGAAGTTTTGCCAATTAGTCCTTGAACGGCCCAATTTTAGCTTTTAGGCTAGCTAAGTAATAACCGGTCTAAATCTGCTTTTCTAATTAAACAAATGTTCTTGTTTTTTATTTTTATTTTTTATGATACAGGATCAGAAGAAGTTTAATGAACAGCTAAACACAGAACCGGAAACCATTTTTGGTTCAAAGTCCAGCCCTGGACGAGCAGTTGGTGCAAAAAAGGTGGTAGGCCCACGCACAAATGGAGGTGCAAATGGAACTCCTAGCAGAAGGCTATCTTTGAATGCTCATCAAAATGGTGCCAGGTCCTCAAATAAAGAGGGGAAAAGGGATATTAGGCCTGTTGCCATGTCGAAAGAGGATGCTGCATCACACGTTTCTGGTACTGAACCTGTTCCGGCTTCACCATAATAATTGAATAAGAGAGATCTGTAGCTTACACACCCGTGATATTGTGATTGTTAATGACTAGATTAGTTGCTGCAGTGGGATACATATATGAACATTGAGTAACTGGAATGTTGAGACCTGGTTAATTGCTTCTTCTTTTTATTTTTTTTTATTTTTTTGGGACTTTCTCTGAAGATTAACTTCTGCTCCTGAGTTTGCTTTTGGAGTTCAATCCCTTGTTCCAACTTCAGTATTACTATTAGGCAGACACTAACTGAGTACAAGCCCGTGTTCCAAGCTTCTGGGGTTGACAATAAAAGCTGTTGTGTTTCTCTTTTATTAATGGTAAAGGAAATAAGAAATGGAGTTGAATTTGGTTATTCTCTGAGAGAGAGGGAGTGTGTTCAAGCCCGAGAAAACATGAACCTGATCAATCATAACCTCATTAGTAGTTAAATATTTTAGTTTTATTCAGTTTTTTTACTTATGCGATTGTGATTGACCTGGACTATGTAATATTTCATCTCTTGTTTAAGTTCAACTTCATGCTCTTAATCATTTAGCTTGAACTTGACTTGTTAGGCTCTAGTTCTTGAGCTATAGTTTTAGTTTAAGGTCAAAACTAATAAGCAAAAAATTTAATTATAATTTTAGCAAGCCATATTAACAGTTTTTGACAAGTTATTTAGCAATTTAAATGACATAATGCTAAATCCTATAATATAATGTCACAATCAAAAGACATGACAAATATGACGCAATAAAGGAAGTCGTATTTAGTATTAAAAAAAAAAATTCTTCCACCCCTTACTTTTATGATAAAACAGAAAAGGAAAATGGATACTAGAAGTTTATGAGATCACATGGCTTATAGTTGCTCGTGTTCACTTTTTTATAAATTTCACAAGATGATAACAGTTACTATTCACATGAATATACTATTCAGGAGTCATTGCTCGGGTCCATTTTTTTAAATTAATTAATTAAAATTTTTTTTTATAAATTTATTCTTGAGAAAATTTGTCTTTTGCATTGGAAAAAAAATGAAATATTAGGTGGATGATTCATTTTTATTACATTTGAACGTCATTATACTTCACCTTTGACTATAATTTGTGGAGTAACTATAACTTAGGGAAGCTAAAAATAATCAGAGTGGCGCAGCGGATGCGCGGTGGGCCCATAACCCACAGGTCACAGGATCGAAACCTGTCTCTGATATTGTATCATTTTTTACCGCTCATCTTGCCTTACCTTCAACATGAGTTGCAGAAACACCAACCCCGTTTGTCTACTCCTGTATGTAACACACCCTCTCTCTATCCTTTGAAAATTTTCAAAAACCTTACTATTTATTGGTAACACAAATGAAACCCTAATTTTCAAATTTGCTTCTTTTTTTTTTCTTCGTTTGATTCGGATTTTAATGCAATCTTGTCCAGGTCGATTGTATGCAATGGATGGAGGGTAGAAAATTCCGCAGAGCGAGCGTACCATATACGCTAATTCATTCCGTGTTTCCATCATGAATCAATTTGAGAAGGTCTAATTATTTCTTTTTATGCGCTGATAGGATACAATCAATTTTTTAATTGTTAGAAAATATGACGAACTTATATATACATTTTACTTATTTGAATAAACATGTTGGAATTTAAAGTTTGTATCCATATCGTTAGGCTTGAGTACTACTAGCTAATTCATTTTTCAAATTAGACTGGATTAGCTTTGTTTTGGGAAGTTCGCTGTATAAGTTGGAGAGGTATTTGTCATGAAATGAAGTATTGAAGATCACCCATAAAAGTGATCATCTCTCTTTAAAACACACACACACACACACACACACACACACACACACAGATATTCTCCCCATCTTAATTACTTAGGAACATAACATTTTGTATCAGAGTTTAGGCTTAAAACTAACTACATTTTGCATTTTGGTATGCTCTCTCCAAGGATGAATTTGGACTCCAACCGATTGACTTCTATCTCATAATAAGCTCAAATATGTTCAAAATCAACTGCCAAAACCTTGTTCAAGATTGTCTAATTCATGTTTTTGTCTGGTCCACATATTGAGGACTTTTAATTTGTAGCCTAGTGGCAATTTCTTTGACACTTTGATGTAAGAACATTTCACCCAAAATTGGGGCATCAAGGAAAATACAATACTTTACAATGTTTCATTTCGCTGTGCTGCTTAGGTTTGTTGAAATGACCAAATTTGAAATTTTAATATCGTTTGAGAGTTGGCTGCTATTTTTCCTACTGGCTCTGTTTATGGTGATAAAAAACTTGCATCAGGACGATTTAAAAAATGTCAATAGGACCATTCAGTTATATACTTATATTAGATATTCAAACATGTCCTAAGTAGTTTGTTCACCTTGACCTTTTATGTTTCTAATATCTGATAGATAGTAGTAGTTAACCGGTATGCATTTATGAGAAAAAGCAGAAACAACATCACGAATATTACTAGAAGTATATCTGGATCATTTTAAGATATAATTTGTGTCTGTACTTCTTCAACTTGAAGTCATATTTTGCAGATTTCAACTTGTTCCAGTGATTACTATAGATGCAATATCAATCTGAAGCACATTAATGATTTGCAAGTATCTGAAATTAGTATGCTCACTACAACTATCTTCTCATTTGTTTCAATTATTTGGGTCCGTTTAACAGGATAATCGCTGAAGTTGGGACCTGATGTCCACTTACACCTGGGAGGATTTGCCTTGAATGTCTTCGCGAAGGCAGACAAGCAAGACCGGACCGGGTGAGCTGATTTGTGTGATAAGTTTTTCCTTCTTTGTTTTTTTTTTTCATTTTCTTTTTGATGATTATTATACAAGGAATTGGAACACGTGTTATGAGGTCCACATTTAGGTGTAATCTTAACTCTCTCAAATCGTTTGAGGTCCACACACAGGCATTTTGGAAGTACATACATGTTTCTATGATGTTCCCTTTTATGTTTGTGATATGTGCACAATGTGTCAACCAATGTTCCTGTCACAAAATTAGATTTGAAAACCGTTTCCTCCCATTATGATATTTACCAATCTGCTTGCATTTGGACTACTACTCTTGTGGACAAGCTAAACTATACTGTTATATAAGGTTGTTATGTTCTTGGATCCGCTTTGTATCTTAGGGTTTGTAGCACGTTAGTAGATGCTACACATTGAGAATGGGCTTCTGCAAGGTGCACACCTTTGTTTAGTCTAGCCCTTAGAAGTGGAATGGCTAGGAGAGCAACAGGTTGAGTTTGGGTTGGTCCCTTTTCCCTGACCTAGCCCGAGGGCGGAGGTATCACTCTTAAGCCTGTGATTGGTGGGGGTGCAACCAATTTAAAATTTCAAGCAGATGGGGTTCGTAGGTCTTCCCATTGGGTTCAAAAAAGTTATTTTCTAACATTGTGGTGTTGTTCATTAGGGAAGTGTTTCCGAAACCATTTTTTAAGAAAATAATTTACAGGTGGCATGTACTCATTGCATGCCTTGACACGGTTGATTAAGCTCAATATATGGAGTGCTGAAAGGCTTTATTACTTTTACAGAGAAATAGGTTTTCTCAATCCTCATTGTTACTACACTTTGAATGTGGGGCAGGAGTACTGTATCCAAAAGTCTGGTAGTGGATGTGGAGAAGATATAGGGTACTCAAGGCTTACTACGTCATTGCTATTGCCCAACCAATGAAAATGCACCATATCAACTTGGAATCAGCAATTTTTTATAAATAGGTGGGACAAATTTCATTGGGTGGTGCATTTTAATTGGGTAGACATACCAATAACTTGGTGTGCATGGCATGGCAATGGCATACCCAATATCTACTGTGGATGTGAGGTCACACGATTTCGTTATCGTAAAACTCGACAAAGGCATAAAATGATGTAGTATCACCCATTTTGGAGGCAATGCAGTAATTCAGTCATCCTGGTCACACACTTAAGACAGATTGTAACCTGAAAGTGTTTTATAAAGTTTAAGCATCTTCTTGGACGCAAGCAGTGGGCATGTTGTGTAGCAAGATAGATCAATAATTTTTGCAAAGGTAATAATGGTTGCATTACCTGTTGCTCCTTAATTTCACATAAAGACCTGAGTGCCTTCTGTCCTTTTGGTCTTCTCATCCTGTTGCTTCTTATATACGGGGCATGGTGGGTACTCCCTGCTGAAGCCTGTCCCGACTCTGTTTACTGACTTCTCTAACCCATTTAAGTTGGGCAGCCACTGGGCCAGTATCGATTTTTATCGGGTTCATCGTCATCGTAGGAATGGCTAACAATACATCTGCTGCTGATCTTTGAGCGTACTTCTTATCAATTGTTTGTTTGGATTGAAAGCTAGATTAAAATAAATAAAACAGTTTGTTCTTTGCACTTTTAACTTTGATATATATAGAAGTTTGAACAAATGATCTGTTTGGGAAAAACTAGGCTTGTTCATTAGATCTACAAGGAACAATTTTGACAAAAAAAATTAAATTTTTTTTTTTCTTTTTCTAGTTGAGTAAAAGAATGTCATTATATGAGAGACGATGATTGTATAAAAGTTAAGCACATCTTCCTCCAACATAAGTACTTTTTCCAATCCTCAGTGATATTGTGACTAAAGAACAGGCACACAAAGTCAATGTGTATTGTCTCTGCCACTCTAGTCCCTCTTTTTACAACCAAACCTAACCTGTGCGAGTAAATGAATGCTGGATCATGCCGATTCTCATTTAAACCATGGTCATAAGTGTTTTTGTCTATGAAGAGCTCTCTCTCTCTAAAGTTGATTATTTTTTGGTAATTGTTTGATAATAGTTATAACTTATTGAATTTGTTACAGAAATACTACAAAGACATTTTATGCTGCAAGTATTTTCTTTGAGATTCTTAATCAGTTTGGTCAATTTCAACCTGATGTGAGTTTCTGATTACATTATTAATTTTTACACTGATGGGTTCATTTACTCTATATGTTCATATTTAATAGATATCGTGTTAAAATAGCTGGGCATAGTTGATTTATTATATTGGCTAATATTGGGTTAATTTTTATGTTTATGACCCTCTAAACAGCTTGAGCAGAAACAGTTATATGCAGCGTGGAAAGCTGCCGATATAGGAAAAGCTTTGACAGAAGGAAGGAAGCCTGAACCTGGCACCCCTGGTGGTGATAAAGATCTATATATACCGTCAAGTACACCTAGTAGGGAATTTGTATGATTCTGTACTTAATAGGCTCTGCCTGTCTTGTTGATAGGGTAACATAGTTATTGTGAATCTTGTGAGGGAGGCAAGATGGGTTTCCTATTAAACGGCCCTGAAGAGAAGGACGGGAATGAGCAGAATCAATGTGATTTTGTAGGCCACAAACATTAGTGAAAGAAGAATTGGTATTTTTCTGAAACAGCAGATAATGAAAACTAGACAAAGAAACAGATTACATCCTCAAAAGAATATGTAACATCACTTTCAACTAACATTTAATGCAATAGTTCTTGTATTTGATGGTGAAAATGTTGACAAGTATGCATTGTAGAGGGTTACATTATGCATTGGTTACAGAATCGAACAAGTTTTTTCGTTCAAACATACACACAGATATATACATGCACATGCACACATGAAGATACATCTGCTTAGACCTTGATTAGGAAAGAATTATAGTAGTAGTTGGACATTTTGAAGAACTTCTGACGAATCTGATTATTTATATGGTTCTACCTTTGCAGGACCCTGAACCAAGCATTACTGATACTATGAAACCTGCTCCAGAACTTGACCCATCACCTCAGTCCTACGATAAAGTTAACCCCCAGAATTCCACGAACATTCCATAATCTACTCCAATTATTTCACTGTCATCTCCTTCTTACCCTACTCCCGGTTATTTTTCCAATGATTTCAATCTACCAACTTCAACCAACATATCAGAAGATTCTACTTATTCTCAGCCATATAACCATCAACCATATTCACAAGAGCCTCAACTGCATGTGGCACAAAATTACCCATCCCATGAAATTCCCTCGTACTCATATCCCAATTTCCAATCTTACCCTTGTTTTGCAAAGAGTAGCCTCCCAGAAGCACCGTCTCATTATCCTTCCTATCCGGAGTGTTCTGATTCTTTGTACCCTACCTTGTCAGCTCCTTCCAATAGGAACTACCCACCAACTGTTCAATACAATTAAGGCAGCAGAAATGGAACTTTTCCAGAAGTTCAACCAGATCCTGCACAGATATACCAATATGACAGCAATAACCAGGCACCACCTGAGAAAATTGGTGAGGCACACAAGGCTGCAAGGTTCGCAGTTGGGGCTCTGGCATTCGATGATGTGTCTGTTGCAGTGGACCACCTTAAGGAAATCACTCGAACTACTGACAAATCCATCAGCAGGTCAGTAAGTTGATTATTTGATCTCACAGCAGCGGTTTTTAAATCTATTTTAATTTTTCTGATTTTGTATGGTTTTGTGTAAAGTTCGTTGGTTTTTTAATGAATTTTTTTACTGCTTTCAATATTATGCCAAAGTAAAGTTATAGTTGTTTTGGAAAATCTTTGCAGCATCTCTCTCTATATATTTCCCAAAATGATTTTCTGGATATTCCTCAATGTCCCGGCTATTCAAGGAGCCATCAAGATCCAATCCAAATCACGATTTCATTTTCTTGTCCCTGAATGAGCGATATTCAAATTTCGTATAGATTAAACGATTCAATGTATTATTTGTTAAATATTAAATTCATCTATATGGTGGGTATGCAGTTATGAATTACAACACATTTCCTCACTCACTTTTTTCTTCTCAACACAGGGCAGTTCTTGCTAATCGGCAACAATTCTCAGGTTACACTTTAGAACCCAGGGCTGCATTGCTCGAAGCCCCCTTTTGGTGGAACTTAAATGCACGGTAATTCTCAATGACTTGTTTTAGATCACATGGCTAGTAACTTTATCTTGCATGGACACTGGACAGTAACTTATGATATATAGGTATCGGGATATCCTGACTTTGAGAAGTTAAATGATTAATCATTTCATTTAGGCTTTGTTTGTTTCGACGTAAAATATTTTTCTTTTTCAAGTAAAATATTTTATTTTTATTTTTATTTTTTAGTGTTTGGCAAAAGTCTAGGTCGAGTCTATCTGGCGGGGCGTGTACAATAATTTGCCAAAAATTGATGGATGAGTTATTTTTGTTAGATTTAAAAAAATAAAAAAAAAATTCGTAAATATTTTATGACAGCCAAACACCAGAAAATTAAAAATATTTTTTGAAAAATATTTTACATCCAAACAAACGGAGCCTTAATTTTATCAGAAAATAAATTTCTGATGTCTTGGCCCCAGGTTGTCCATATCTTATTTCTGGCTGGTGGGTAAACGGGGCGCATGTTGTTCTTAGGTTCAATATTTCAATAGCCTGGTGTATCATGTCAAACCTAGGATGTGCACTTGCTCTTTTGATAGATATCGCTACTGCTTTGCAGAAGATTGATCACACTACTTATACTCTTCTGGCAAAAATCCCTTCACAGATAGAAGTAGCTTAGTTGATTTTTATTTTTTCACCAAATCCATCACTTGAACCATATTTTTAACCTATTCTATAGTGAATACCAATGCAAACATACCATACTTTGATTCTATAGGGAATACCATCTCCAATCTCTCTCTCTTCCTTAAACAATTGAACCAAGTGATGGATTCTTTTGATATATCTAGATTTTCGATCTTTGCATAACCCCACTTCTATTCTTATATTATCTTTTGCATCGATGGCTTTGTCTCCCTTGGTTTGTTAAATTTAATCGTTAGGATTGCAAACAGCACTGTGGTTCAATCGTTTGTTAGGGTTTGCAATGAGTTTGCCTTGCGGTGAGACAGTGCAGTGTGATGAAGATAACTGAAGATGAAGTGTGATGCTACACGATGAAGTCTAGGGCCCGAATCATGCAGCTCTGTTACCATGATAGATTTATAACGGTTATATTTGCATAGTGAAGAAGAAGAATTGCTCTATATATTCAATCGCAAGTCTAATAAAATAGAAAGGCAATAATACCCTAAATAGGAAAATAAATCCTAATGTTAATCTACCATTAAAGTTCCTTTGCTTTCATCACCAATTTTACGATGCATTCTTTGTCCTACAAAAAGTTTGGACAAGCCAACAGTAGTTGACTTCTTGTGTGTACATAACACAATGTTTCACTTTGGTCTAATCTGATTTTATCCACATTGGATATTGATAATAACTAAGCTACCTTCCTAAGAAAGATCCTTGGAGAATCCAATTTGGTATCTTTTGTAATCTCTTTCAGAACATTATTCCATATATACCATTTCAACCTGGTGTTCTGTTAATCATTCATTGGTTCATTTGAGTATAAGAAATGGGAGTAACCCTCTGTGGTTTTGGGCAAAAAAGTCCCAAAAGACCGTCGAAAAACAACTCTGATGATCGTCATGTTGTCCTAACAACATCCATTATCAAGTTCATGAAGCCGATATGTCTATGGACAGCAAAGAAAAAGAAGAGGCAGTTGCAGCCACAAGGGAAGCAACAGCTGCTGCTAAAGAAAATGAATCAGCTCAATACTCTAGAGGATTGGCTCTCCACTTCACCGGGCTTAAATGAAGGTTCCTTAAGTGGAGGTGAGTTCCATGTTCTTAAGCAATTCTCGAATAGGGTTCACCCGTCTTTAGCTTCAGAACATGAAGATAAGAGTGCTGTGCACGTTTGTGAGGTTGATGCAGGAGAGATGCAAGATTCATCACTAAGCAAAAGCCAAAGTGTGAAGATGAAGAAGAAGAAGAAGAGGGTGAGCTTTAGATTACCAGAAGTGGCTGATATTATCGTGCTTGATTTATCGGATGAATCCTATTAAGAGTGGTTAAGAATCTCTGTACTGTACTTAATTTCATTAGAAAATCTGGTTTGCAGTTTGTTGTTCTTGGTTTCAGCCCTGTTTGGATTTGTAGATTCCCTACCACCCCTTTTCCTTTCTCTTCTTGGTGTAGTGCAAGAAATAAGTGTTTAATACCATACATACTTTCCTCCATATTTACCTCTATTCTATAAAGTTTTGTTGTTGATTATAATCTGATGAGTATATATGATCACACAACACACACACATGTATCATTCTCTTTTGGTATATATATTCAGGTCCAGTCCTCCATATGCATTAAAGCTCTGGTATGGTAGTGCTACCAAATCCTAAAAAATTACTATGTATTTGGGTGGTGAAAATGTGCAGAATTTGTAATGGGATACCCTAATATTGACTACTTTTTAGTTACACTTTATTTTGTAGTTTTAATATTGTGGTTACAGTTACAAGTTAAAAAGGGAAAATTTGACTTTAATAAAAGATAGTATGGCCTATCCGAGGTGATTACCATTGTCCATCACACTGATCATCTCCATAATTCAAAGGAATGAAATAAATAAATGATTAATTGGACCAAGAGAAGAGAAAAGAAAAAGGAATGAGAATTGAAGTGACTTAAAAGTATAAAATCAAAAGGCATTTCACATGTAGTTAGGTACAAAAGCAGAGAAATGACAATTGAAGTGACTTAAAAGTGTAAAATCAAATGGCATTTCACATGTTGTTAGGTACAAAAGCAGACTCAAAAGTCACACAATTTCACATAACTAGACATGATAATGAGCCCATAAAAGCAAGTGAAATGAACAGGGTCTACCAGTTTTTTTTTAACTGAGTTTTGAGTCAAAGGGAACACCAAAAACACAAATCCATCACGTATAAAGGTAACTACCGTCAGTAATTACACAGAAAAACTCAAAAGAGAGAGAGAAAAAGATGGTGAACTTTTGATTTCTACTCTCTTTTTGTGTTTTGTCTCTTATCTTTACTATGCATAAAAAACACACACAAGAGTGAGCTTTTTTCTTTGTCTTCTTTTTCTCTATGCAAGAGAAAGAGAGGCAACTATGTGAAAAAACTGTAGCTTCTCCAGTAGCTCTTTTGCATGGCTCATGGCTCGGCGCTCAACCCGTGAGAACAGCTCCTCGCCAAGCCGGTCGCCTATGTGGGCGTCGACTAGGACCCCACTCACGGCCCTACAGCTGTTGGCTAGGGCTCGACCCACCTCGGCTGCATCATCGGGGCAATTAACGACAAGTGGGCTTCCTCCCCGGAAAACCTCGAGCTTGTTGATGGCAAATGAGCCGTCGGCTTCGACTACCTCCTTGAAGTCTTGTAGGCTCGGCGCGTAAACCGGAATGTTGAAGTTGTCACGTTTTTCACTAGTAATGAGTCCCTACATTATTCATCATGTGCTCAATCAAAAAGTGTTATTTTTTCATAGGACCACAAAATACATGGCATTCTTCAATGGGCCAACTTTGGCCCATTTTTAGTTGGGCTTGGCTTTGTGGACCTGTAGGCTTGTAAAATATGGTATGGCCTTGTTTGTCGACATGGGATTGAAAATCTATTCATCTTCTGATTGTCTGAACATTCTTAAGGTACAATATGTGTACGATTTTGACAAGAGAACATTATTGATTGAGGAGGGAAAAGGACCATTAGTACAAGCACAGGCAAGACATGAATGTTCATAATTGATAAAATTTTAATGAGTTAGGCCAGTTTACGAGATTCCGTTATTGCTGGGTCTAATTTTAAGAAGTTTAATTTTAAAAAGATATTGGATATACCTAATTTTATATTTAGATTAATACAAAATGATTGTATTTTACATTTGAATACAAGAGATTTCTGTCATTACTTATAAAAAAATTATTTATTTTATTTGAATCAGGATCGCTAGGTCACACTATTAACCAAGCACACCCTCATGAAGACTCATAATTATGTGATCAAGAAGGTGATGGATGGAACCAACTTGTGTCTTTTCATACGTATGATTATGGGTTGGTGCTGTGGGCTGCACAACAGTAACACACAAGATCCAAACCATGGTCAATGAATTGGGCCCCAACCTGCCATGAGGCTATTATATTGCCGACAAGGGATATGGACAAGTTGAGGGTCCGATCCATCAATGATAAAGGTATTGAACGGCCCTGATTAACTTAAATAATGATGAGCAGTGACAATTTAGAATGATGTTGTTATAAGAACACTTGATCATATCACCCTTTATAAGAAGATAGTAGTCATCTCATGACATGGCCTAATAAGAAGGAAGGGTGCATGTAAAAATCAGAATGATGGGAATGGGAGGATATGATTACCTCTTGGACAAGATCATCCCAAGCATCCTGAAAGTGGGTCCCAAAGAGGAGGCCGGCCCCACCTTGGTCTGTGGGGTCCACAGAGCTGGTTCTGCCCAAGCACAACAAGAACATGGACCCACCTCTCTTCATCTCCTGTGATCTTGATCTGAGGAATCCTGCTAGATCAGTCTGGAACTGCTGCTTGTATGCTTTTGCTGTGCTCTCATTTGCACCGTGGATGAAAACCCCTCCTTTGTTATATGCCTTTGATCTCTTATCCAACACTATCTCCGGTACCTGCAAAGTCCACAACAAACACCATAATTCAGTGCGAGTTATATACACATGAACAAACAAACCTCATTTTGTCCTTTTTATTTGGTTTTTTACACACAAATATATACTGTAAATAATATAATCTTGATCTTTTCTAACATTCTTTAACTATATTCTCTCATTTTTAGCCCTTATTTTGAAATGAATTATAAAACATGCATGCCTACGGATTCTCTCATATTTGTCCCATGTTTAATACAATATTTTACATCATGAATCCAATATAATTTTGTAAATTTTCAGTTTAATTATTTAATAATATTAAAGCACGATGTAAAATTTTAATTTAATATCATAATGTTACACATTTTGTGATGTAACTGAGATGTGTTGCATTTGAATCTGTGAAATAATTGTGTTGCACTATATATGATGTAACTGTGTTGTACAGAATCCAAACAGGAGGATGCTGATTCACGTATATATGTGTGTGTGTGTATATATATATACACATGGTGACTTATACGAAGTCTGCAACCTGCCAGATAAAAGGAATATGTGCAAGACATGCATGCAAGAAACTGAAATACCACAAAAAGTAGGCAAAGCTAAGTCCTATAACAAAGAAAAATGGAAAAAAAATAAAAATATATAACATCTTCCTAACCCAACAAGAAAAAATCTGATTAAAAATCAGCCGAAAGTAATTTAAATATATATGATTTTTATTTATTTATTTATGGTAAATCTCTCTTTCTAAAAGCTAACTTGAGAACTTTTCAAAGCGGTTTTTGTCAAACCAGGGGCCATAAATAGAGTGAATTAAGATATTTTTTACCCTCAACATATTATATATATATATATATATATATATATATATTTGGTGTATATAAAGCTTATGGACTGCATACCATTCTCGGGAACAAACTAGGTTCCTTAATTTATTAATTATTTTTATACGTATTAATATACAAATAATTAACAAGAGAATAAGTAAAGTTTAAGGTATCAAAATTAACCTGAGAGAGCCAGTGCAAGGAAAACGCAGAGTAGAAAACATCTATGGACCTCGCCGGAAAAAGGCGGCGGTGGAAGGAACCGGGAACGCCAGCTGCAAAGTAGGAGCGGTGGCCGTTGGCGGCTAGGCACTCTTCCATGCTACCCCCATTATTGGCCAAGGGTGGAAGAAGCTGGAAGAGAGTGTTGAAGTCATTTGAAGGGAGGTCGGAGAAAAATGCGGAGAACTCCGGTGCCTCATACCCTAGCGCCTCGTATCGTTTGATCATGTGCTTGATGATGACGTCCACGATGAAGATGGTGTTACTGCCGGACGAGCATCCCAAGTCCACCACCCCGAAGGGGACCTCCGGGGAGTTGAGTTGCACCCCATCTAGGGTTTCTTCAAGAAGATGAAGCATGGACAGAGCATGCTGTGCCTATACATATTATATCGCATGATTGGATAAGTGAATACAATATTCAATGGAAGAAAAGAGGAAAAAATAAATAAGCATTGCTTTCTGAAGTTTCTGATAAAAGAATTATATTTTTGTTGTCATAGTAAATAATAGATTAACTAAAAGTAGTAAAGAAAATAAAAGCAACGATAAAAGAATTCTGTTAAAAGATATTAATAGTTGTAACTTGTAATTACTATTACAATAATTTATGAATAATACTAGCCTTTTAGTAAACATATATCCATTTTTTTAAAAAAAAAGAGCTCAAATGGGACATTATGTATATAGATTTTCATTTTAATTTTACTCAAACTCATGATCTAATATAATTTAACCATTCATGATAAATATATAAATGAACCAAATATATATATATATATAAGAAATTATGGAAATGAAAGCAACTGAGAAATTAAAGGGAAATTAAGAACCTGGGCTTGGGAGTTATTGGCATAGCTAGCATCTCCCTTGCCTCCTTTCATGCTAAGCATCCTTTCAAGATTCATATTAGAAACAACAACATTGTCTCCTGTAGGGGCCATACAACTTCTCTCGATCTCTAACCAAATTTAATTAAGAGAGATTAATTGGTATTTGGATTTGAGGTAGAAAGGAGGCTATATATATATATATATATATATATATATATATTGTTGAGAGAGAGAGAGAAATAGAGAGAGAAGGGTGAGGAGGGTTGTGTTTGTATTATGGGTAGGGTACATGCAAAAGATGAATAATGGATGTCCATTATTTATAGAATAAACAGAGTTAAAAGCAAAAAAGAGGTGCATGGTGGGCACACACAAACAAATCCACACACACAGTCACACACATATGCGATATATGGGCCTCACATGCAATAACAATTAAAGCAGGCCCAAGATTGACGCCGGATTTCTATTTTTGCATCTCTAAGCAACTCTGTCTCTCTAGCCCCTCTCCGGCTACCCACCCAACCTCTCTCTATTTATTCTAATCAAATATTGCACAAATGAAAGCAAATACACACACACACATGTATATATATATTTATAAATAACTAAAACTAAACAAAAAGAGGGTAGATGCGATTCAATTAGATTCAGGCAAATCTTGATTAATTGTTTTGTTCTTAATTATCATGGACACAATAAGAATACAAAAAAATTCCTTATGGTATTGTACGACATCGCAGGGGGGTAATTAGTGCGTGCAACGTTTACATACATTGTATTTTAATGTGTGTGTATATATATATCTATATATTTGCTTTTTGTTTTCTAAACAATGTAATAAAAGGAAAAAGTTCGGTTGGGACAACACAGTATATCAATATTGTTTGGATTTGGTTGCTATAGTTTACTGTTAACAGTTACTAAACAAATAAAAATAATGATTTATGTATTGTCGAAATTGACCGAATCCATGCAATATATAAATGGGTTTTAGTGTAAACTACCTACTGAATTATGTGAATGGAATGATTAATTAAGATATATATTTGAAGGCATAAAAAATATGTAATGGTAATTGATTATGACAATATGCAATGTACTTTTAAAGAAAACTAAATAATTAATTGTTAATCCTATCCAGGACAATACGTCTATGGCAAACAACAAACTCAAGCACAGAAGAGACAAGACAATCAATGCATGTTACTTTGAACACTGTATTTAATACCCAAAAAGTGATTATATATGTAGAAGGTCCTATAGTCGACTAGTTTAGGGCCATAATTAATCCACTTCGCTAATTAATTCATTATAATCAGTAAGAGAAGACTTTTCGAGATAATTAATGCGGATTAAGCCAATTAAAAGCCAAATGATGATTGATTATTCTCTAAACCGTCTTCCCAGAAATCAAGGTTCAGTTTGCACCAAACACTTTAATTTACTACTATTACTAGCTCTAGACTTTAATTTACTACTATTACTAGCTCTAGACTAAGAGAGCTTTGTTGGATTGTTGGAGCCTCTTCAACGCGCTTAGTTCGCGCGTTCATCAATTGAATCCTTACACATTTGCTTTCGTACCTAATTAACAAAATGTTTGATTTAGGAGGTACGACCATATAATCAAGATTAATGCTATACATATCGAAAATTTTCTCTAACTAAATAGTCTGAATGGGATCTGGAACGTTTAATCAGCCATGAAATTAGTCAAGAGTATTTAAATTCAACCTTCGATATTCAAGGCCAACCATGTACATGTCCAAATTAACAACGTGGATTTAGCTAGGTAGGGTTTGACAAAGTTATTGAAAGTACAAAACGTAGTGATAGTGTCACGCACTGTGTGAATGTGTGAGAAAGAGAGTGTTGTTTGTAATTAGTGTAATTAATCATCTTTATATTTCGCTCCAAAGACCCGGAATCTTGTTCTCTTCTTTGTCCAACATCACTGTGAAATTAGTCCACACGCCGTGATAGTCGCCGGTTCACGTGATACTAGGCCGGACCATGACCAAATTTTTTATTTTCTTTTTGTAGTAAATTTTCTCTCTCTAGCCTTTATCTTAAACGTTCATCAACTACCCTATATAGATCAGCAAATCAAGCCATGCAAAGTTAATTAAAGTAATTAAAAGTGATTTTGGTATCATAACATATATATATACAGTTATTACTCTCGATTGGCCCTCGTCAAAATCATCAATAGAGACGACGTACCATTCCATAATATTTTATTTATTTATTTGTTATTTGGATTGCCTAGATTGATAGAGCATATATATATATATATATATATATATATATATCAGCTCTGTTGGTTAGTTTCTGATCAGAAAAGGGAGAAGAGAAAGTTACATATAAATATGATCAATTGAGAAGTGGTGGAGTGGTCAAAAAAGGTGGTAGTTATGTTTGTTCACGAGCTTTTGTCTAACACAACAATATATGGCCCCTTATATTGTAAAAATAAAGGGATCGATCAAACAAATGGATTTTTTAGGTGCTTGTCTTGTGGTATTTGAATTAGTGAAAAATTAATTAGAAAAAGGTTGAGTAAGAATGATTTTAAAAAGAATTAAATAAAGAAAAGTACTTCTGAAAAGGAGAATTATTTTTCTCCCTAGTAGGTTTGTAGGTTGATGCAGCAAGAAGGAAAAGAAGGGATGTACATGAATACTGTTTGATTTTACTATTATGTCCTTGTATAGTAACATAAGGTCAAAAACATAAAAGATACTATAATTTTCTTCCTTTATCTTTCTTTTTTGTCCCTCCATTTTGAACAGAGAAAATGACAGGAAGGAAAAACATTTCCCTTGTTTCCTGTTGCTTTCCTCTTTCCCTCTTATCAAAATGAAGAAAATTCTCTCGATTTCTTCCCTTTTCGATCCTTCTCTTTCCTCTGCATGTTGCTCCCTCATACCAACGGAACTACAAGGAAATAGCTAGAGATTGAAGTTTGAATCAACTGAGTATTAAGTATCATTTTGTCATTAGGTTTATTTAATGATATTATTTTTGGATATTATTTAGTGGCCTAATTAATGGTAGAGCGCCCAACTCCTAAAACAAGAAACTCTTAATCAAGATCGATTATCAAATCACTAGTTGCAAAATTTGTCGAATAGTGAGGTGATGATGCTGCTGTGACTTGTGTTTAGTATACCTGTAACAAGGGTCATTTATACCACATCGGATCCGAATGAAAAAATGATTAAGTATAAATAGATGGGTATGTAACACTATCCAATAATTTAAAATTTTGAATAAATAAATAAGGCGTCCATCTGTTACAATAGCTTACTTCACGAAACCCTAAACTTGAAAAAATATATGTGAGCAAATTGAAAGAGGTGGTTGTCATGGCATGCTTGGAACACCTTGTCCAAAGGCATGGTTGCAATACATACAAGGGACACTGTTCCTTCAATCATTCAAACATATTGATGGTTTTGTTTCGGATTCATCAGGCAATATCAAACACGGTCTGTGTTGTGTAGCTATCAAGTCTACCACGGTACTTTTATTATGGATACTTGCAACAAGTAACCTCTTCTAGGTTATATATACATATATATAGACTCTACTCGTTTTTTTAGCACTAGTGCAATATTATTAATAATTCTTTCTATGTACTTTTTTCTTAAAAAAATAAAAAATTCATTTTCGAAAGTTTTAATAAAATTGCGTGTCAATTAGGCACGGAGCAACACCCTACTGAAATTTTTATATTTTTATTTTATACTTTAATTTTTTTTAAATTTATGAAGATGTTTCACTAAAATTACAATTCGTCCGGACTGAATTTTTTTTTTTTGTTTTTGGGCATTTTATATTTCAAATTTTTATATATTTATGAAGATGCCTCTACTAAAATTATAATTTGCCCTCACTGAATTTTTTTTTTTTTTTTTTTTTTTTTGCATTTGCATTTTATGTTTTAAATTTTAAAAATTTATGAAGAAAATTCTATTAAAATTACAAAAATTGACCCACTAAATAAGTTTGCCCCAACAAATTAAAAGACAGTCTCTCTCACAAAATTTTATGAGTCCGTCATTAATGCCAATTTTTCCTATTCCAAGTTCAAACACTCATCCCCCCTTTTAAAATATATGTCAATACGGAAATATAACTCAAAGACAAAAAGAGGAAAGAGAGAGCAGAATTGTTGGCCTGTTTATATTTCTCTTCTATTGGGCCAACCTAACTATTTATAAATTAAGAGCACAACAGCTACTTATTTCTCCTTAAACACTCAAAACAGTAAAATAATAATAATAAAATAATAATAAGAAGAAGAAGAAGAAGAAGAAGGACAAATTGCAAAAAAATCTTCCTTGGCTATTACTCACTTATAAAAAAAAAAAATAAAAAAAAAAATACTTTTAACAAGGAGCTCTCTCAACACCAAGTAATAATTTGTTGAGGTAAACTTTTGGACCAAATTAACCCTTAGCAGAACGTGGATGAGGATGGTGAGTTCAACAGTCGGGTGATGAGATTTGAGTAGCGAGGTTACTGTAGTGACTCGATTTCGGCTATTTCTTCCCCGTTCCTCCGGTTGGGTAGCTGTCAGAGAAGGGCTCGCCGAAACATGGGTAACCAGACGCACTCCCAATGCCGGCATCTCCGGTGTTTGAGGGGTGTTTAATGACGAAAGAAAGTTGATGTTGAAAAGCCGGATCACGCCAGTCCCCACCTGCGTCGTCTACACCTTCAAGTCCTTGACACCCCCCTTGAACCAGGTCTGCAACCGGCACTGAAATTGGCCCTGCATACACCACGGGGCCACTCCTCTCCATCTCATCGGCGGTTCCGTGCTTTAGGCGATTGATCACAGTACTTGATCGCGTCGACGTCGATATTGTCGGTGGTAACGGCAATCGGAACATCGGTGTCTGAGTGGAAGGGAAGATCAAGAACTCTGGCAAAGATGTGAGGGAGTCTCCGGAGCTTCTTTTGCTGGCAAGCAAGTGCATTGGAGAGGGTCGAAGCGACGTCGTATTGCAGCTTGATGTTCCTCTTCCTCGGAGCTGGATGAACCTTCATGGTGCGGTGATGAGATCGTTCCCGGCGGCGACCTGGTCTGGCAGTCCAGCACCGCCCGCCGCGGCGTCTCCTCCGTCGCTGCTCTCTCTGGCCCGCCGGCAGTCTCACTCTATTGATCTCCAAGGGCAAAGCTATCTTAGTTACTAGTGGGCAATCCCTTTTCTCACGGTCCGGGGTTCTAGTGAAGGTGGGGACTCGCGTGAATTGGCTATTTTTCATCTGGCTTTTCAACTACCATTCATTTCTCATTTTTTGCTTCTTGATTTCTAAACTATTGTAACGATACAAATGAAAAATAAGTTGCTAAAAGTTTCACCGTAAATGGTTGTCAATGCAGTTTTTTTTTTTTTTTTTTTTTTGGCATAAATTGTAATAATTTTAGTATTGTTTGGGCATATGAATATAGTTAGAAAATTTGGGTTTGACTGAATTTGTTGTTCACTGAATTTAATAGAGGACTGAATAATGACCCAATTCATACAGTTGAGGGGTAATTTGGTTCACAAAATTATCTCAAAAAATCATTACAGGGTGATAAGTTAAAATACTCCCTCAGTATAGTTAAGGGGGGTTTCTTACTAAAAGTATTTATAAGGGATGTTTTTTTGCAAATGAGTGATAGTGTTTTTTGGAATTCGTCCTAATAATAATAAATAAATAAATAAATAGACAATGAAGCATAATAAATTTTGTAAATTTAAAATCTAAATAGACTCATTAAATTTTGTCCTCAACCAACGGTTACAAATTTAAAACTTGGGTCAAAGAAGTTTTAAAAACTCTCTCTCACAGAAACTAAAAGTACACTCACTATACCTCGAGTTCATATAGGCAGGCACATTTTCTTCAAAAATTACCACTACCTATAAAAAAACTATAAAGCAAAAGCTCAACAGTTCAACACCTCCCTCTCTCTCACACTGTCACACATACACATACACACACTCTCTCACACACGCACTCATTCGCGCGCGCAATAATGTAACTAAATTTTACTTGGATTGATGTCTTGTTAAACACAGGCAAGTCTTCAAGATGTAGGTTCTAGTAGAAGCAAAATATAGCCGGCAGAAATTGATATCAAGTTCAGTTGCATTGGGAACAATAGATATGCATGAAATTTAGGGTTTTGCATTATTCAAATGATGTGAATTGATTAAGCCGATACGCCAAGCATATATATATATATGATCATTATGAAGTTACTTCAATAATTCCTCCCTATAGGGTCACATGGAGAGAAAATACCGGACAATGTCAATGATGCCACAACCCAAAACTGGATGATATGGTTTTTTAGCACAATGAATTTATCACGTCCTTCAACGCTACAGTGTGTTATCAACCTTAAGAATTAACCATTTATAAACCGGCAAAAATAAAAAAAAATAAAAAAGAGTATAAACCCAGTGTACGAGGCTCACAGTGTTACAAAATCTGGATAGGGTCAAATGTACTCAAGCTGCACAAAGGCTAGGTTCTGTACTCATTGCAGGAAGTAGGAGAACATGCAAATACAGCTACTTACATACAGAATGACCACTTTCCCCTTCAATTTTATCAACATTTAGAAATCAGAAGCACAAAAAGCAAGGCCTAATCAACATCTGAAAAATAAAAACGTTTTGTATCTAACGAATAAACTTAAACATTGAGCAAGCTGATATGATTAACATGATTCATATTCTATTGGGTAGTCTTGGGGCACCAAAAAATGGGCAAGAAAAAATTCCACTTAAATTACAATCAAGAATGTGATACAGGATTACAGACTAAGCTAAAGCCACATATTGTACATGAAATGAGCATTGGAGGAAATCCCCTTGATCAATTGTCCAATGTCCCACCGCTGCGCAACCTGTTTGCAAGCATTAACTCAGTTGTGTTCCTTAACAGATGCATGATATAAGAAATAATAAAACAAAAAGCATGCTAAAATAATATCATAGAATAGTGTAAAAGGAAGGGAGTAGGCCAAGCACTCTACTCCCTCCCTTTCCCTCTCCCTCTCCCTCTCTCGTGCACACATTTTGTCTGTTGTGAAATAGATGACTGAGGAGTCCATCATTTGAACCTTGCAAAGGTGTGACTGTTATAAAATTACTGAAAAATACACACTAAATTATTAGATTGATAAACAAGCATTACAGGCAATTTTGGTTATCAAATATGTTGTAGCACAGAAACTTCTGTGTGTAAGGATAAATTAACATTTTCTTTTTACTAGTCAATATAAGCCAAATTGACAGTTGCCCTGAAAACTTAAAGTTAATAGATGGCGTAACTCTATTTGTTTACATACTACTTGTTTATATATGTTAAACTTAAAATTCCCCTAAAAGCTTAAGTTCTTAGTATGTGAATTCATTAATATATATCCACAAGCATGCCCCCTAGTATGTGGCCAAAACTATTCCTTATGAGTGGGGGCCCGCCAACAAGTGTAAATTATAATTTTCAGGGTGGCATTGAGGTTCAAACTGAGACCTTACTACCTATAATACCATGTTAATCCCCATCAACTTTAAAAGCTTAAATTGTTAAGGGAAGGGCACAACAATGTATATCAAGCTCACATGCTCTCTCACGTGCGATCCCATCACTCACATGGAGGCATACAAATTACATAACATAGTGCAAAGTTGCACAAACAAACAAAATGAGGAAACAAATGCAGACAAGGGATCGAACTCAAAAACCTCCAACAAATATATACACGTACTAATATTATACATCATATTGTTGCAGTACTGATCCCATCTCTCACATGGAGGCATACAAACAACATAACAGAGTGCAAAGTTGCACAAACAAACAAAATGACGAAACAAATGCAGACGTGGAAAACTTTGAACTCAAAAACCTAAAATCAGGGCTCTAGTAGTATGTTAAATTATCAATTCCCTAAAAGCTTAAGCTATTAAAAAGAGTATGTATTTAATTATATCCTCCAATAATATACACAAATACTATATTACATATCATACTGTTGCAGTACTATTAGTACCTTCTCTATAATTTGTTGTGTTGATGTATCTATATCATAATTATATATTTCCCCCATGTTAGCATACATGCGTCATATATCAAATACCAAGTCCCTTATTCCAAATGACTAGATATCCTTAATATAAGAAACGTCAACTCGAGGAGGAAAATACTTGCCAAAAAAAATTAAAGAGGAAAATCAATTGTTACAAAGTGTTGAGTGTACCTGATCAAAGGGAGATCCATGAACTTGCTGCATGAGAGCCTGGATATAAGTCAGCTAAAAGTGTATGTCTGATTGCAACTAACTTGAAACATCTCGAAATAGTCCTTTTGATTCATCATAAAACCATCTGCAAAACAATTTTGTTCTCAATTTACATAAAATCCATGATAACACAATTCTCGTCCACCTGAATAAAAATTTAAAAAATTAAAAGACACAATGAACAAACACTCTCATAATAAGACAAACACACAAAGTGCAGAAAGGTGTGTGGACACAAACCAACCTAGGACGGGTGAGGTGGGAGGAAGGGCGATACATATAGACCTAACTATAAATGGGTGGAAGAGAGAGAGAGAGAGTCGAATCCTAAAGATTTTATCTCCTAACTTAATTTAGTCAAAAGAAGGTTATGAAGAAAATAATATAAGTTGATTTGTTGGGCCCTAGTGGAACGTTAGGAAGACAGACCCTTAATGTTTTATACGCGCCTCCACATGTATCTTCTACTGTTTGTTGCCCGACCTTTTATAAAGGTAACTAGTAACTTGGATTTAAATATGAACAACTTGACTAAATTTTGAAAGAGAACTACTCAAATAATTTACATAAATCGCAACTGAAGCATTTCAAATAAAATAGATCATTGAGTATTATAACAATTCACAATACAACCTTTTTTCATTATCAAAACAAATCATAACAAAACAATTTTTATCCGATGCAATTTGAAGATTTAACACAGTAATTGACTAAAGCATTTGAAAATAAGAGAATTTATGTTTTCAAGGCTTATAAAATGAAGATGGATTAAAGTTCTGTAGTTCAAAGGTCTGTAGGCTTAAAAGGCGAAATCGAGAATTAAAAGGGAGTTCCACTAAAGGCAACCTAAAATAGGATTTGTGAAATGAATGTCCGAGGAGGAATGACATATTAGGACCATAAGCCACATTCCTTGTTTAATAATGAAGGCACAAGGCCTTTGGCACTTGGCACTAAGCACTGACTACAATTAAAGCGGGAAGGTCAAAAGTACAAAGCCAGAGTTTGAATATCCCTTGTAAACACAATAATAGAATTTACCAATGTGGTTGGAGAATACACATTACACCCCTCGAGCCATAATCCTAGAATGCTATTTAGAGAAACACTCCAATGGCAATTTAAAGAAATGCCACCACGCACCAAGCATGGGACACCAGATTAAAAAAGCAGTCATAATCTTCCAGAATTCTGTACTTACAACTTGAACCAAGAACTCACCAAGTCCTGACAGATATTGCACATCTGCCACCCAAATCTCGCATCAAGGGCTGCCTAACACCAAGAACTGTGGAACCCGATAATGTGCCAAAGGCTTGTTATGTTGCATGCTACAATGTACAGACCCATGCTGTCTACTAAATTATTTATTCAACTTCTAGTCAAAACTATTTTCCAACATTTTCTACATCAACTATGCCTTCATATCACATAGGATCCAATTGCACCGTCTAATAATGTCAAATCCAAGCTGATGGTTCTGATAGTAGTTAGCCAACATGACCAAAAGTTAGAGCTGTCAAGACATTTGATAGTAGCATTGGTGACCTAATTCTTATGCAAGAGTTTCCCTTAAATTAACTCCCATGGTATGTTAGCAGGGACTCGGGTACTGGTGTTGGACACTGGTGTGTGTCTAGAAGTCGGACTTGTCCATCTTTCAAATTATGGAATACGGGGAACTCGGCTAAAAAGAGTTCAAAAGTTGGACACAAACACTTGGACGCAGTTATAATTAATAAATAGTGGTAAGAAGTATAGGCCATTTATCTATTATTTAAGAGTGATGAATATTCTTAAATGAAGAGGAGACCATCTATCCTACCTAGTTCTATAAATAAAAATGAAAAAGAAATATATATGCCATCTGTTTTTACTCTTTTATTTGGTACAGTACATGGTTTTCTATAACATTTATTTATTTTTATTTGAAAAGTAAGTTGTGGTAGTAAAAAGTAAACGTAAAATTTAAACAGATTAATAAGTAACTCAATAGGGCTACATGATAAGCACACAGCTGGCAGCAACAAACAAAGGTGACCATTAGTCTGCCACGCGAATCATTAAATAATCATTAAATAGAGATATGAAAAGTCTACAAATCGTGAATACACTCTCTGCCAGAAGCAGAAATCCCAGAATTGGATTCAAATGATGTGTCAAAGTGCAACAGCTGCGCGTGAAGAAACCACCATCTTCAACCTTCCAAAAACCCTATTTTTGAACCAGCCACCTCCATGAACTTACAGAACTCATCCGATCTAACAAAGAGACTTGAAAAAAGTTCAAATCCCTAGCAAGCATCCACCGATACAATCTTCTATGAGCATGTCTTCATCGGCCATGTCCGATGGTTGCAAAAGGGTGTCTGACCCATATCCCGTGTCGGTGCCCGTGTCGTGTGGCCTCGACACCGACACCGACACCCTGGGCTAACCTACCAAGCCCAGGTAACATAGCTCCCATTCCAACAAAAACACACTTAAGGGTGTGGAAAATTCGGTTCTATAAATAGGGAAACCGTGTGTGCATAGCTATAATTAGCTAAGAAATTTTGTAATGTTTTAGTCATTGTAATCCCTGATTTTAGGGAGTTAGTTTTTCGTCAATATCTCTAGGATTAGACAGTTTCTTAGTTTTAAAGTTTCCTAATTTAGATCCTCTGAAGTGTATATATCAGTGTGATTTCATTGTGATTTTAATACAATTGAATTTCAGCCCAATTTGTGTCATGGTATCAGAGCCGTAGGCTCAATTCTGGGAATTGTATTTCTGGTCTTGCGAACTCTCATATCGCTAGACTAATTATTATCAATCTCCAACCCCACACTATCACCCCTCAAGACCGTAACCCTTTTACCAAAAGACCATGTCAGAAACAGCTGACAACAGCAACACCACGACTACCTCGGAGGTCCCCTTGACTGAAGGCAGCAACTCAACTCCAACAGGGGAATTGCAGAACATCTAGGCAGTGTACAGGTTGAACGGGAAGAACTATCTAAAGTGGTCTCAACTGGTTCGCACGTTCTTGAAGGGAAGAGGCAAACTGAGTCACTTACTCGGTACTGGTCCTAACAAAGGGGATCCCAAATTTGATACTTGGAATGAACAAGACGCTATGGTGATGTCCTGGTTATGGAACTCTATGTTGCCAGAAATCAGTGATACATGTATGTTTCTTAACACAGCCAAAGAAATATGGGAGGCCGTGAAGCAAACTTACTCTAAAGTCCGGGATGCTGCACAAATCTATGAAATCAAGACCAAGATTTCATCCACCAAGCAAGGAAGTCGATCAATCACAGAGTACTCCAATCTGTTGCAGAGCTTATAGCAAGAGATGGATCATTACCAGTGCATTCAAATAAAATGTAGCGAGGATGCAGCCCTCCTTAAGAGGTTTGTCGAAAAAGACCGAATTTATGATTTTCTTGCAGGACTGAACATTGAATTTGATGCAGTAAGAGTCCAAATACTCGGAAAGGAAGATCTGCCATCACTTAATGAAACAATTGCAATTGTTCGTGCTAAGTAAGGAAGAAGAGGAGTTATGATTGAGAATAACCCAGTGGACAGTTCGGCCTTGGTTACAAAAGTTGCAAATGTGAGGAACTTTGGCCCAAAACAGCCATCTAATGATGACAACAAGCGGGCAGATTTTACAAGGACAGTCAATAAAGATTCTCTATGGTGCACATATTGCAAAAAGTCCCGCCATACTAGGGATAAATGCTGGAAACTCTATGGCAAACCGGAGACGGCAAACGAAAATTGGACAGCAAAAGTTGGACAGCCAAAGGGACAGGGGCAGGCGTATGTGGCAAATATACAACAAGCTGGAGAAGGTAAATCTCAAGAATCATCTATTGAGTTCAATGGAGAAGGAATTGAGAAATTGAAGAATCTATTGGGATCTTTGGAGAAACCATCTACAACAGGTACTTGCACTTTGGCGTTCTCAGGTATATCTTCCTCTGCTTATGCTTTTAAAGTCTTGGATATATCCACCACAAGCTCCTGGGTCATTGACGCAGGAGCTACAGATCACATGACCCACTCCCCACAAAAATTTATCTCATATACACCTTGTCCTAGCAAAAAGAAGATAACCATAGCCGATGGTTCTGTGACAATAGTGGCTGGTCAGGGAGATGTTTTTATAAGCAAAACCCTCACACTTAGAAATGTTCTCCATGTACCAAAATTATTTACCAACCTTTTGTCAATCCACAAGCTCACTAAAGATTCTAATTGCAGTGTGGTGTTTTTATCCCTCTCGTTGTGTATTTCAGGAACAAGGCACGAGGAGGATGATTGGACATGCTAGAGAAAGGGATGGTCTCTACTATCTTGAATAACCCAGTGGTCAAGTTAGTGTTGCGAATTCCTCACCATTATCATTTCTTTCAGAGTCTTTTAAATCCAATAAAGACAAGATTTGGCTTCAACACCTCCGTCTTAGTCACCCGTCATTTAGAGTCCTTAAAATTATGTTTCCTTTATTGTTCAAAGGATTAGATGTTGAAAAATTTCACTGTGAACTTGCAAAGCACAAACGTGCTTCTTTTCCAATAAGCGATAAAAGAACATCTATTCCATTTACTCTTATTCATAGTGACATTTGGGGACCGTCCACTGTTCCTAACATTTCTGGGGCTCGGTGGTTCATTTCTTTCATTGATGATTGCACTCGTGTGTCTTGGATCTTTCTTATGAAAAATAAATCTGATATGAGTTCTGCCTTGTTTTTTACAACATGGTCAAAACACAATTTGGTACTGAAATAAAAAGATTTCATTCTGACAATGTTAAAGACTATTTTAATCAGTTTCTCTCACCATATTTCCGAGAAAAGGGTATAATACATGAATCTTCTTGTGTTAACACACCCCAACAAAATGGTGTGGCTGAACGAAAGAATGGTCACATTTTAGCTATTACAAGTGCATTCTTGTTTCAAGAAAATGTTCTCAAGCAATATTGGGGGGGAGCGGTTTTAACTGCTGCTCATATGATAAACAGATTGCCTACAAAGGTTCTTGATTTTAGAAGTCCTATGCAAATTCTAACGAAATTCTTTCCTACTTTCAATGCTTCAAGTAGTCTTGTTCCCAAAATATTCTGTTGTGTTGCTTTTGTCCATGTGAATTCTCAAAACAGGGGAAAACTTGATCCACGGGCTGTCAAATGCGTCTTTATTGGCTATTCTTCCACTCAAAAAGGGTACAAATGCTATCATCCTCCCACAAGAAAATTCTATGTGTCAGCTGATGTCACTTTTGTCGAAGAAGATCATTACTTTAATCGTTCTTATCTTCAGGGGGAGACCTCATTCACGGAAGATAAGGACAAGGATCTTTTTCTTCTTGATTTTCCATTGTCCTCCTCCTCAGTTCTTGTCTCTATTGTCCAACCAAACACTCAGTCCGTTCCTGTTGATCAACCTGAGCTAGCCCAGCTTGAGCTAAACATTCAATCCGAATCCATACAACCTGAAACCGAGCCTCATACACCCAAGTCACAAGAGATGATAAAGGGAAAGCAAATTCAAGACTCTACTCGTCCACTGCTGGTTTTTTCAAGAAGAAGGGCACCAATCACTCAATATGTGCAGGTTCAATCACCCAAATCAACCCCTGCTCTTAGACTTAGCGAGGTAATTACTGAACCTATTTCTAATGAATATGGTATCACTGAAGTTCTTGATCAAAGTGATTATGATATTCCCATTGCTATTAGAAAGAAAACTAAAGCATGCACTAAACACCCTCTGTACTTCTTCATGTCATACAAGAATCTGTCCCATAACCACAAAGCCTTTCTCACAAGCTTAAACACAATCTCCATTCCCAAAACCACATCCGAGGCATTAGGTAATGAGAATTGGAATAATGCCATGAAGGTCGAAATGGAAGCACCTGAGAAGAACAAGACATGGGACTTGGTGAAATTGCCGAAAGGGAAGAAACCAGTGGAATGTAGATGGGTATTCACGGTGAAATACAAGTCAGATGGTTCGTCGGAGAGGTACAAAGCAAGGTTGGTTGCTAAAGGCTATACCCAAACGTATGGAATAGATTATCTTGAGACATTTGCTCCTGTTGCGAAGATGAACACCGTTAGAGTGTTGTTCTCATTGGCTGCTAATCTGGGCTGGAAATTACAGCAATTCGATGTCAAAAATGCCTTTTTACATGGTGATCTCAAGGAGGAAGTTTATATGGAAGTTCCATCGGGGTTTGGTTCGAATACAGGACAGGTGGTATGCAGGTTAAGAAAGGCGTTGTACGGATTAAAACAGTCTCCAAGAGCTTGGTTTGGAAGGTCTGCCAAGGTAATGCTCGATATGGGATACAAACAAAGCCAAGGCAATCACACCTTGTTTGTAAAGCACTCGGCTTCAGGGGGAGTGACTGCATTGTTAGTCTATGTAGACGACATTATAGTGACAGTGATGATTTGGAAGGAATGGAGAATTTAAAGAAGTGTTTAGTGAAAGAATTCGAAATCAAAGAGCTCGGCAAACTAAAGTATTTTCTCGGCATTGAGGTAGCACATTCTCGGGAAGGAATTTTCATATCTCAGCAAAAATATGTAACAGATTTGCTGACGGAAACATGCAAGTTAGGTTGCAGACGAGCAGAGACGCCTATAGAGTTCAACCACAAGCTTGGAGATGCTCTGGAAGACACGGCAGTAGATAAAGGTTCCTATCAGAGACTTGTGGGAAGACCAGACATAGCCTATGCAGTTAGTGTTGTAAGTCAATTCATGCACAATCCCAAAGAGTCACATTTTAGGGCTGTGTATCGAATCCTACAGTTCAAGAAAGGCACACCGGGCAAACGAATACTATTTAAGAAGGGGGAGGAGCTAACTCTTGAAGCCTATACTGATGCAGATTATGCAGGGTCTGTAATTGATAGGAGACCTACCTCGGGTTATTACACTTTTCTAGGAGGCAACCTTGTGACTTGGAGGAGTAAAAAACAGAATGTCGTGGCAAGATCCAGTGCAAAAGCCGAGTTTAGAGCAATGGCACTTGGGATTTGCGAATTATTATGGCTGAAAATTGTCTTAGAAGATCTAAGAGTCAAGTGGGAATGTCCAATGAAGCTATATTGTGACAATAAGTCGGCCATTAATATTGCACATAATCCAGTTCAACACGACCATACGAAACACATTGAAGTGGACAGGCACTTTATAAAGGAGAAGCTTGATAGTGGCCTAATTTGCACTCCATTCGTTTCCACTAGCGATCAACTTGCAGACATACTCACCAAAGGATTGTCTGGAACGTTTTTTCAGAGACTAGCAAGCAAGCTTGGAATGGATGATATCCATTCACCAGCTTGAGGGGGAGTGTGGAAAATTCGGTTCTATAAATATGGAAACCATGTTTGTATAGCTGTAATTAGCTAAGGAAACTGTGTGTGTATAGCTATCATTAGCTAGGAGATTTTGTAATGTTTTAGTCATTGTAATCCCTAATTTTAGGGAATTAGTTTTTAGTCAATATCTCTAGGATTAGATAGTTTCCTAGTTTTAGAGTTTCCTAATTTAGATCCTTTGAAGTGTATATATCAGTGTAATTTCATTGTGATTTTAATACAATTGAATTTCAGCCCAATCTGTGTCAAAGGGAGAGAGAGAGAGAGAGAGTGAAACTAATTTAGAAGGTAGAAACAACCAAACATTATTATCTACCCACTATCAGCAATACAAGTCGCTGCCAAAATAAGACTGCTCAAGAATATTTGCAAACCTAATGTTCCATCTTAATGTGACTTCACCAAAGGCCTTACGCAAACAATCCAGTTTGTAATTCATCTCCTTTTTTCATCTTGGTAACCAATGACGCACTATATGAAAATGCACAAATACCAAACAAACTCATTTTGAAAATTATAATTATATTTGTAAACTAATGCAAGAAGGCACAAACTCAAAAAGGAATTCTAAACCTATTCTAATTGAAGGTCTTCAAAGTTCAATCTCAACAATACTCTCCTAGCAACAGGTGTTGCCAATCCCTTATTTCATCAAAGCCACCCAATTAACCCTTCTTAACAATTTTTTTTTTCTGAGTTGGTACTCACACACCCATATCTCCACTGAGGCTTGAACCCCTGACCTCCCTTTGAGAAATAGGGGCTTGGTACTGTTGGGCCACTGGCCCGTTGGTAATAGACTTAACATTTGGTATTATAAGCTTTCACAATTGCACCAAGCAAATGGACCCACAAAGTTTACAACAGATCATCTTTTCTTTACAATCTTAGAACACAAATTTAATAGTATAAACCTCTTTACTAATGATATAAACTACCTTCAGGTTTTTACTCACATTCTCTCGGTTGTTTGCACGTATCAAAGATGCATATGCAAAAGTTAACAGCTTGTGTATCAAAGTTCTTCTTAAATATGCAACTTAATCATTACAACATTGGTTTAAGAAGTGTCCTAGGCAACTACAAATAGTTACTGATATTATGGAGGAAAAATGTTTTCATAATACTAAGTAAAACAGCACAGCCAGAAGAAGAAGTAGTGGTAGTAGTGTAGAACTAATCCAGTTATCGCAATCATCGCTCTTCATTAACCAAAATCATGAAATCCAATTGACAATGAAGTTTTAACATTATCTAAAAACAAACAAACAAAAATCCTCATAGCAAGTCAAGCCATACACTGGCACATCCATAACATGCATAAAGATGCTTCAATGTCAAGCACCTTTTTCAAAAAAGTAATTGCGAGTATTGGAAATACTTGGAATGGATGGAGGAAGAAAAGTGACGCACTTGCATAGGAAAAGCGGCCGTAGACCATTATTTTCCCCCTTCCCTAAACGAGTTCTCCTTTCACTTTCTTCAACAAATTTGCCTGGAGGAAGAACTTCACATGGGCCTTGAATCAAGCCAGCCATTGTGGTACTATCATGATCAGACTCATAGACCTACAGTAGCAGTAGCAACAAGAAGTTCATACTAAAAGTTATACATAATAAACTTCCTGCTATAATGCCAAATCAAAAAGGTGGTGAGAGAAGTGATGGCATCAACAGTGTGCGCTAAATTGTATGTGATCGGGGGAAGGGGAAAAAAAAGTTCTACTCAACCAACCAATTAAAATAAAATATCCAAATAATTGAATAAAGGAAATATGTAGATTTTTTATGATGTTGCTCAATCTGACCCAAGAGCTAGTCTTACAGATAGCCTTGGCCAAAAGTATGCTTGGACAGTGATTTTTTTTTTTTTTTTGATAAGTAAAAATTTGGAAGTTAAAGCAACTAACATATATAGGATGGGGAATCGAACCTGGGCCATTTGGACCGTGATTTTAAGGCCTAATCTTGTGGACATGCACATAAACAAGAAAAGTAGAAAACATCGTTAAATGATATGTAGTAAATTCACCTCATTGCTTTCCGGAGTAAAGGGGTGGCCAACAACCTTTGGCAAGTTACCAGGAAAGTAGCATCTATTGGCGATAACCCACTTTGATCTAGTTTTGCTATCCTCCCACATGGCCTGCAGTGGAAAGGCAAGATTTCTCTGTATAAAAACACTAATATCGTAGACTTGAAAATCATAAACTATTGTCAAGGCAAGAAAAGTTAAATGATTCCCGTGAGCAGCTAGATGAACAAATATATTTTCTCTTAATTTCACTGTAGGGGATGGCACAAAGAGACAAATCAGGTCATATTGATACACACAATCAGGGCTGGGATAGACAATCATAAACTGGCTGCTTGAGTTCATAGATTAAATCATCAACCCATTTGGTTGATAGGTCTACACTGGTTTACATCGACTCAAGTGGACTTGAGAACTAGGATAAGTCTAATAAAAGAAACCCAGCACAGTTCAAAACTAGACAAATTTTACGTTCAATTGGCAGGCCTGTTCAGAAATTGCCACCCCTTGCTGCAGGTTGTAACTAATGGATTTGGATCCTCGCCAATAATTTACCTCTCCAAACATCTCCAAGGCTTCATCCAACGATAAAAAATGTGCCATGTCATCATTTGTCTAACTACCCACCATGTTATGATTTTATAACCAACTTAATCCAAACAAGATACTGATGTGGTGTTTTTGTATCCGTTGGATGGAGGCTTGTAAATAAATGGAGAGGAAAACTATTGGAGAGGATCCATTCCCCGTAACTAATAGATCAATGACAAGATATTGAAGGAATCAAGGTATACTTGCACATAAAAAATTGGTTACCTGAATCTTATGAGGCATCAATTTGCCATCATTAGAACGAAAAAGAGCATGATCCCGCACTTGATATACTACTCCATTGACACAACAAGACTGGTAATATGTCTTCTCATCCACGACGTTTAGTACATCACCAGTCCAATCAACAGCACGCAAACCATCTGCTAAGGACCTAACATGCTTTTGAGCCCCAATACTGCTTCCAGAAACTTCAACAGAATTAGCTCGTGCAACTTGCTTCATTTCACAATTTGAATCGCAGTCAAAAGTTTCTGTACTACAGGAATTCTTCGTATCTTTAACCATAAGGCCATTGTCATGACATTGCTCTGATGGAATATCAGCACTGTTTGGCAGCTCTGTTTGTACATTATATTGAGAATTGTGGGAGGCTTGTGAGTCGTCATGAGAATTTATAACTTTCTCTGACAATTGCACAGGAGGATGTGGTTTTGATTTAGAAACCGTATCCACTTCAAATGATCTTCCCAATGATGAGCCAGCAGGAGAATCATGAGCTCCATCTAAATTATTCATTACATCATTTGGACAAGGTCCTGATCCACGCTTATCATCCATTATTACTCTACTTGATGAAACATCATCCCCTTGCATTTCTCTTGCATTCAGAATATTTGAATCGGATGCTGAATTGTTATGTTTATTGCCCATGGTAACAGTAGCACTTTGCAAATTAGAGTTTCCATTCGCTGTTATCTTCTGCTGATTGATCTGCTGATCAAAGAATCCCACTTTATTATCAGGAGATGACTGTATAGTAGGATTGTCAGAAGAAACTTTTGGTGCATTCATATTTCTCATGACACGACCATATTTAGGGGGCAAAGGCTTCCCATTGCTTAACGTCAGACACTTCTGGCAGTGCCACTCACCTCTAGGAATCCCTTTTTGATTGTAAATTTGAAGACATTTTAGGTGAAAACCTTTATCACAAGCATCACATAGAAGTACATTTTCCACCTCATTAACGATAAGCTTGCACACTTGGCAAGTTAAAGCCTTATTCATGTAATCCCTCGAAGGAGGAGTCCATGTGGGCTGTTCGGCAAGCTGTGGTTGTAACAATTTCTGAACAATTTTGCCAATTTCATTGTGGCTATTGTAAAGTGAAGGACCTTGAACGAAGTTCATGCCCTGTAAATGCTGATGTATGCTCGGTAGATTTCCTGATGCAGTCTGAGAGATAAATGGTTTAGATGCCGTTACATGAGGGGCCACCCGTGATGCGCTCAAATCAGTAGGTCCATCAAACTTAACAGGAGTATGAGCTGGCACCTTATTATCTGGTCCAATTTTATCAAATGTGGCAGATTGGTGTTGCAGAGACCAAGTTGGAGTTCTTCCTGAAGAATTTGCTGTAAATGGAATGTAGGAATATAATCATTAAAAATCAACAGAAATAATAGGACATCGAAAACTAATGCGAAAATATCAACAAAATGAAGGCCAAACTGGGTATGATGTTTCACAAATTAACTTAAGCCTCCCAAGTGCTAGAAACTTGGAATATCGAACTATTACTGAACAACCAAACATTTGTGATCAAGAAAATAATTATGCAAAATTAAATGAAGCAAATTTGCATTACAGTGAGAACTAATATCCATAATGATGACAACTCACTATGATAATGATGGTGATGTTCTAGTACCCACCCAAAAAGGTTAAAATCACCAAAAGGAACATTAAGTTAAAAATGGCTTTTCTATAAGGAGCATAACCTTTAGACCTGAATTTCCTGTCCTAATTTCCAGATGATAAATCCTTGACTTCCCCTCGGCGATCTTCACATAAAATTCACAAAACAGATCTTCTATCATTATATGTGATTGAGAAAGTGAAAGAAGAGTTACCTTGAACTTGGGATGTATATGAAGAACCATTTGATCTTCCGTCCAATCTAAAATGCACTCTCTCAACACTAGGCAATGCTAACGACAAAGAATCCCTTCCTAAATGACTGGAAGGCAATCCACTTGATATAACAGGTGATCTTATTTCGCTGGCAGGCAACTGATATGGTAAAGATGTAGATTTTGCTGCAGAAACATGAGCTAAAGGTGAAGCAGGTTGGAAACCTCCAGAAGAAATCAATGGATGACTTGGTTTATCTGATGGAAACATTCGAGAAGTATGTGATGTCCCACGGCTTTCAGCTGCTGCATCTGAGTTTCTTTGCAACCGCTGAGATGAAGATGCAGTAGAATGTAAAGAAAATTCCTCAGACTTTTCCATCTGAAAGGGGAGGAAGAAACAAAAGCAAACATCAGCAAGAATAAATGGCATAATTTCAAAGGGAAGAAATGCATACTAAATATACTTACAATTTAAAAGATCTATAATATGCAACACAAACTAATCAACATCAAATATCGCCTACAAGCCGTACAAGCCGTGCGTACGACTTTCATTGAATACGGCTTTCCACATAATTCTAACCTCAAAAAGGGATGAAAGGAGGGAAAGTGTAAAAGAAACAAAAGCAGAAATAGGAACAACTTCCGAAACGAAGGAACTAAACATGAACTAAGACATTTTTCAACGTATCAATTTAAAGAGTTGGCTAAATCATTGTATACTTATTCATTCAATTAATCAAAGTTATATACAACTTTGAAACTAGTAAAAAAAAATTTAAAATGGACCTTCTTTCATATCAAATAGGAGTTAGGTAAATCAATGTGCATATCCTTTATTGTTTTAATATACCTATGCATCAACTAATTCAAAGATCATCAGAAATGTGCAATAATAAAAGGTACAAAAATAAAGATTTTAAATGTAAGAAACATTTAATGCAAATAGACCAACCATAAGGCCACAAATTCCATTCCCCAATTATCCAATATAATTAAATAATATAATCTATCAAATAACACCATAATATGATATAGAAGAGCATGTCAATCAATGGCATTTAGAAAAGGAAAATAAAAAAGTAGATATTATAGTATTATCAAAAACAAAGGGGCATTCTTTCCGAGTCTGGAGCCTAACAAAAGTAAGCCTAACAAAAGTAAGCGCCTCAAGACTTTTATATGCCTGTTGAAAGAGCCATGTGTCTTAGGTTGAGCCAGTGAAACATTAAGACTAAAGAGCCATATGATGACTCAATTTAGTACTTAATTACAAATAAACTAAGTGATTATTCAATTAAGTGTGTTTGATAACGCAATTAAAAAATCACAGGAAAAAAAAAAAAAAAAATTCGCTTAAGATGGCAGACAATTTTAAGTAAAGGAGACTTCACTTATACTGAACATGGAAAGCTTAAAATAATTTTTGCAATTTACAATTAGCACTTAATTTTATCAAACAGCACTTAATTTTCCATTTATGTGTTTTCTCATTTTTGAGGGATCTTTGAATGTGAATACATGTATCAAATAGCCACTTTAACTTCCGACTTTTACTTGGAAATAGTGAAGAAATTTATTTAAAACATGAATATTGGTCAAGGTGATAAAATAATCCAAAACGGTCTTTTGCCCATGAGGAAGGCATAAACCTCAAACACAAAACTAAAAAGTAGTAGAAGAAAAAAGTAAATGATGAATAGGAAGTAAATAAAAAATAACATAAAAACTTCATTTAAATATCATACTCCATAATAGCATATTAGCAAATTTCAGAGGATAAAATAATTAACATTATGCCACTTCTATTATTGTATAAAGAATATATATAGAAGTAGCAAAATTGTGGTTCGAGAAACATTACTGAAATATAATAAATATTAATGAATCAAGAAAAGAAATATGTGTGCGCAAAAAGATCCATGGTTATATAACTGCTATCGATAAATAATTAATTAATTAATTAATTAAAATTAAAATTAAAAAAAAAAAAAAAAAAACATGAAACATATTCCTCGTAAGTAAATGCGTAAAACACAAAACCTTCGGCAATTCCTTGGTTCAAGAGGTGTAATCTCTACGAGAACCTTGCATAATTTTGAAGTTGAAAGGCGTCATGCGCAGCTTCACTTTGAGACAAACCTTAAAGCAATCCTCAAAAAGCTTTTCACACTAAGTTTGAAATTAATGATTTTCCAATTGATTGTGATACTTTCAAGTATTTTTTTTCCCTCTCTTTTTTATTAAACTCTCTAACCCACCAGATGTGCCTGCTTTTAAGGTTTTCAATTAATTGTTAATTTCAATCTTGCTATAAAATCCTATACATTCATCTTGAATTAGTGACTTTAAAAAGCATTTTACCTTCAACAGCATGTTATAACTTCATAACCATATAAATTTAAATTTGTCAACTTATTGATTGAAATTTGTCAACAAATTTTAATATGAATTTTACTATTACTTAAACAGGTGAAATTTATAATCATTCGTTCACTCAATTGTTTCCAAATAACGCATTCCCCTTCAGAAGAGGACATGGTCATGAAAAGGGACGTGAGCCTCACATAATACATACGTCTGTAATGGTCTTGAGATTAGTAGACTACTCGAGTTAAAGAAATTGATGGAAATAAATTTCTAATACAAATTCTGAAGGGGAATGCTTTGTTTAGAAACAACAATTGAGCTAAATGTCTTCAAAAAAAATAAAAGACACAAACAAATGAAAACGAAAGATTATAGATTTCACCCGTTTAAGTAAAAGTAAAATTCAAAATAAATTTATTGACAAATTTCAATCAGTATGTTGACAAATTTCAATTTATATGGTTATGAAGTTAGAACATGTCCTCTCATGCATAAACTTTAATATTCTCATAAACTATGACTCAACCATTTTGCTTTAATACCATATAAAATTTTCCACTCATGATATTTAAGAAAAAGTGAATGAGTAAATTATGTGACGCAGGACAAGTAACCAGAAAGAAAGAAATGGATGAGAAAATAGAAGAATAGATAGACTAGAAGAAGGGGATGAGAAAATAGACGAAAGGGGGTGAGAACAGAGTGAATAGATGGGCAGGATGGACTGAAAAGGTGAGAAAAGCAAGAACAGAAATGACAGAAACAATAGAACACAGAGAGAGACTTAAAGAAAACGATAATCAATATTCTCCAAAAATTGAGTTCTCAAATTACAAAGGAGCCTTTAAATAGGCAAATTATTAAGCAAACCCTAAAACATAAAAATACCAAAGCAACCCTAAAATTCAAACATTATCAAAATAACAATAAGCATAAATAAAACCCTAAATTACTAAAATCCCCAATTTTATTTCTCTTTACCTCTTCTCCAAAAGTAATGATGAAGCATGTGCAACTCATGTATTCGAATCATATCCCGTTCCCCATCATTATGACAACATCGTAAAACAAGTTTTAATACATACCATGTGATTTTGGATAGCAAAAGACCTTACAAGACAATCAGCCACCTCAACATAATTATGCATGTGTGTATGCCCCCCATATAATCCCAAAAATAGGTTGTGGAAACACAATGATTGTCTAGAAAACTTGGGAAAATATTTGGTACTCGTTGGTTAGATTGTTGTGACAATAAGTCACTCCATCGCATTGCTAATAACATATTTTGGAAATCAGGAACTTAAACTTTTAGTAGGTTATTAAATTGCAAATATAAAACATCATTTCAGTTTAATATTAAATAGCAAATGCTATTTTTATCTATAACAATACATATTGCTGAAGCAGAGATGAAACTCAAATTAGTTGTTAACGACGGCACAAGTTTGCCCATATATGAGAAAGCTCTAGATGCAACAAAATTCCCTTCTTATTTCAACATAGGCAGGAGGTTCCGTTGTTCTCCTAATGGAGTTCTGGTTTCCATTTCTAAGGTTCTAATCAAACTATATTTTTTGATTAGTAAATTCTAATCAAGCCAACTCTATAATTTTGAGAAGTTAGCTAATGAATGTATCCTAGGGCATTAGAAGTAACATTCCAATACGGAATTTTAACTGTTTTTACTGTCAAAAATCACCAATTACATCCCTACATACATGTTTACCACATGCTACATGAGAAACACCTTAAATTACTTGTACACTCCTTACAAAGATAAAATAAAATAAATCCCATTAGTACTCCAGATAAATCTTTCTTACTGGAGATAAATCCCTAAATTAATCACACATTACAAAATATATATATGGCATTCCACAATTGCTAACAATCAATAAGAGCAGTTCCTAGAACGCATTAATAATTATTCTGAGAATTCATTGTAAAAATGAATTTCACTGATACATGCAAAACTACTACATTCTATAGTGAAAATATTACAAATAAGGGAATACAAATGAAAGAATAAAATTAAAAGCCAATTCAAGTCTCACCTTTTGTTTGGTGAGCAGCAACTTCTCACTAATTGATACCTTAGGAGGGCGAAACCCTGACATCTGTTCTTTCAACTTATTGAGTCCAATATCCTCAATAACGGCACCAAAGGCATCCCTCGGAAAAACTTCCTTAGGAGCAAAACCTTCACACACCTCCGCCAACTTCCCCCTCGCCTCAACCATCATCTCCTTTTCCACCGCCGTAGGACTCCTCCCTGCCCTCATCTTCCCCATCGACGCCAACACCAATACCATTTCCGCCACCTTCTTCATAGTACCAACCAATTGTCCTCCATTCCTCGCCTTCTTCGGTGACGGAACGCAAAATTCATTGTCCTCTCTGTTCTTCGCCGGTCTCTTTTCGCCGATTAGCACAGCTAAACCTTCCGATCTCGCCTCCGATGGATCAGTGCCACCGATTTCGTCCGTTGGTTCCATCTCGGAACGAACCCTAACTGTCTCTCACCAAAAGAATTCCATAAATGCCGTTGTCTCGCCGAATTCTGAAGAACAATACCTGGAAAAAACAGAGTGACCCCGGGAAACCTGCACATTCGAGAGAGATGAGAAGACATGGGAGGGGAGAGAAACCCTAGAGAGAGAGAAAGGGGGGAATAGAGCGAGAAGGGGAGAGGAGAGAGAGAGACGTTTAAAGATTTTTTGAACTCACGAAATTTTGATCAGTTAAATATATACCTTTTTGGCGCGTAATTGAAGAGAAAGAGCTTTGTGTATAAGTGATTAGTGAGATATATGGCGAGGACTTGTGACTTGTGAGAGTAGGGGTTTGGGCAAACAGAGCAGAGGGACGTAGAGAGAGAGAGAGCGTTTTTTAGAGAGAGAGAGGGGCTTTTTTTTTCCTACTACGTTACGATAACGAGGGTTGCACTCTCTGGCTGTGCAACTTTTACGCTGTTTCTCACCCTTACCATTGATAAAAGTTTTTATTTCCAATAATGCCATTATAGTTTTTTTTTTTTTGCATATTCCCAATTTTATTTTGTTCTATTTTTTTTTTTTTTATTAACTTATCATCACATCTGATATATATTTTGCCAAAAAAAAAAAAAAACCATAACATTTTCTTTTTCTATTAATTCAAGTGCGGAGCCAAAATATTCATTTAGGAAAGAACATCCTAGCTATAATAATTATAACGATTTTTTCAATGCATTTTTTATGTATAATTTTAAGAACATGTTATGAATGATATGAGAAGGAAAAATAGAGAGAATAATAGCTATCAAGTGTTCAACGCTTTTTCTTATATCTTTAATTTATAAAATATAATATATATATATATAAGGGTGATCTCTGGAAAGCAAAATAATTTATTCACAATTATAGATTTGTTAGGTTTGTAGCTCAAAATTAAAATTAGTTTCATTTTTCGTATAGGATGCTTCTATTTTAGAATTGTGTTTGATATAGTAACTACTTGCAGTCAAGTTGTGAAATTTTTGTATAACAAGAAATTGAGTTTTGAAGATTCTAAAAATAGGAATGGATTTGGGAAGAGAGTGAGACAGAGAAATAATTGTAGAGAGAAATAAGGTGAGTTGAGTTTGTAAGAAGAGAAAAAGTGTGTAATTAAGTTTTGAAGTAAAGATAGTTATTCTTTGCCCGTGGGCGTAGGCAATTTGCTGAACCACATAAATCTCTTTTTGCTTGTGTGCGCTTTTATCTATTTTATTTACCAATAGTGTGTGTGATATTAATAAGTGATATCATAGCCATGGCAGCAACTATTACCGATAAAAAATACATCATCGAGAAGTTTGATGAAAGAATAAACTTCAATCTTTAGCAAGTTCTATGATACCCCCAATTTTCACGTGTAGATTGGATAGACTAACACCCAAAAATCAGGGGATATAAAATAAATAAATAATTGATAATAAACAAACACGGAATACAAAATGATCTTACCTCCCAAAGGGAAGTCACGGGTTCAAGTCTCAAGAGAGACAAGTGTGTGTGAGTACCAACTAGGAAAAAATAAAAAGAAATAAAAAGTAGAAATAAAATTCTAATTAATAAATAAAATCCAATTATATTAATCCCTAACTTTACAACTCCATTAATATACTAATTAATACAACTCGGGAATCTCATAATGTAGAGACCCTTAAAACAAAGTTCAAAAAATCAAATGATACAAATAAATAGATCTAATGACAATAAAATAATTAGAACTTTTAATCCAGAAGAATGGAAGATGGATGAAATCGATCTCTAAACAGCTGAGTCCTCATCCCTGTGGTTGGATCGGACGAAGACCTAAAAATATCAACAAATGTGGGTTAAACTCATGAGCAAGCCCTTTCTACTACAGCCCAATAAAGAACCAATAAACTAGCCATTTCTAACCAAAACCATCTCAATAGCTTTATAGTCATACATATATATACACGCTAATAAACGTTCATTATGTATAAGGCAACTTCAACCTAATAGAGGATATCACTTGAAAAATCGCACACAAAATGGTCAAGAGTCCCTTATACTATCAGGACAAACAAATCATCTATGCAAGCTACTCGTTTCCGGCAATATATGTCTCAGTCCTAACCACTGATCCCGAATCAACTCGTATCAGGGCAAATACATATATATAATATCATCAACCAAACCATATATAACAATGACACAATATAAGTAAGTTTAAACTTATTAATCAGATCATCCCACAATAATATAATATACATGAGTCTAAACTTATTAGCCAGCCCACGTATAACCATATCCTTACAATGGTACAATAGACAACTCAATCAAATCACATAACTCGTCATATCCTTACAAGGACACAATATACAAACAACATCGATATATCATTACAATGTCACAATAAACAAACAACATAGCCATATCCTTACAATGGCATAACATACAACTTAACCACACCAGAGAGTAAAAGTGAATATATGCTTATTAACCAATCCACGTGTTTTCCACATTACACATAACAAACATACAAATGATAATTATCTTTTAAAATTTATAAGTTAAATAAATCCATCCATGTGCATAGTATAAATCATTAATATGATAAACAACATTTAAGAATAGAAATAAGCATGATCAACATCATTTGTTACAACATTTCATAATATTCCAATATGATTAGTGTCATAATTCACAACTACCACTCTAATACGAATAATATCATAAATATCATGATTAATACTATGAATTACAATTACTATCTACTAGGCTCGATAACATAATTAATATCATGATTCAAAATTAAAATCACATTATAATTAATATCAATCATAATATGATTAATATTATAAATCCAATTATGATTAATATCATTTATAATATAATTAATATCATAAATCATAATAAATTACATTATGATTAACATCATTTATAATATGATTAATATAATTTATCAAAATACCCAATTATAACTCTGATATGATAAGTATCATTTATCAACAAGAATTAATAATTATCTTTAATAGCGTTTATCACATTACACCATAAACTTCAACTATGATTATTATATTCTAATACAATACACAGTATGTTTTCATTAGGACTAATATCATTTATCAAACATACATCCTGTATTTAATTAATCATTTAAAGTTTATCGAGTTTTAAAGTTCATCATACACCCTATATGACGAAAGCCATTTCGAAAATAAACCTAAAAATAAAGTTTCTAAAAAAAATCTTAAAAAATTGAATAAAAAACATAATCAGCAAAAACTACCAAATTTAAAATATGAGAACAATTGAACTTTGTTTAAGCCTCCAACAAAAATCACAAAAATATTCTGATATCTCATAACATATTAAAAAACACGATTTAAAGCCCTAAACGGCAGTTTTCCGTCATAAACTGACATGGCTCACAAGCTATAACTAATAGGTTTTTCTCAATCGATTGTTTCCACCCAGAAAATACTATGATCTTGTCAAAAAATGACTTATTGAACTGCTATTCAGAATTCGGTGCAGATTTCTATCCTACATATCCGTAATAGTTGTACAAAATGGATTAAATCATGTAATTACAATTAATCAAAGCATAAATATGGTTCAAATTCATCAAACAACAACAATTAATCAAATTAGGGTTTTCAAAACTAAGTTAACAATTTTAGAGAAACAAAGACATACATGTATATATATATATGTTCAAATTCGTATTTTTCTTCCAAATTAATCATGTTTATACTATAATTAATAACCATATGTTTTTGGTATCTAAGGTAAAGAGTTTTTAAGTTCAAATGGGAAGAGAAGATTAGTGACTTGCCTTAGGTTTTCGTAATGAAGACAATGTCTCAAGCCTTTCAAATCTTTCTTCTCCAACTCCGGCAGTCCTAGGTTAATTGTTTTGCCTTCTCCTCTTCGCCTCTCAGTTTCTCTCTCTCTCTGTCTTTTGATTATATGTAGGATACTAACCCCACCACCCAGGATACTAAATAATATATAAATTATAGTACAGCCCATCAAGGCCCTCTTTCATGGCCCAAATAGCTCATTTGGCCCAATTAACCTTAAGTCCAACCCAAAAACAAAATAAATAAGTAAACAAATAAATAAATACAAGTAACAAATATTTTACACAGCTAACTCACATCAACACAAGTAAAGTCAAGTAAGCATGCACATCAAACAAACAACTAAATAACCAAATACATGCGCATAATTTAGTGAAACAAACCAATTAATTAAATATAAACAATTAAATAAACAACAAACTAATTAATTAAAAATAAACAATTAAATAAATAAACACCAATTAAAATTTAATTAAAATCAAATAAAACTAATTAAAAATCCCTTTAATTCTTTTTAAAATTACGGGGTATTACAAGTTCGGATACAAGATTTACTAATTCAGCAAGGGTTAGGAGAGGCTTTGGGTAAGAAATCGGAAAAAATGGAAGATGTAGATTGGGAAAAGATCAACTCGAAGGCAATGCGTGTGATTCGATTGATGTTGGCAGATGATATTGTGTTTGATGTAATAGAAAAAGATTCAGTAGTGTACGTGTGAAAGAAGTTGTAGAATTTGTATGTGGGAAAGAATCTCACCAATTGGTTAGTCTTGAAGCAAGAGATTTATTCATTTATGAGAAAATAAGAGGTAAGCCTACAAGAACATCTTGGTGAGTTTAACAAAATTATTTGTGATTTATCTAATGTTGATGTCAAGTTAAATGATAAGGATAAAACAATTATTTTGTTAACATTGGTATGCTCTACTCATTAGTATTTATGCAATAACTTGTTTTATGAGAGAGATATCATCTCGATGGAACGAAGTTAATAGTGTTTTGCTCTCTAATGAAAAGTTGAATGGTGAAGAAAATCGTGATGCTCAAGCTCAAGTTCTTATTGCTCAAGAGAAAAAGAGATTTCGAATTTCAAGAAACATCGTGTCATTGCCATATAAAAAATGCCACAAGTGTGGGAGAAAAGAACAAATTAAGTGGTATTGTACGAAAAGAAATGAGAGGTGCATCCCTGTTGCTGTTGTGTATGGGGATACAAAATAATTGAGTGACAATGATGAAGTGTTATCAATCATTAATAACAAGGGAGAAACTAAGAAGTGAATACTTGATTTTGTTTAATCCTTCCACGTGTATCATAAAGGGTCATTTGTTACTTACAAACCTGTAAGTGGTAAGGTATTTATCGGGAATAATGCTTCTTATGATGCAATTGGAATTGGAACTATCAAAATCAAGACAACGAATGGTTTGGCAAAAACTCTAACAAATGTACGTCATATCTAAGTGTTAGAAGGAATGTGATCTTTATGGGAGCATTGAATTACAAAGGTTGTTGGTATGAAATGAAGAATGGATTGATGAAAATTAGAACGGGACAACATGTTATGCTTTTGGGAAGGAAGGTCACTAATATCTCTATTTTGTTGGGACTAATATGGTAGGTGGAGCAATTGTAAAGACTGAACGGAATCTCGTTTCAAGATCTACTATTTTGGAGGATCAAGAGCGATAAGAGAAGGAAGAAGTCTTGGCAATTATAAGAACACCAACATTTATTCCAAAAGCAAGGATAGTTTGATTTGGTGATACGAAAATAGATTACAGGTTCAATTATTGGAACTTGGAATTTACTAGGAATAGATGAGTTTGGCGGAATGCGAAGAACGATAAAGGAAAAAGAAGACGTTATGTTCAAGGTGGAAAGATCTTCAGCCGAGGTGAAGTTATGGAGGAGCATGTGAGACGTGCAAAGGTGGAGATTGTTGGGTTTGAGGCTCAAAATTAAAATTAATTTTGTTTTTCGGTTTGTGATGTTTCTATTTTACAATTGTGACCATTGTAGTAACTCTTTGTAGTCAAGTTGTGAAATTATTGTACAATAAGTAATTAGATTTTGTAGATTCTATAAATAGAGATGGGTTTGGGTATAAAGAGAGAGAAATAATTCTAGAGAGAAAAAAAAAAAATGATTTGAGTTAGTGAAAAGAGAAAGAGTTTGTAATTAAGTTTTGAAGCAAAGACACAGGCAATTTGTTGAAGTACATAAATCTCATTTTACTTGTACGTGCTTTTATATATTTTATTTGTCAATAACTCTTAACAATCACGTTTCAAATTCATTTATCTCTTCAAAATTACTCTCTCCTTATTTTTGGTTTTCAAAATTAATATTACCATTACCATCCATTGTAAAAAAAAAAAAAAAAAAATTACATTAAAAAAAAAACAGTTGTTGTATTTTCAAACTTCAGCACTTTTGGAAGAAAATTAATGGCTAAATTCTTGTCACTCTAGACTCATAATTTTGGAATAAACCAATCAAATTGATGAGTATTTTTTTCATTTACAATATTGATTTTTCTTTTTATGTTTTTTAAATGATTTATTTTTTGCATGCATTCAGCGTAGCGTCCACGAGGGATAGAAGAAATGTTACAGACATTTGACACTTGTGCCACGAGAGCTGAATACGTGGTCGAGTAGAACGACCCAATAATTTCTGTCAATTTGTAGAAATGTACTAATAAGTGCTTACCAAATTCCCCACAAAAAAAAAACCAATTTTACCATTGTCAATAAAAAGATAATAATGAAAAAGAAATCTGATAAAATACTCATCCCACCAACTATTCAAATGGATCGGTCCCATAAATTCACCAACTAAATAGTAAGTCCATATTTTACACCCAACAGGCTATGAAAAATAATTGGGTTGGGCTCATTGTCTTCAACCACAACTGGCTATGAAAAATAATTGGGTTAAGCCGATTGTTTTCAACCACATATTCGATTAGAGAGGATCATTTTTCAAAATTATAACATTTACAACATCTAAAATAATGCCAAAGGTTATAGTATGTAGATTAATTCTGAACAATGGTCTTTTCCTATGAATGTAAAGTTACTAACCCTACACCTCCTGGAGATATAAACTTCACTTAGATGGTTTATGATAATAATGTGAAGTTTTTTGACAGACTAAAATGTCATGCTTTTAGCATACAGCAGAAGCCACAGAATATTATTAGTAGTAGTCAACAATTAGTGTCTGATTCGAAACTGAGTTCTGGTGTTACTGGGGTTTGAGCGGCTTCCGGATTCTACTCATTTCAGGTTTCCTACTGCATTATTATAGATGTTCTTCCATCTTCACGAAGCATACCTTGTAAATGGTAGCAACAAGATTGATAAACAAGTTTATCTGTGCCAGTAGATATTTTATAAAGAACTAATTTATCTGAATACAGCAGGTAGAGAGTTAATAATGCAAAACCAATTTAAATTTCTTATCATCAATAAAAGTTGCACACATGACCTTTGAAACTCTACGAGACCTGGATTAAGTTTATCCTCAATCTCCAAACCAATTCATGATCAACAATGATGGCCACATAGAGGATTGTACATGTTCTTTCCCAGAGCCGCTCACTCTCCTTCACTCAAAATTGGGACTATGAGTGGTTTCATCTGCGCGAGGTATACGATTGCCCACCTGCCCAATCAAATGCAATAAAAAATTAACTACCACTAAAAGACGACAGTGTGGGTAAGAACAGAAACGCATAACATGTACTGTTATAATACTGACTTTTGTCAAGTCTACTTTTATATTTTAATAAATTAAAGCAAATTACTCCAGGAAAGAAGTTACGCATAAAATTCTTGCACAGCATTTCAAGTTTCACAAAGCAGGCATCAAAAGACTCGAAGGGTAGACAACAATACATTAATCTCATGGCATTAAAATGTTTTGCCTATCAATTTGAAACCCATCTTCAACAATGGCATGTACTTTTATCCTTGACAGCAGAACAGAATTTGTTAAAAACAGAAAAGGGTGCCCAAAGTTTAGGCGATGACAGTTCCTTGAAAAATGAAAATAGAACAAAAAGAAAAAGAAGGTGAAAAGATGCAGTGGTACAAGTGATAACAAAGAAACAGGAGCTTAATGGGTAATCCCCCAACAACACAAAGAAAGGGAAGCTTTTCATTCAACCTCAAGAACATTAAGGTTGTGAGTATGGCTGAAGTTCTACAATAAACTGCCCAAGCCCAACAGTACAATAGAAGCTAATGGAGCTTGAATAGATAAGAAAGCTTGGAAATTAACCCGAATATCTCCCCAACTTCAGTACTCGAAAAAGAACCAATGACACATCTCACACGGGGATGGAGAATGGGTAAAAGCTGCAAATAACTCCTGACAGCGCTCCTCCAAAATTAGACTACATATATATATGAAATGAACCAATAACACATCTAACACAAGGACGGAGAATGGGTAAACACTGGCAACAAATTCCTGCTTCCGAAAGCGGCTCCTCTAAAATTGCACTACAAATGTGAAATGAACTCAACTCCTGTGCTCAAAAAAGAAGCCACATAACATCAAACACGGGAAATGGGTAGAAGCTGGTAAACAAATTTCTGATAGCTATCTCAAAATTGGACGCATACACATGATCAAGGACAGAGCAACCCCACTTTTTTTATTTACATTTTATAACTATGATTTTGTTAAAATCTTAATAATGCCCCTAGAAAATATTTAATAACGCGCGCCCCCCCCCCCCCAAAAAAAAAAAAAAACCTTCCCCCACTGACATTTTAATCTTCATACTCAACCCTCGCTCTCACATTTTCGCACTCTCTAAATGTAGCCCATCGACTCTCTCTCGTGAAGATCATAGTTAAGGCTTATTATTTTTCAACTATCATGCAATATTTTCAAAATATGAAATCGCGTCGAGACAACAATTATAAACCTACTCAATTAAAATATCAATTAATTTTGACATTCTTTTGTTTATTATGGTAGTTGGAATTTTCTATTTTTTTATCTTATAGTTATTGAAGACCGTCCCATTCAATTAATTTTCTGGCTTCGTCATTGCATGTGATATTAACCCAACTCGAGAAAACACTATGCTAACAATTGGGGGTTAACTACAAGAGTCATATAATTATAGGTAATCTTCCATTAAATAAAAATCAACCATGTTGTACCCAAGGTTTTAAATCGCAGAAGTGGATGCAGTCGCAGTGTAACGAATGCAGGATGTAATGAGCACAACATAATGGTTTCAAAAATCATGGTCATGAAAGGTCATGAAATTTGTTCAACATTGCACACTATGACATAATCAAGCCAGTATGAGTATTTCTAACTCCAAAATCTAATAATTATGAGTTTGTAATCATTTTTACTGAATTTTGAAGAAGATTTAAAGGCGATTTATTATAAGTAACAGCCTATATATCGTATTTTAAATTGTTATCGGCATTAAAACTTACCAACTTGCAACTTTTTATTAATTTATGACTCCAAATGTACTTAAATAGGAGAACTAAAAATGACCAAATAAAACACAATAAAAGAACAATATAACATAAATATCAATGTCCTATAATGGAAGTTGCAACGTCAAAAAAGGCTAGATCTAGTGTCCAAAGAACTTTCATGTTAAATCCAGGTGAAATAAAATTGAAAACTTAAAGATTAGTTAATAGCTTGGAGTGGTTTAATCAAAATTTATGCCAAGATCATATTTTTTAGGTTTCTTCATATATTATTAGGGTTTCAGGTGAGTTTAGAGGTGAGAGAGGGTTGTTAAAGGGGAAAAAATGGGGAAAACGACCAAAATGGAGCTTACTAGCTTAAAGAGCCAGTGCAACTTGAATGAGGCTAGGCTGAGTAACAAATAGTCCCTTGTGATTTTTATTCTCAATTATAAATCAGGCCATAACAGATCAACTCTGGCTGAATCTGCTAACCTTACTTGGATCAAGGTGTCGGGACAACCCAAAAGCAGCATGAAGGAGACTAACCCAAATAGGAATCTATATGTAATGTGAGATTTTTTAATGAGATTTCAATCATTTACTCAAGTATAATGCAATTTTAGAGAAATTATTTGTCAAAGATGATGTCTTAGTGCTAGAATTGCTATTTTGAAGGGCTTTTTGAATAATTTGTAACTTTACCCGACCAACCCAAGTTACCCAACCTAGCTCAACCCGAATTTTAGCTAGATTTCTAAACTCAAGATTAATTCAGACTCAAAGATTTAAGAAACAAGTTGAGCTCAGATTGGACAACTTGAGTTTTTTTAGGCTTGGGTTGAGGATCTCATACACTGGATTGAGCCCAGGCTAAAACTCAACCCACCTAACCAGCCTGTGTTCCACCCCTTAATAAGCAACACCAGTACATCACCAATGAATTACTTTCTCATTTCAAACCCTAACCCTCTTTCTTTTGCACATTAAAATTGGAATTGGCCATATAAAAAATAGATTTCTAAACACTACACCAGACAAAGGAATGAAGTTTGATTGAAATACAAAAAACTATATGTTTCAGTTTTGAGGCTGAAATGAGGAAATCAGTTTGAACTCGTAACTTACATCATCCAACAGCATACTGTTGCTGTAATAACCAACGTCAAATGGAACCTGCATTGCATAATAATTACACGTTAGCAATATGCATATGCAAAAGAGAAAAAAAAAAAAAAAGGAAGATAATTTGAAAGCTTATATGAGAAAACAAGTACAAAAGAGTAGATAACTACTAGCAAGATCAATAAGCTTTAATTATTCCAAAGGCTCTATTATATCTTTTCTAAGTGCCGACAGATGTAATGCAGATCATCGTACACATTGCAATAGGCATGCCGGACTCTGGATTCATTATCCAATACTAAATTTCAGTGAAAAAAGTAGTGCCCAATATTTATTTATTTTTGACAAGTACAATATGACATATCAACTATGTTCTATGCGCTCTTCTTAATCCTTGAAATGCTCATATCGTCATACTTGGATGATTATGCAAAATACATCTAACATTCCTAATTAAGCATGTACCTAGCAAGCATCCAGTAGTTCACCTTTTTTTTCCTTCTTCTTTTCTCATTGACAAGAAACACACTCACACACACTTTTTTTGCCCACGCCCAGGCCTCACGTCCCTTTAGTTATATTCTCATTCAAATGAGTGAAGTTCTCATATTTAATACTGTATCTTTTTATAAATATATGATTTTAACTAGAAAAATAGCAGAATAATGCTAAAAATAACTATGCCCCATATACTTGGGTTTGAGATTTGATAAATTCAAAACTTAAGGCATGTATTCATATTTCATACCCAACATGTATATCAAATAAATGTGCACAAAGCTTAATTAATTCAGAAAATTTTATAAAGAGGACGGGAGGTTATAAAACACTCCCATCACGTTCCTTTAGTTACATTCTCATTCAAATGAGTGAAGTTTTTATATTAAACACTGTATCTTATATGAATATATTATTTTAACTAGAAAATAGCAGAATAATGTTAAAAATAGCCATGCCCCATATTCTTGGGTTTGAGATTTGATAAATTCGAAACTTAGGCATGTATTCATATTTCATACCCCAACATATATATCAAATAAATGTGTACAAAGCTTAACTAATTCAGAAAATTTTAAAAAGAAAAAGAGAACTTATTAATGTATCCTTATATTGAGATAAATAAAAATTTAAAATAAAAAAAAGAAAAAAATAAAAAAGAAAAAAAGATCAGTTTTTTGAGGAGAGAATTATAGCAAGAAAGCTCTGAGCTGACTTTTTGGTTTCTATAATGGTTTGTGTCTACTGTCTGCATATAATAATTGTCTGTTTAACTTGTAATATAGTACAAATATTTCTGCACTTTGTTACAATTTGGATGGACTGCATTGGACCACTGAAACCATGTATCCTTTTCTAAACAAATATTTAGTTTGGAGCTGGTTGTGACAATACGTCATAATATTATTTGTCATAATATTATTTCTTTCTGACTCGAAATTGACAAGAACTTCAAATTCGCCACCACCTCTATCGAACTGATAACCAGTGGATCAGCAAGCCATGCTAGCAAATATATGTATAGTTAATGTTACTAGTTCCTTAGACAAAAAGATCTCTTGGAAAAGATGAATGAAAAGTTTTTTTCACCACTTGCCAAAAATTCAGGGTTTTGCAGAAAAATGTAGAAGTAGAAACCCATCGATATTACGGATTTTCCAAGTCCGACCTAATCAGGTCCAAAATTTGATATTCACATTGAGACAACAGAAAATATGGAAATCATGCTATATGCGGCAAATCAATTCGTTCGTGAAACAATTAGCTTGAAGCCGTAATGATAATAAGATCTCCTACTGGTTCACGAAGTGGTTATTTTGATCAACAAACTCGAGAACGTTAATACTATTTCAACATACAAAAACCACAACACTAATAACAAAAATTATGATAGGCAAATCTAAATTAAGCGAGGACATTTGAAAAATGGAGATTGAAGGTATACAGATTTGCAGAGGGCCCTTTGTTGCAGCATATTCTTGTACAAAGAGAGGCAATGATCCCGATCACAAGAAAAATTAGGGTTGTTACCAGAAAACCCATATTGATTGGATCTCACCGACCGACAAGCAGCGAAACTTCTGCAACGAAATTTTGAGTTCAAAATCGAATTAGGATAAAGAAATTCATGTTTGAATAATATATAAAAAAAATTGCTTTCCTATCTGCAAGTTATAGTTATCTAGATTTTGAAAATTTTAATGCGTTTGCGACATGTATATCTGAAACGATTCAATTAGATTGAACCAAATAAAGAACCTAAAATATAAATAAATATTCATATATATGTGTATATACAAATATACATATGGAGAAAACCTTAATCTCCGGCGATCGGCGATGTTTCTTCCGGTGATCCGAAGGTCGTCGACTGGACCTTACTTTACTAGATCGATGTTTTTGATTAACCAGCGTCTTTGTCGGAGTACAATAAACGATTCTGATCCATCGAGTTTGGACACGTGTCAAGTAGTAGAACTCTTAAACGGCCCAGCCCACCAATTGAGTGAAAATGGGCTGGACCAATCTGAGCTCACTGGATACAATTCTGAAAAAGTTAGGGCGGTTCGGCAACCACAGTACCTTTGTACTTCTACTTTAATTTGAAACAGAATTAATATTTTTGGTTTTGGGGTGTGTTAAATGCTGTTTTGAAATTTATTTGGTAACATCTATTTGTTGTAAGATTTTAGAAAGCAAAAACATAAAAATATGTTTGCCAACGTCCATGCTTCGGAAGCGAAAACATAAAAATATGTTTGCCAACGTCCATGCTTCGGAAGCAAAAAAACATAAAAACATGTTTGATAACGTCCATACTTCGGAACCAAAAAAATGAAAACATGTTTGGTAATGTCAGTATTGTGAAAATATTGGAAACATGTCATAAAAAATATGTTTCGTAACGTCAGTATTGTGAAAATATATTTTTGGTAAAGACGGTTTGTATTAATATATTTTATTATTTTAAATTATTTATAATAATATTAAATTATATAAATAATATCATAATTTTGTAAAAATGTTATTCAATAACCAACAAAAATTGTAAAACAGAAGTGTGTATATATAAATTCAATTTACATTAATGAAATGAATTTCAAACTTTAAATTTAGAACAGTTTGTAATATCAAATTATATTCCTATTTCAAAGTTTTAGAATATTTGTATCAGTGGTATTACTTTTATTTTTAATAAATAGAGGAAATGAGATAAAGAACTGAAAATTTGGAAAAAAAAAATTCATTTCTTCAGAGCTGAAATGATGACGTGTGTGTGTATGTGATAGAGAGAGAGATAGAGAGTTGAATAAGGAGAAAAATGCATTTTCATTTATATCACACCATGCATAAGTGATTCCTTCCAACCTCTTGAAACTTTTTTTTTATCCCTATTACTTCTATTTAAAATATTTGAACCTATTTGTCATCTTCACAATAAAATAAGGCATTTTCATCCATATCACACCATGTATAAATCAAGATTTGGACAAGTGTAGTATTGAAATAATTGCATCCAACCTATCATCTTAAATGCATGAACAATGTTAATAAAAGATGGCCACAAATCCTCCCTATAAACAATCCCAAGGAAACACATCATCTAATCACAATAAAGTTATCATCAGTTTCCTGAAATAAAAGTTCCAAATTTCTTGTTAAACATTTACAATATACTATACTAAAACATTCATATATGAAGTTATTACAATAAAAATTACAGAAGGAAAAATAATATATATATATATATATTTGTTCTTCTATGGCAATAAAAATTACAGAAGGAGTATATGGTATATATCTATTTCCTAAACTTTGACTTGTAAACCATGTTAGGAATTGTGTCTCAAATTCCCATTATTATTAGTTTCTATTTTAGAGTATATTTTTATGGTAATTTCTTGTAGAAACGTGAATTGGGCTCTAAGAAATTATAATCCTTATCCATAAAGGAATTGGGTATGTAACTCTATAAATAGACACTTAGGCTATTGTTGAGAGTTATGAGTTGAGAGAGATGTAGCCTCATGAGGGAGTACGTTGATGGTAGGGGTGAGTTACGGGTTTGGTAGAGTGAACACTGATGGCGAGAGGGAGTCTCGTGGAGTACACGGAGAACTCGGTCAAGAATTTGTATGTATGGTCCGGTGTTGAAATTCTCTACTATTGTAATATCTCTACATATATAGTGAATCTCTTCTCATCCGTGGATGTAACCCTGATTTTGGGTGAACCACGTATATATCTTGTGTTGTGGTTTGAATTATTGTTTTCTTTCTTTCTTTTGCTTCCGCTGTGCCCCAATAACTGGTATCAGAGCCAAAGGTGAAAGAGATCCAGAAAACACAAGAAGTCTCAACATATGCTACAAAAGGCTTCAGTTGTAGGTGGAGTCAATTTGCTTGGTTACATGGCATGGAGCTTGAATAGTTAAGGTGGAGCCTTGGGGTTTTGACTGATTGAGCAACATATAGTAGGGATAATCCGAGTTCTGCAATAAGATCGAGAAGATTGAAGTGGCAGAGAATTATTCAGATTCAATTGCCATGAGAAGCGATGATTGACGTAATGAAATTTGAACCAAGGTGGAGATTGTTATGAATTATGTCTCAAATTCCCATTATTATTAGTTTCTATTTTAGAGTGTATTTTTATGGTAATTTCTTATAGAGTTGTGAATTGAGCTCTAAGAAATTGTAATCCTTGTCCACAAAGGAATTGGTATGTGACTATATAAATAGACACTTAGGTTATTGTTGAGAGTTATGAGTTGAGAGATATGTAGCCTCATGAGGGAGTACGTTGATGGTAGGGGTGAGTTACGGGTTTGGTAGAGTGAACACTGATGGCGAGAAGGAGTCTCGTGGAGTACACGGAGAACTCGGTCAAGAGTTTGTATACATGGTCCGATATTGAAATTCTCTACTATTGTAATATTTTTTTACATATATAGTGAATCTCTTCTCATCCGTGGATGTAACCCTGATTTTGGGTGAACCACGTATATATCTTGTGTTGTGGTTTGAATTATTGTTTTCTTTCTTTCTTTTGCTTCCGCTGTGCCCCAATAACTGGTATCAGAGCCAAAGGTAAAGGAGATCTAGAAAACACAAGAAGCCTCAACATGTGCTATAAAAGGCTTCAGTTGTAGGTAGAGTCAATTTGCTTGGTTACATGGCATGGAGCTTGAGTAGTTAAGGTGGAGCCTTAGGGTTTTGACTGATTGAACAACATATAGTAAGGATAATCCGAGTTCTACAATAAGATCGAGAAGATTGAAGTGGCAAAGAATTGTCCAGATTCAATTGCCATAAGAAGCAATGATTGACGTAATGGAATTTGAGCCAAGGTGGAGATTGTTAGGAATTATGTCTCAAATTCTCATTATTATTAGTTTCTATTTTAGAGTGTATTTTTATGATAATTTCTTATAGAGACGTGAATTGGGCTCTAAGAAATTGTAATCCTTGTCCACAAAGGAATTGGGTGTGTAACTCTATAAATAGACACTTAGGCTATTGTTGAGAGTTATGAGTTGAGAGAGATGTAACCTCATGAGAGAGTACGTTGATGGTAGGGGTGAGTTACGGGTTTGGTAGAGTGAACACTGATGGCGAGAGGGAGTCTCGTGGAGTACACGGAGAACTTGGTTAAGACTTTGTGTGCATGGTCCGGTGTTGAAATTCTCTACTATTGTGATATCTCTACATATATAGTGAATCTCTTTTCATCCGTGAATGTAACCCTGATTTTGGGTGAACCATGTATATATCTTGTGTTGTGGTTTAAATTATTGTTTTCTTTATTTCTTTTGCTTCCGCTGTGCCCCAATAACCAATCATATATATAGTGTCGATGAAGGCAAATTGGAAGACCTTTATCAGGACTTGGCATCATATCACCCATGATTTTCTCATTGTGGTACTCAATGTCCAATACACCTGCAAATTCCATATCACATATACATACATTAGAATTCGACTCTATATATATAGGTTAGTGGACTATAATAAGTTCATTTGATATATATATGTATATACCTTCTAGCCCTTTGGAATAGTGTAACCAGTATAAGTGAAGTCAACTAAAGCCTCCCTGAAAGCTCCTTGAAATGGTGGGTTGAATCTCATCACTTCACACATAGTGTTCCATGAGTACTTCATTTTATTCATGTCTTCCCAATCTAATAACTCTCCTGCCTTCTTCGAAGCTGCAATCTCCTTTTGTTCTATTCAAATCCAAAGAACACAAATCCATCCTTTAGATTGTGTATTTTTCTCAAAACCATATAAACAGTTGATACCAATATGGTTTTTAATGCTTACACCATATTATATACACATACTTTCAAATAACTAGTCCTAAACTATAGTTTTAAAGAATTATAAAAAACCGTTCTATAAAATCAGATCCATTTTCTTATAATTTTCATAAAATACTTCTCAAAAACTGTCAACCAAGCAAAACAAACCGTATGTTCTCAGAAAACTAAACCAAACAAGCTTTTAGATCTTACCTACCAAAGTATTAGCTAATATTCCAAAAGTTGATTCTTTTGCTTAATGATTTTCTGATTACTTTGGAATGTACCTGCATAGATCATAAAACCCTCTCTTATTACTTTGAAGGTTTTTTAAGAATAATGAGACTTCTAGAAGATGCTGATGCTAATACTTTGGTAGGTAAGATCTAATTGTTGGATATAATAGACAACATTCAAAGTGTGAAGCATGTAGCAGCATCATAGTCTACAAATCTCAACATGAAAAATAACTGTGTTGTAAACCATTTGATTTAGCCGACTCAAACTAAAGTTCACCCAGCAACAATAAGCTTATTATAAAGACATGTGTATCCCAAAAACAGTAAAAATAATACTACAATAGATTGCATTATTTATCACTAACCTTTGACAACCTATAGTTACAAGTTGGAAATCAGTTTACATATAGGTAGCATGATACATAGTTTAAACAATTACATCAATTGGGTTTCAATTCAGTTTGCCTATAGTTCTACAAAAAACTAAGGTTTATTAACCAATGACAATATATTTTTAAATGAAAAAAAGTTACAAGTTGGAAGTCACTTTGCATATAGGTAGCATGATACATAGTTTTACAATTTGATCAATTCAGTTTTTATATAGTTATACACAAAAGATGAGGTTCAGTAGTCAGTACAATTAAAAAGTATAAGAATAAATATTATTTTATTGAGAACTAATCATAAAATATTTTTAAATGAAAAAAGGTTACAAGTTGGAAGTCAGTTTACATATAGGTAGGCATGATACACAGTTTAAACAACTAGATCAATTGGGTTTCGATTCAGTTTGCATATAGTTCCACAAAAAAGTTGAGATTTAGTAACCAATGACAATATATTTTTAAATGAAAAAAAGTTACAAGTTGAAAATCACTTTGCATATACGTAGCATGATACAATTTGATCAATCAGTTTCAATTCAGTTTTCATATAGTTATACACAATAACTTAGTTTCAGTACAAATAAAAAGTATAAGAAGATATATTATAACTCTTACTGAGAACCAATCAAAAAAGATTTTTAAATAAAAAATAGTTACAAGTTGGAAGTCAGTTTGCATATAGGTAGCATGATAAACAATTTTAACAAATAGGTCAATTGGGTTTCAATTCAATTTGCATTTTGTTGTACACAAAGACTGAGTTTCAGTAACCAATGACAAAAGATTTTTACATAAAAAAAATTTACAAGTTGAATCGAACTAACCAATCTATAATTTCAACACAAACAAGATCATTAGACATAACATGTAAGAATTGAATCGAAGTAACCAATCTGTAAATTCAGAAGTAGGGTTTCCAAATGGAAGGCAGAAAAAAACCCAAATTTACACACAGCATAAAACAAAAAATTATCCAATACAAATTTGTAAATTCAGAAGTAGTGTTGAAATTCTTACTTTTAGGACGAATTCAAGGCCAACGACAACGTCATGCCACTGCAACACTCATACTCTATAAACGAACAACCCAACACCAACACAAAAAATTTAATTAAAGTGATAAAAATGTTAAAAACAGTTGAAATTTCATTTCAGAAGTAGGGTATCCAAATTGAAGACATAAATAGACCTAAAGTTATACACAACATAAAACAAAATTGAATCAAGTACCAAAACTGAAATTTCAGAAGAAGGGTTTCCAAATCCAAGACAGAAATAAACCCAAAATTATACACAACATAATAAAATATAAAACGAAGTAAGAAAAGTTGAATTTCCGAAGTACGATTTTCAGATCCAAGCACAAATCCAACCCAAAATAAGACAGAAGATAATAAAATCTGAATCGAAGTGACAAAACTTGAATTTCTGAAGTATGGTTTCCATATCCAAGCACAAATTGAACCCAAAATTACACACAAGATAAAAAAAAATATGAATCAAAGTAAGAAAACTTGAATTTGCGAAGTACGGTTTTCAGATCCAAGCATAAATTCAACCCAAAATAAGACACAAGATAATAAAATCTGAATCGAAGTGATAAAACATGAATTTCTGAAGTGCGGTTTCCAGATCCAAGCACAAAGTTGACCCAAAATGTTACACAACATGACAAAAAACTCATCCAAGTAACAAAACTGAAATCATCAGCACTAGGGTTTCAGATTGAAACAGAAAAACCAACACGGAATAGGAAAAAAACACCATCAAGATGAAAAAGAAGAAGAGGAACAAGAACATAATGGAGTTACGTTTACCAATCGGAGCTTGCAATAATGTCGTTTGTAGCGACGGGATGGTTGAAGCTCTGTGCACAGCGGAATCGCCTCCGAATTGCCCTAGGGTTCGCTCTCATTTGCTTACAAGATTTGTGGCTAGATATGGAATAACTACTTCAAGTATTTGGGCCCAATGATTCCACTATTGGGCTACAGTGCAGGAAACGTTTTACCGTTCTAGTGTTGGAATCAACAAGAAGCATAGTTTTAATGCTTCGAAAAATAGGCCCATTTTCGGAAGTACTTCAGCACTGTTTGGAAGCGTAGCAGTTTTCACCAAACATGTTTTGGGCCAGAATTTCGCTACAGTAACTGGCCCAAAGCAAAAAACATGTGGCAGAAACAGCTACCAAACAGGCCTTAAGTATGCTATATTGCTATGTTGGTTACCATATGTGGTCACACTTTTCCTGGCTTAAATGTGGGATTTGGGTGGACCTTCAACCCGAGTCCCTTATAAAAACTTTACGGGCGTACTTTAGATCACAAAACTAAAATTCGGTTAAAAGTTTAAAGCCTGATACTATAAATTATTGGGTTAATTTCAATGGCACACTTGAGGTTTGGCCCAATAATATCACCTTGAATCAATTTTCAAAAATTACTATTTCTTAGGTCCAATTTTACTTTTTCCTCATTGAAATTGTTAAAAACATATGAAAAGATAATTTTATCCTTATTTTTTTAATTTATTTTAATTCAAAACATCATCAAACTTAAAAAGACAAATTGTCCCATTATTTTTTGGACAAAATCAATCCCCATGGAATATGTCACCTCATTAAAAAATGAGGGCATTTATGTAATTAACCTCTCCCTTTTTCAGCTTTCTCTTCATCTGGTCAAGTGCAGAAAACACCTTTAAAGTATGTTTATAGAGTATATCACACCCTATACATCTACAAAACACCCCTAAAGTTTCAATTTTGTGCAAATAGGTCCCTCTGATAAATTTAAACCTCAAGTTAACTAAATTACCCTTACTGAAACATTTTATAAATTATATAAAAATAAATAATTTTGTAAAATGATCGAAAATGACACTATTGAAGGATGCCCCCTCATGTGCAAAAAATACCCCTAAAGTTTCAATTTGGTGCAAATAAGCTCTTCTAACAAATTTAAACCCTACGTTTACTAAATTACCCTTATTTAACAATTTTATAAAATATATAAAAATAAATAATTTTGTAAAATGACCAAAAATGATACTATTGGAGGATGTCGAAATGGACAAGTAAAGATAAAATTAAAAATTAAAAAATAGAAAATAAAAATAAAAATAAAAATAAAAGCATAAAAGAAAAGTAAAGATAAAATTAAAAAAATAAAGTGCAAACTAAAGAAAACAAATCTGCTCCAAATTCCAAAAACCAATGCAAACAGACATTGAGATTTTTTTTTTTTTTTTTTTTTTTTTTTTTTTTTTTTGTTAACAGTGTTGGTATTAAAAAAATATTTAGTAGAAAATAGTAAACCGAAATCTAAAAAAATTCAAATCCTTAAATTTTTAAAGTTTCAAAAAAAAAAAGTTTAATGATATATATAGAGAAAAAAGTTTCAATATATATATATATATATATATATAAGGTAATATGCACATAACACCCCCATACTATGAGATTAGTAGCATATATACCCCTTGGGCATTTTCGGAAGAGTAAAAGGGCAAAACGGGTTTTTAAATACTAATTTATGTTGGATTTATGATTGAGGGGTATTTTTGCATAATGTGAAAAGATGAGGGATGTTTTTTGCGTACTTTTTTAAATAAAAGGTCAAAGTTCTACTTGGAATATACTTTAGGGTGTTTTCTACACTTATCCCATCTTTCACACCATTGTCTTTGATAGAGCCATTCTAATATATTAACATAAAAAATAAATGAGAGAGAAATGCTTCTTAAAATATAAAGGACAATGCTTAGCTACTTTCGGTGACCGGTGAGTAGTTTCACTCTACTGACCTCTTATGTGTCCCAATAAAAACATAACACGTCAACTTTAATAACAAAATCAGCAAAATAATAAAAAGAGAAAAAAAAAAAAAAAAAAAAAAACTGGATCGATCCATTTTAATTGAAAAGATATGTTTTATTCAATGGTCCATTGTATATATAAAAAAACTTGTACTAGAAAGCATATATCAACTACAAATCAGAGTAATAGTAGTCAAATGGAATCAATAGTTTAAATTCTGATGATGTCGCCAGAAGAAGAAGTCCCAGTTGCACCTATAGCTCTTGCTTGCTTATTAGTTGATATATTTGGTCCATTTGATATCACACATAATCTTCCCTCTTTTATAAAACTCAACCTGGGCATCAAGAACAGAAATTAAGAACACAAAAAAAAAAAAAAAAAAAAAAAGAGAGAAAAATTTGAGAATACTAGCTCATTGAATGATGATTGAAAACCCCTTTCTAAAAATTAAACTCTAAATCTGTAAAACAAAAAATTAAATCATACTTCCACTACAAGACCTAGTTGAAATTACTGTTCTTGTTTGCCTGTTGAGTGTTGATCTTCAATGAAGGACGAAAGGAAAAAGAAAAATAATCCAAACACGAATCAAACATACTTGCTCATTGATTGATGATGTCCCATGGAGGTAAGAAGAAGAACAGTGGAGAGAGGAGGGCGTGGGTTTGAGAAGCCATGAAAAATAAAAAGAAAAGAGAAAGGATGATAATCCAATTAGTACCGGTTGATCCGATTAGATTTATTTTTTATTATTTTACTGATTTTATTATTAAAACTGATGTGTTATTTTTTTATTAGAACACATAAGAAGTTAGTAAAGTAAAATTACTCACTAATAAGTAGCTAAACATTATTCAAATATAAATTAAATATGATAACAAAAAGGTATCATTCTTCTCTTTATTGATATACAAATACATAATCCATGTTTTTATACATTTTAATTGAAAATGATATTTTTGGCCCTTCAAATTTTCAAAAAGTTAGTGAATGAGGTTAAAGAGGGGGAGATGATATGACTCGATCTTTAACATAAAAGTTAAAAGGTTAAGATTTGCTTTCATTTATTTGACTGTCCAAAGTCAACATCTTATATAGGTTTTTAGAATATAACTGAACATAAAAGTCCCAAGAGTAAGATTTGCTTTTATTATCTTCTTTTTTTCTTTTTTTCAATTGGTATTTACACACATTTGTTTTTTTTGAGATTTGAACAGTTGATTTTTCTTTAAAAAATATAAGACTTAAACCTCTATATCACTAACCCATTGATGCTTTCATTATCTTTTCATTTTAGGTTTGCATAATATGAATACAGTTAAATAGTTTCACTAGTAATATTTGGAATACCTGTGTGAAAAATAAATAAATAAAATTAATAATAAAAAATTAGATAGTTGTAAGAATGAAAATTCAACTCTTCATTGGAAATACGAATGGCTTTAGAAAGGCCATTATTAACGCAAATGATTCAATAACTTCGGTTAGGTCAAAGCTATGCAATTAGAATCGAATCAGTTATGATATCTTTCAAAATGACATAAAATGAATGTTTTAATAAAGATATTGGTGTACCCAATAATAATTTGGTCTCACTTTTAATGAATGACGCCCTACATTTTTCTACATCTACACACACACACATATGTGGAGACACACATAGTTGTTCATGAGTTTGAATTTGGTTATACAATAAGATTGGTTAATGTCATACACGTTTTGTAGCCATCAATATGAGAAAAAGAGACGTTACAAAACAAAAAGCCAATGCAGACAGACATGAGAAAATTGTAGTCCAAAAAATAGTTTGGTGGGTCAAACAAAACCCAACAATAACATCATCTGATCAACCAACCAAAAATGGCAATCTCAAACTACTTTTGATGAACTCCACAAAAGCTATGAACTCCCCAATCACTTTAACATCTGCACCATTCCTCATAAGTGGTGGAAAGAACAGCCAGAAGCTTGTCGCCATCACAAACCCTACCGTCAGTGGGCCGGACACGGCCCAGTGCAACTGCCACCTGTCCGTCAAAGCCCTCTTCAGCACAAACTCCACCACCACGCACAACCCGTGTAAAACAAAGAATGACGTCATCTCCCACGAGGGAGTCGCACGCGTGACATAGTAGAACAACAGCTCGTGCATCAAACCCGACACCGCAAAAGTCGCCACCACAGCCGGCAGTGGCGCCCACGCGCCGCCCAACACAACCGCAAACGCCGACCTCGCGGGGTTGTACACGGTGTGGCGAAGCAAATTGGTTACGGTGAGGTTCCACCGCTTTCCCCAGAAATCCTGAAGCGACGTGGCAACGTAAGGCTCGTCCGATGGCTGCTCGAGCTCCAAGCCGATGACGGCTCGAGCCGCGCTACTACATATGGCCACTATAATGTCAATCATGAGAAACACAAGGCAACAATAGAGTGTCAACACAATATTAGGATGCATAACCTCTCTGTAATCATATATCACACCAATCATAACAGAGAAGATTAAGGACTCTGTTGCTAAATTCAGAGGAATCTTTTTTTTGGGTTTTGTTGATTGTGAGTTTTTGGGCTTGATTTTGATTGGGAGACAAGAAATGGAGATGAAGAGAGGGAGGGAGAGAGGTGGGTTTGGGTTGGAGGATGAGAGTGGGCCCAGATCGAAACAGAAGAGGAGGAGCTTGAAGTTGGCGAGCCATGTGATGAAGAAGGTGGTGACGGCAGTAGGGAAAGCGTAGGTTAGAGAGAGAGGGATGATGGTGAAGAGAGAGAAAATTGGGAGGAGAGAGAGGAGTCTGTAGGTGCCTTTGGGGATCTCTGAAGCTACGAAATAACAATAGCACAGAGATGCTATGATTGATGACCATACAATCGTCAAGTTCTTGATCTCACCTTCCATTTTTCTGATTTAATTTCTTCTTGTTCTTCTCTATGGAAGACGATCAAGACTTGCCTTTTCTCTCGGCATTGCAGTGCAGATTCTCCATGGAAAATGTGATGTTTATATTGGGGTTTTGAGAGCCACTTGTTTGTGCCTAATGAATGCCTATACGTCATGTCAATATTTGAAAATTATTTATGAACACCGAGATAACAATTTATTATTATTACTCCTATTTTTTGGTAGGCGAAAATAAAAAAACATCAACAAACGATATACCAAAGTCTTCTGTCCCTCTATTTAAAGTAATTCTTTATTATTATTATTATTATTATTTAAAGTAATTCACACTACTTTAATTTTTGCGAAGGAATTTGGTAGGTAGGCCACACAAGGTTTTAGCCTTTTGGGAATATATAGCTTTTTTTATTAAAAAAAGAAGACTGTTGCACTTCCAAAATTATCCTTGCTTATCCTAATGGAACATGAACTGAATTTCAAATTAAATGAATTTGTTGAGTACGAAATAAGTAGGATGAGAATAGGTAGAATAAAATTAAATCTAGTTTTTATTTTTATTGTATTAGATATTGTTTCATAACACGAACTTTAAAAGATTCTTATGAATATTAAAAGGCAAATGGATTCCAAAATGTAAAACCACTTGGCCAATTACTTTAAGAACAATTATTTTCTTATTTTAAATTTAGAGAATATAGTTGTACTGGAGTATTTTAAGATTGCATAACACAACTCAATCCAGAAGCTAACCCTTCAAAATATAAAATAAAAATAAAATAAAATAAATTGAAAACTAAGAATATGTAGTGATTATGTGATGTGGGAATAGTATACAGAAGCTGTTACGCTTGCAGTAAAAACAAAATGATTTACTTAAGCAACCCACAGGTACATAATAAGGTCATGGATTACCAAATATGTTCCTCGCAAATCATGCCCTTCACGAGCCTAAACTGATCCAAAGTTCCATATATTCCAATCACCGACGCTTAATATGTTGACATGACTGACTACTTGTAACGTATAAAATGCATTGCCCTAGTCAATGTGTCACATACAAATAAAGATGGAGAGCTCAAAAAGTCACGCTCCATCATAAATCAGTCCGTTAATTCACATCATCATGATTTTAGGTTCAAGGCAGGAATATTGAACATCTATACAGTTCTACAATAGGTTCACTAATAAATGGACGAGAACTATACACTCTTATAAACTTTCCACTTTGATAATCTAATGCAAAATTTGATCAGCAGGGATAAATTATGGGGTAAGAGCATATGCTAAACTTCTACTCATCAAGCCAGCCATTTGTGTTATGCGGCGACAAGAACCGACAAGGGCCAGGTGCAAAGCCAAACGAGTCAGCTTGAAATCTTGATCCACGAGCTAGAGGATCATCGATACCATTTCTACTCACAGAAGGTGGCTCAAACCTAGGACTGTTCGTCCTTGTATGATTTAATTCTTCCACTTGAGGTGCATGTCGCTGCATTGTAGAAGCATTCATCCTACTGTAATAGGTGCTTCTTTGACTCCAAGAGTCGGGATCTTGTTGCCCAGAAAGTTGAACCTGTGACCTTATCTCTGACTCCCATCCAAGCTTCTCATCCATCTTGCTCATGTAGGATCTATAACCATGGCTGTGTGTATGCTCTCTCCGGTGGCCTGGAATATGCACCTCTGAATTTCTAAACTCATGATCACAACCAGGACTAGCACTGCTGGACCATCTCTGGATCACACCTGAATGAGTCTCCTGACTGTTCAAGCTTGATCTCCTTGCCAAATCATCAGCCTGCGTCCCACCATATCCCATTTGAGACTCTGTACCTGGTTCTGCACTGCTGTGATTGGGAGGATGCCGGTAACCTTCTTTGCCAACCTCTGCATGCAATGATGTCTCGAGAAAATTGGACTGGTTAGCATCCAATGATTTGTCACCAGTCACCTTGGTTGGGGAACGGTGAGACATTCCATTGTTCATCCTGCTCACAGGAGAACTTCTACCATTTTGTCTATCTTCTAGTGTTGTCTCACCTGATCCTTTATCATGTTGCCTCTTTTCAGCATTCTCACTAGATTGATTCTTCCCCTGGTCATGATTCTCATTGCCTTCCCTCTCACCATTGTTGCAAGTAAATCCTTCTTTACAACTTTCAGTCACATTTGCTCCTCTTTGTTGCAGCTGTTCTGTTTCTTCATTTTGAACTGGATGATAATCTATCAGCATGGGCGTTTCACCATTAGGCCCATGATGTTCCAATGGGTAATCATTGAACAATGCTCCGTGATTCGCATTGCCTTCCCTCTCACCGTTGTTGATAGTAAATCCTTCTTTACGACTTTCAGTCACACTTGCTCCTCTTTGTTGCACCTGTTCTGTTCCTTCATTTTGGACTAGATGATAATCTATCAGCATGTGCATTTCATCATTAGGCCCATGATGTTCCAATGGGTAATCATTGTAGAGTGCCTCGTGATTTTCCTCCAAAGGCGACTCCTCTCTTATCCTGGACGTGTGGCCATGCTGTTTGGCAATTGCCTTGTGCTTAGCAGTCCAGTTAGGGTGACTCCAAAGATAGAGTGGTGGTGGATTCACGTTTTTGTCATTCACATCAACAGATCCAGGTAAATAAAATGCCTGAAAAGGGGAAGAAGAGAAAATTTTAAGCCCCTGTAAAAAACATGCATGCAGTAGATCTAATTCAGATTCAGCCACAAGGGAACTGCAAAAAATGTCTAATTTTACCTTGCCTGCAAGCAACTCATCATCCTCCCACACCAGATCATAAGGAGGTTTCTTCTTATCCAACCTGGTAAAGGAAAATCAAGTGTGTGAGAGAGAGCATGAGAAGAGAAGGGGGAGGGGGGACAAGGAGTATTTGAGCAACTACCTTTCTGTCTCACGTGGAACAGTAAGAATAAGAAGCTTGGGCTTAAACTCAAGTGCCTTGTCTATAAATTTGTTTGCGAGGGTTGCATTAACTCCAAAAGGAGGATTTAACCCCATGATCTACTCCAGAAACAAGAACACAGATATGGTGAAACAATCAGTGATCGGACAATCAAATTTTAGAAATATTACTTAAATGAAAAACAACGCTTCTCACCAAGTGTGACCCCATTGGCAATTCCTTTGGATGGATGCTCATCCAGTCCCTCTTCTCAAAATTGAAATCATTCTGCAGAGAGAGAAACCGAGCAAGCAACGTCGAAAATCAGAGGTACAACAATAATGACGAGTAGAAAAACATCTAGCAATTTAAAAAATATATACAGGACCTCTATAAGCCAGACATCATCATTGTGATTACGATTCTTGTCATTGTTTTACTATGTTAAAAGAAATAAGAAAAATAGAAACCTGAACTTCAACAATCTCGACTGGCCTTAACCAAATCATACTCGGACAACATAGGCATAATTAAATAATAATTCGAAGTCCCACTTTTCATTCTACTATAAAACTTATGAACATCATCTATCAACAGAAGGAAATCACCAAAAAGTGATTTTAAACCATGGATAAAATTAATCTACGAGAGCTTAATTATTCAGCAGAAATGTACCAAAAAAAAAAAAAGATTAAATGAAAAAGTTTTCAAGACATTTTGGCACAGATTGAATTAGAATGTGCAAAATGGGACAGCTTATTTGTATAAATAGTTTAAGGTTTCAGTAGACGACAGATGAAAATGTTTAAAATAAAAGAAATTAAATAAATGCTCCAATACATAACAAGAACAAAGTGATATTCAGAACCATAGCAAGTATTACATAAAAAGCACGAGTAATAGTTTGCAACTATAAGAGACAACGGTTGAACAAACACGAGATATAAAACATGACTATTTGAAACTAATTTTCCTTTAAGCAAGGAAGATTTAACAAGGAGCTTATTTTCTTACTTGGATGATCGATGAAGGGGTCTAGGAAGTAAATTTAAACCTCCATATGGTATTTATTTACAATGAGATAGTAGATGATAAGGTGAAAAGATAAAACGTAAGGTGGCTTGTTGGACACGTGCCGGGCCGTGTCTAACATGTGTTGGTGTGAGACCCAGATTCTTTGACCTTTTAACCGTGTTCGTGCTTCCTAAATTACTATGGATGTGGGGTAGTAGAGAGTGAAACATGAGAGCCAATTTATTTACTTTCTTTTGGACAAAAAATATATGTGGATGCAAGATTATATAGTGGATATTTTCAAACATTGGGGGGGAATATGAGAATGTGAGAGATCTTTTGGATCCAAAAAAATCAGTGGGGGTAAGAAGGTGAAGTGGGGCATTTTTACAAATTGAGTGGGGGAATTTTAAAAATTTTAACAAAATATATAAGTAATACTGTAAAAAAAAAAAATTCAGTGGGGGCCAATGCCCCCACTGGGCCTTAATTAGGTCCGTGCCTGCTTGACCATCTTGAAATGACTAGTGTATTTAGTATTAGTTTCATAAAGATGCTTATATAAATGTGTTTTGTGTTTGTATGGATTATATATGGGACACTTCCTTCTTTTAGTGCCCCACATGTGTGAAAAAGTAAAACCAATAGCCATGACTACAAGTTAATATTATAACAAGAAAGAAAAATAGAACATCGAAAAACAAGGATAAAGTTTCATTTATGTAGCTGGTACCCGATCAAGCTGAAAACTGTTTATTAGGAAAGTTGAGATTACCTTGGCCTGTAAAATGTCGTAGTTCTGGTAGGAGCAATTCTTTCCTGTCTCATCGAGCTTCTTTTTCACAAGGCAACTGAAATCATTAGCCCCGCAAGAGAAGTCAACTATCTGTTCAAAGCACTAAGCAGTCAGGCCCTCCAAATTAAGAATAATGATAACAAGTAAAGAGAGAGTAATTAAATAATCTTCATCCACACTTAAAGCTGATCAGTTTGATTCAAAGCAACAAGGAGACCAACAAAATCTAACCCCAACATATCAAGCCCACTGATGGTCAACGTTCATTTTCTTGGTAACAAATGAGAAAGCATCCTTTGGTTCCATTATAGTTCAAGTGTCTATCAAGATTTAAATTCACAAAAGCTCCAATTAACAATTAGTCTGGTGACTCTGGTTCATCATGACAACTACTATTTAAAGGTTGTATCTTCCACCACACACACAGATATACATACATATACAAATATATGTATAAGCTAGTGCAATTCCATTGCTCAACTATTTTAATTTTCATTGCATCCATTTGGCTTCAGGACGGGACTGTCCTACACATAAAATATCCAATTAAATAAGAAACAAATTTTGTATATGCCTAAACTCTATCCAAAAGTATAAACTCTTTATTTGCTTGTCTAGTATAAAGTTTATAAGCATGTGATCACTGTTGGAGTGAACTTAGATAAGGATCCTCATCCTCATCCACCCATATTGCGGAAACATAGACCCCAAAATGCAAATGATATGTCGTAACAAATCAGAGCGCATCAAAGTATGGTCAAATGGAATAAAAATTCCAAACCAGCCCCCTTCTCAGTGCAAGGTAACATAAACTTATTCTAATTAGATCATCATTGAAATTAGGCGGACAACTATGCTCGTCACACAGATTTTTAGCAGACATAGATGAGCATCAATCATCTCATGTCCCCCATCATCTCAAAAAATGTTCAACAATGGACCACCCCATGTAAAAGTAAGAAATACAAATAAATTATGTATTTAGGCAATAAAGTATCTATATAACAAAGAAACATATGAGCACAAATTCTTACCATGTCGCCATCTTGTACATACCAATGCAGCATATCAACAATCTGCACAACAGAAATGTGGGCTTAAAAATTCATAAAGCTTGATGGAAGTGGTAACTTTTAGATATAAAAGGTATAATGAGCAAGTCCAAATATAAAGGAGAAAACTTGTAAAGAGGAACTCCAAAAAACTAAAAAAGCATCCTCTCAACAACTGCTACCTTTTAACTGAACCAAATTACTTGTGTCCAAGTACAACACGAAAATTGCTCCAAAGCATAATTTGAAATTGAGAACTCTAGCAATCAATATACCCTTTGTTAAACTATGACGAAACGTAAAACACACCTGCTTCATGCCAAATTGAAGTACATTTTTAAACCTTCTTACTTATTGCAAGAAAAAGTCAAACTTTAATTGTTTGGAAAGAAGAAGAAAACAAATGGAAAATCAAACTGGATCTTTTGTCTGAACTCAATTCAACAGGAATTTTTTTTTTTTTTTTTTCCTAACTATCTGGGTCACCTACAAGAATCCTATTTAGCCATTCTGCTCTATCTAAAACCATAGTCTCGGTAACAAAGGCCATCACACCTTCCCTATCTTTCTCAACCCATGTTAATTTTAGTCTCCTCCTTCCCTACCATTATATCCTCAATAAGCATTACACCACTGTCTCATCGGTGGTGCAGTTATTGACTATCATTGCACATGGCTGTCGGTATTCAGTCATTTATATCTTACCAGCACTACTTCAACCAACTCATGCATGTGTTTATTTTAATTTTCCTTCGTGTCTTGACACACATCTAGCTCAACATTGCATTCTTATTACACTCATTTTGCAAAAATGTTACTGGTACTTCTTAGGGCCTAACATTCTTATCCCATAAAGTATGGCTGGTCTAAAAGTTGTTATATAGAATTTACCACTTTCAATTTAGAGGAATATAAATTTCACCTTGTATGCAAGAATTACTCTACTTTACTCAACTGCTTGAATTTTATAATTCACATTGTCTTAAATTCCTCTCTTTAAACATAATTGAACCTACGTAGCGAAAATGTTGGCTTATTGGTATCTCTCAACCCTCAATATTAACTACATCCCTGCCAGTACTTCCGGCTTTACTAAAGTTACATTTCACATATTTAACTTTAACATTACTTTTCTTAAACCCTTTTAAATCTACAGCTTATGACGCCGCCTTACCAAGAGGATACGATTAAATCGTCTTCACATCAATATTGAAACAAAATAAATTAGAAAATCAAGAGAAAGGAGAATTGAAAGGCAAAATTTATTTGCTGTAAAATAATTCTCTGCAACTCAAAAACTGATCGACCCTAGAAATTACAATGATTTATATAGTAGAATTTATTCCTCCCCAATCCTAGCCGTATATTAGCTAACTACCAAATATAAAATAAAACCAACATAGGAAAGTCGCTAAAAATCAGAAAATTACACCAACTAAGGAAATTTCAGAATATGGAAGGTTTCTAAAAATCACAAATTCCATTGCAGAAAATTAGAAATTCTGCATGCATCAGCTTATCTTCAGACCTCCACTCTAATTTCATCAATTAAAACAATATAGTCAAAATATATAATATACACAATGAAACCTTAGTTAGAATGTATTTTGTTAGTTTGTCCGTAACTAAGACAAAAGTACAAAACGATATGGGCTTGCTACCAACCTTTGATGTATGCCTTAAATAATAAAAAATTCACTTGTCTTTCCCACTATGGTCACAATTTGATCATACGCGTCCTTTAACACATCAGTATATTCATCAGTAACTGTTTACTTTCTAACTAATGCTTATAGGATTTCCATGGGCAAAATACATAGAATTTTGGAATCAAACATGGTGTGATTGCTTAAAGAAGGTAACTGAGTTTTCTTCAAAGCTGATATCAGTTTATACTCAATCATATCAAACAGAAAACAAGGAACTTCGCATTTACTAGACAATTTAAAACTTCAAAAAGATAAAATTTCGGATTTTAGAGCATTAGAATTCAACATGCAACACAACTGACTGCAAAAAACAACACTGAGAGATAAAATGACAGAAATCTAAAAGTTCTATAAATTTCTGGTCGCTCCCTGAAAATCATGTGTGATTAATTGTGTCTTTATAATAATGATAAAAAATGTTGTTTGACCATGACATAGAAGAATTGCAATGCGACGTCCTACATCGCCTGGGGGGAGAGGTTGTTGGCACTTACATGTGTGGACACCTCCCAACTTTGTACACGCGTTTTGGGAAAAACCGTGAGCACTGAGGGGAGAGTGTGCAAAGAGGACAATATCTACACAGGTTATGGTGGATTGTGATAGATGGTTTTTGAGGCAATCCCCAACCGGAAGTGGTGGTAACGTGCACAAGCCCATGCGGGTCAGGCCATCAAGGACGTTGGGTCCCATGAGGGGTGATTGTGACTTCTCACGTCACCTGGGGGGAAGAGGTTGTTGGCACTTATGTGTGGACACCTCCCAACTATGTAGATGCGTTTTGAGGAAAACCTAGAGCATCAAGAGTAGTGTGCGCAAAGCGGACAATATCTACACGGGTTGAGGTGGGTCGTGACATGCAAAGTACTTGTAACAGTAAACCATTAACCTCATTTTCCCAATTCTTTTACTCTTATCTCTACTAGACACACACACATGCATGGTAGGAATCCTCTTAAACTCTTCATGTATGGTTGCAAAAACAAGATTTTATCAAATTGTATTTATGATGATTGCCTTTTCTTTGTACATCATCTGAACATTTTCTCAAGCAAACAATAAAGAGAGTACCATTCATTCTTCATAATATAATGTTGTTTAAAGAATATGCACAGATTCCAATTTTTTTAGCATGCCATGGTTGGCCTCGACAAATATAAGCACTTTGGAATTGAACTGGGAATCAGCCAATTTGATATGTAGGTATTTTACAATGAGAAAAACCAATATTTGTTATGACAGAACATTTGTTTTTTTTAAAAAAGAAAGTAAATCATCACTGTGATGTCTGCAACCATAATGCTAATTTAGATAAAAATCAAGAACATTGAACTATGCTGAAACAACACTAATTCCTTTACCCACTTCAGCCAATTCAACTAATGTCCTACTCTTCTGACACAGCTCAAATGACTGCAGCATGATTCAGCAAAAGAGTTTGAAATTTTAAACAGTTCTTATGTGGCCCTACCGCCCTACCATATAAACCAGGGTTGGCTTGATACAATTGGAGGCCTAAGGCGAAAACTTTAATGGAGGCCTCCAACACCACAAACTCCAAGTCATTTTTACCACCGTCTTTTCTTTTCTTTTCTTTTTATTTTTCCTTTGGGTAAGTTCACATTTACTACCATGCCACCGTTGTTCATTCAACTCTAAATAGCTCGTACTCAAGGTACACATCACATTGCAGACTCATCATATTTTTCATCACTCCCTCCACATATTGCACAAAGTAACACATCAGAGCTCTCACACTTATCCAGTCGAACACTACACTTAAAAATAATTATAAACACTAATTCACAAAGCCACATGGACATACAAACAATTACACTAACACAAATCATACACCACACATCCAAAACCCCATCAACCACTAGGACAATGTATCATATTAAACTACTCTAAATTTTTTTTTATTTTTTATTACATTCTTAGGTATGGGAAGTATTTGAAATTATCACAATAACAAGTAGTAACACTAGGTTTTTGAGAGAGAGAACTAATTATTTTTTGAATACTAGTAAAGCTAAATTTGAGAATTTACTTTTTTTTAGAAAATCAAATAAATTGGATAGATTCATAGCTCATGTTATTAAGAGACTCACAAACAAAATTGAAAGTTGCTAAGAAAAAGGAAGCAGTTGGGGACCTTCCCCCAAATTTGGGCCTTAGGCGAGTTTGATTGCATCAATCAACATGAACACACGTTCTTACAAGAAATGATCGTAGAAAAAAATACCCTTTTTTTTTCCCTAAGCAAACTTCAAAATACTAACCTCTTTTAGCTTCTCCACTTTTGTGAAAAGGCGACCAAAAGACGTGTAGCGCATGCCATAGAGAAATGGTGCAAGATACACCTTTAGCTTGTTCTACAGTGGAATGAATCAATTAGACACGTGAAACCAAGTGAAATATTAGATGCGACAACTATAATGTGCAAACTGATGCAATGAACTTCTAATGCAAATTTCTGATGACTAATTATAAGGCAAGGCGAATTTTTGCAACCAACACAATTCCTCTTCCATGACAGCTACAGAAGGTTCTATAATCCATTGAAAAAATTAGAAATGACGACAATTACCCCGCTAATATATTAATAAATACAATAATTTTCGTGACTAATACCATTTTACTTACACTGGCTATATAGATAGTATAAATTAAACCACACACCCATTTCTCACATCTCATAAGCTTCAAGATACGGTGTTAGCTATCAACATTCCTAATAACGTCATCAACATGATTTCATCTTCTGGTTGTCATCAGGAATGCGAACCAGGTAGAGAAGAGGGGAGGGAGAAGACGTAATCCTCTTGTATACAAGCTTTGTAAAAGCTGGATAGAAACCACAATTGAAACTAGGATATAACAATAAATCTATTTCTTTGTAAAGTCACAAATAAGCCCGTAGTCCAATTCAACCCTTCCCTAACCCCCAAAAAGAGGAAAAGGGGAAAGCTTCATACAATGGAGTGCTGTATTTTGCTCACAACAACTAGATGTTACAAGCATCTACTTCCAGTTAAAAGATTCCTAACGCGAAATGCGTGAATAATTTTTGTACCTATGTATCCAACAACAATCTATTGACACAAATCAAGGTGCGGTAAATATTTTTTCTAAGCTCAGAATCAGATGCATCAGTCTAAAAATAAATTGATGCACATTAATTAACGAATAATTAATACATAAACAATGACCATAAAGAAGTAAGGAGTATGAAGGCAAATAACTAGTTCCTCCTTTAATATCAACTAGATATTGGTCGTATACTTGCCTGCTAATATTAAGTAGATGTGAATCACAACCTATGTGAATGTTCTTCAACCCATCACATTTCTTCCACTTTGCATTCACATAATTCTCATTTATCCATTTTCTTATTTATTTACACATCAAAACTTCACTCACATTGCCAAGTGGCACTATTTAATTAAAAAAAGATACCCAAGCATTTGAGACACTAAAACGGGTACTCCTTTTTAAATCATGAGAATAGATAAAACGAAAACTTGAAAAAATAAAATTTTGAACAAACAATTGTTGACAGTTACCTTCCACTTAATTATCTGGTTCAGAAGCCCAGGCTCACAAACAGCTTTTGCATCTTCAATACTGCACCCTTCTTCTAGCTTCTGTAGAGCTGCACGAAGAGCCTGCACACACATAGTAAATTGTGTAAAATATTTCCTAGCTTAAAAAAAAAAAAAAGATTTAAAAGAAGAACCGTGTAAAGCACTTGAAACAGTAAACTTTGGCAGAAATTGGATACCATTTACAACCAAGTTAGACATCAAAATTATAAAGATATACCTCTACAGAACCCTCCACCTTTCCCAAGGTAATAGCTTTATCCACAAGATAGTTTGATGAGCATGCATGGGTTATTGGCATTTTGTGCTTTTTGATGATCTGTTCCAGTGTTATTGAAGATGACGCATCTTTCATTAAAGCCATTATTCTGCAGTACAATAAATAAATGTTAGAATATGACACAACCTAATGTATGCACTGCAACTAAAGAAAATAGATCACTGATAAGGAGAAGCACTATCATATATCACAATTATTTTTTTTTTTAGCAAAGACAGAGAGAACATAAAGAATGTGAGAATGCGGTGATGAAATAATACGCTTCACCTCCTCTTTGTATCAGCATCTAGAGGTAGTGAACTGAATGTTTCCTTTGCAACAAGCTTAGCAGTAGGGGTCCGCTCGAATTCACTATCAGGTTTGTCCTCCATCCCGCTTTCATCAGTAGTGGCCTTGCTGACTTTCACAGAGGCAGTCTTGTTTGAAGGCTTTCTGGAAGTATCCATTACTTTCTGTTTCTTCAAGGATTCAGGTCCACTTGATCTTCTCTCCCTCTTTTTGGAAGAATTGCCCTCCTTAATAGCAGAAGACAATTCTTCAAATCCTTCAGTTGCCTTCTCAACAGCTTTATTCCTAGGAGCATCTTCTGAAGCCAGACTTCCCCCCTTTGACGCTAACTTCTTTCTGCTTGAGAGCGGTGCTGAGGCTCGATTTTTCTTCTTTTCTGCCACTTTTGGGAATTTAATGTGGTTTCGGATAGGAGTCATAAATTCATCATCAATCTCATGTTTTCTGTAGAAAGAAAGAAACTAGCTGTTAATTTTTTGGAAGCTAGTGTAGACACAATTAACAAGAAAAGCAAGAGATTTTGAAAAACTTACAAGCAATAAATCAGAATACGGTTGGGGATAAGACCTTCCCAAGCCCTTTGTATGATGCCTTCATCCTCCAGATCTTCGAAAGCAATCTTCCTGATCAAAATAACCCAAGCATAAACCATATATTAAGAATACTTTAGACAATAAGAATTCATGACAATATAAAAAAACAAAATCTAGAAAAAACTTAAAGTAGTACCTAGGCAAGCATCTTCTGTGGTAGGATTTCGGACAACGTCTACAAACACAAAATTGCAATTCAGGATCCATCTTATTTTCTCCCAGCTTACAGACATGGCATTTATGGATAGGACAAGTGAAAGATTCCCCTGCAGCAATCTTTTTCTGAAGCCCTTCTTCGTCAGTTTCACTATCACAGTGGAGCAGTTTTGCAACACAATGTGGATGGTAAAAACGGCCACATGTTGCAGAAACACAGGGAAATACCTGATAAATTTTCAGGAATCAAAAACTTTGAGTAGTGCAGATGCAAATCTAAGTAATAATAAAGAACACGAAGAAACACAATTTATAGGAATCTGTGGAGGTATGACATTGATATGTTTCTTGATTAGTCTCACCTAGACTTTTGTAATAAATAGTTATTACAACAATCTGAGAGAAAACAGATAATTATGACTACTCTAATCAATTGCTAAGATGTTCATCTATCAAAGGGAAAGAGAGGGAAACCAGGGGCTGTGATTACAAATTAAAATGCAGCCACAAAAGGAATTACCAGAGCTCAGAATTGCATTGGGAAAAAAATGATCAGGTCTAGCAAGCATCTACCAAAGAAAATAAAAGCGGTGCTCTTCTTCACTGAATCCTATAAGCGATCACAGTGAGAACCGGGAGAGTGAAGTGATAAATTTGAAAACAAATTAGTTGTGAAGTATTGAAAATAGAATAGGATGTTCTCATGCAGGATATAAGAGAGAGAGAGAAAAAAAAAAAAAAAAGTTATAACCATACTAAAACATAAAAGGAATCAGCAAGGTCTCTTAGCAAAACTATATAACTAAGAAACAGGAGAGGAAGCAAACAAAGGAAGCAAATTATTTTGATGTATGAAGAATAAAAGTATCTAAGAAGCCTTCTAAGCCACCAAAACAAAACTCAAGATAGCACATTCAAGGAACTATGAATATGGCCAAGGAAAAAGAAAATAAAAGAAGAATGGCAGGGGAATCGTGCGTCTTTAGGATCTTTATCTAATGCATCTCTAGGAATCACTAAACTCATTTTGAATATACAATAATTTGTCAGTTTTCACAAATGTCCAGCATTAGACAGAAGATCATTTTAATCTTGCTTCATTAATGGTTCGTTGCAGAGGATTAAGATGGAAGAATGGAAGAAAGGATGGGGGTTGAAAAGAAAAGAGAAGGATAATTATCTCGCTCTTTGGTAGGACTGAAAGGAAATGAAGAGAGGAGGGAAGGCCCTTACTGGACCACCTATTCCTTCCTCCCAAAAGTGGGAGGAATGAGGAGGGAAAGAACTCCATCACCCTTTCTTACATTATTTTCCTTCAAACACCACCATTCATTTAAAATGCAAAAGTATACTTGTGAGATCATGAAACACCAAAATCCTTCTTTCAAACTTTTCTTCTTACTTAAACAAACAAAACGAAGGAACACCCTTCTTTTCCCCTAAAATAAATACCCTCCAGCTTCTATATACCTTCCCTCCCTTACAATTTCCATCCCTCATACCAATTGGAGCATGAAACTCTAAGTAAGTGATACTAGAACTTCAATTTTATAATGATCTTGATGAACTAGAACCACCTTCCATTTAATATTATAAATAAACTATTCTTAACATGGCCATTGCCTGGTGTATGGTAAAATGTCCTTGTTACGACAAACGCAGCGAACCCAAGAAATAATCACATAACACGACAAAAAATAAACACGCTACACACAAAGAACACAAAGATTGAGCACAGTTCGACACAAATTGTGTCTAGGTGAAGATCCTGTGAAAGGTTTCACCATGCGAAAAACAAGAGATTACATGTTTCAGCCCCCAAACCCTAGCGGGGTCGCAATGCGACTCGGAACCAAATTCGGGCCACAACATCACAATCCTACTTGTCAAGCATGAGAATGCAGGTTCGGATCCCGTGAGCAATCATTTTGGACGACGTCTGTATCCAGTCTGCCCCTCCTAGCTCCCTTAATTAAGGGAGACTTCACAGGGTAATGACCTCTTTCTTAAACAACCTACTCTTAATCAATTAGCATTTGTAATACTAAAGGGGAGGGGCGATAGAACAACCAACTTTAAAATAATAGTTAAGCTTTTTTAATTTTCAAAAAAACATACCTCAGCACCAGACAATTTATCAGAAGAGGCTAATTCACCACAAGAAAAGCACTGATGCTGCTTGTATTGACAATTCTTACAGAAAAAATCTTGTATTGCCTGCAAAATGTTACATGTATCTAAGAAGACGCTCTAAAGAACAAGAAAATGCAAACATAAAACAGTAATATGAAAGGACAACATACTTCTACTTGTTCATCAGAAAAGCCGAGAGATTCACACTTTGATTCAGAACCAGCTTCTACAGTTGCATGAAATGACCTCATGCACCTCCCTTCGCAACTGTATGAGATCACAAATGACATTACATTTTTTTAATAAAGTTTCTTAGGTGATGAGTTAAAAAATAAAATCACAACCCTCAAAAGTAGTTAAACAAAAGATTAGACAATAACTAGCATGTTTCACATATTTCCACCTTATGATAGTCTGCAGGTAAATATAAAGTTGGTATACCAAATAAAATTTACATAAAACAAAATTAATGAACAAGGTGCCCCATAGAAATGGCAGACAAGATTTACCAATTAAATAATCAGCAGACGATTTTAATGTACAAGTAATATGAAGGTGATAAACCATATACTCCATTTTTATGTTTAATGTGAAAGTGAAACAAAATTAACTAACAAAAAGAAGCCCCATAGAAATGACAGACAAATTAATCTGTCAAATACTCAGCAGGCAATTTTATACACTGAAACAAAAGATGCTCAACACTATTAATCTCAATCACATCTAGCACCAAATATTAAGTCAAGATAACCCAAAACTAACCATGCTAACAGATCCATTCAGACTTCCCTTTCTTCTTTTTTTTTTCTTTTCTTTTTTTTTTTTGAAGTCTTGCCTTCCAATACTGAATAGCTTTTCATTCAATAACTCGCAAAGATGAATCAAGGAAATTATTATCATCAAACCTCAATACTCAGTTGAAAACAGTTAAGTGTTAAATTGTGTTTGCTTTTTCAAAGAATATTCACGATTAGCACACATTCATAATCTTTCATCTCTGTAGCTCTTATATGATTAAAATATTTTAAGCTCTCAATAACGCAGCTATCCAAAAGAATATTTTTGAGGCTAAACAATTACTGTAAAAATAATTATATTACTAAAAAAAAAAAATCTTGAAAAAAAAGGCCGTTAGTTGCCCAAAAAACAAAACACAACAATGACCATGAAGCAAAAAAACACTTCAGAACTGGTGTACTTACTACTACGTACCAATTATACAAGATAATAAGCATTTAAAAATCATAATAAATATTATTGAGATAGTGATGAATAAATACAAAGAAACAGGACAAGAAATGCATACCACAAAAGATCACCACCATTGTCACAAATTGCACAAACAGAATCAAACAGGTCACTTTCTTCATCTGATTCATTTTCCTCAGCTTCGTCCATCATCTCATCATCATCAACTACAAACCCAGACTTTGCTGTAGTTCCAACATCCTGCCAGACAAATAATCATATTCACTCGAAACATGATTTTGTTGTGGAAAAGACCAAGAGGGTGGATGGGGAAGAGAATAGAACCTCATCAACAGCTGTCCTCTTTCTGGGCTTCTCCTCAAAAAATGGAACTAAAAACTGTTCAAACCACAGTTTTTCACCAATCATCAGTGTGTAAACTTGGGAGATTTAATGAAAAAAAATCATAAATCAATCCTCCAAAATATTTTGAGAAAGAAAAAACTTCGAATTTATATTTCGTTTGTTACCCATATAAATCGCTACCCTAGAACATATTTTCCATGTAAAACTTTATGCATAGAAAAAGAGAAGACTTTGATTTTATATTTTGTTTGTTTCAATGTAAATCACTACATTGGAACATATTTTCCATGTAAAATTTTAAACATAAAAAATCATGTTCCCTCTCATTTTCAGTTTCAATATTTATTATTAATTAAAATAAAAAAATATATATGGGCTCTTGATATGCTTGCAGTGCGGAAAATTTGTTAACCAGAGAAGCTCAATGACTTCAACCAGATATAACAATAGTGTCATCATATTAAGGTTCTTGACCTGATTATTGAATACTAATATGGGTTAAGTACGGAAAACACCCCTCTACTATGCTTACGGTACGTATCACACCCCTCATGTGCACAAAACCCCCAAACTATCAAATTGTGCAAATAAGTCATACAGGCACATTAAAGTTAGACATTGCCCAAATTAACCTTATATAGACATTTTACACATTATTTAAAAAAACATGATTTTGTGAAATGATAAAAAAGGGCACAACTTAAAAGGACAATGCTTAGGTCCTACCTAATTGAGCTCCACCTTCATTAATTTGAGTTTTAGTGAGAGAGAGAGAGAGAATAACCTCCTCGAATCACCAGTAGACTTGATCTTAATTACTTGACTCCACAAATTAAACCACAAAATAAATGGCAGAAATATAATCAGTTGTGAGCGTGCGTGCGTGTGAGAGAGAGAGAGAGAGATGCTAGGTTAAGTTTTTCCGTTTCCTTGTGATATACAGGATAGACCATCTACTTGTTTAGAAGATGTGCAGTATAGGGCGGTACGTTTTTACTTACCAATGTCTCATTGGTTTTCAGTACTTTATAAAGTTTATACATTTGACAGTTACTTGTATCCAAGGTTTGCAGTCACAATATTGATCGAGGTATTGGACGTGGTCGCGGTGTAACGGACTCGGGCTTGTATCGGTGTTACGTAACGGAATCAGTTATCGCAGTCGTGAATTTTTTTCAAACTCGCACATTGTGACCAAAAATGGACCGCTACGCTACTTTTTACAACATAATTCAATAAAGATGAATTTTTAGTGAATTTTGGTAATTTTTATTGGATTTTTTAATACAAAAAACACAAGTAATGACTAATTATCTTTTTACTAAATTAATAAATAATAATATATTTAAATATCAAATAAAATAAACATTCATACTATATTGGAAATAAAGTATTGACAATAAATGTTGAATCTTCTAATTTCTAAAATTTGAAATAAAGTATTGAAGGGTGTTTGAAATTAGTGTGGGTAAAGTAATAAAAAATTAATTAAGTAGAAAAATAAAATTAAGGAAAAACATAACTTATTGGACATAAGAAAAAATATTTTAATGAGATAATGTCGTAATTACAAAAAGATTGAGGCTTAAATTATAATTTTTATATAGATAAAAAGATAAATACAAAAAGCTACTGCCTTATTTTGATAAGGAAGTTGGATGCGTGGGTAGGGAACTGAACAGAGAAAAGAAATATCTATTTCGGTAACAATGGAAATCAAAAGAAGGAAATCGCAGAAAAAATTCCATTTGAGACCTAACAGATCTCTGTGGTGTCTTCTTAGGAATGAAAAGAAATCAGGAAAGGAAATATTGTCTTCATCAATGACGGGAAGAGCTCCTATAATCACATGAAGAAGGAATTTTCGGTTGCATCTGTAGGTCTGGAAAATTGGATCAGAGTTTCTTCCTTCTCTTTTTTCTTGGCCGGTTCTTTGCCTGAACTGGCCTGTTCCTTAATTAAATGCTGTTACGGTAGGAGTATCGGGTTCCTAGAATACCAGCCGATACTGATGTGCATACCGGAGCTCACCGGTACACCGATGAGTTTCAGTATCACTCCTTCGATAGAAGGTTGCGAACTGGCCGACACGTAGCCAACCGGCTGGTTCGCTGAACCATGCTTGTATCTTTATTCCCAAGTTAATCAACCAATTTTTCGTCTCCTACTGACTCTAGTTTTACTTCAACAAATTTTTTTATCACCATTGGTCCATTACATATTAAGCTTAATTAAAAGAACAGAAGAGTTCAAATGTTATGGGATTGCCAAATTAATCCATATGTTCAAAATCCTATGTTTTGCAAATTCCACCCCAAAGACATTTACTTTATGATACATGACCAGCTTTTGATTAATCCTTGGTACAATTCTCTCATACTATTGCCTCTAATTTACCACCTCTAAGCGGATCACTCTGCATTAATTTGAGTTTCTCTCTCTATAATATGATTTTAGTGAGAGAAATATATTAGTGTCAATATTAGCTTGTTTGGTGAGAGAGGGAGATTTGCTGGTGTATATATACATATACATTGTGTGCGTGTGTGTGTGTATGGGAGATAGAGATGGAGATTTGTTGGTGTATATATATATATATTTATTTATTTATGGGAGATGAAGATGGAAGTTAATTGTTAAGCCTCTTATGGAAGATGGAGATTAGCTAGAGAGAGGGGAAATCTCAAATGGGGGTTAAATAAAGTTGACGTGCATATAACACACCTCTGCTATGAAAAAATATATAATACACATCCCCTTGGACATTTTCGGAAGGCTGAAAGGGCAAAATGGGCATTAAAGCATTACTTTATGTTAAATACATGCAAAAAGCAATTTGAGGGGTGTTTTCACAGATTTTTAAAAGAATAAGGGAGATAATGGCACACTTTTTAAAATAGGTGGTGAAAGTGTTATGCGGAGTATACTTTATGGGTGTTTTCCTCACTTAATCCTAGTAATATCTCCTGTTCACAACTATTTGCATAGGGTGAGTGCATTTCTATAAAAGCTATAATAAAGAGTAAATGACCTAGTATACACTTTGCTTATATGACATACTAAGGATAAATAAACATAAAACAGTAACCATTTCTAAATTTGAAAATTTAAGAGAGAAGCAAGTATCAAAAGGAACAGTTTGAATAAGCAAAAATACCATTTTAAAGTGACAGGTCTCAGCTTCTTGTATGAATATTTAATATTATTAGGATAATGACTATAAACAAAGATGGTAAATTTGAAGAGCGAAATTTCCACCTGATGATTCAGGAACATGTGAATTGTAACTATTTTTTTTATCACCAAAGCATCAGCTTTTCATCGGGAAGACAAAAGAATTGACATTTGTTCTTGTATAATACAAGATAAATTGTTCAAAATTACTTTCCATCTTTTTGGAATGTACCTTCAAGAACACCACTGTGTCACTGTCAAATGGTGTCCTATTTTATATAAGAAAGTAACAGGAAAATGGCCTCCAATGTTTATCTTCGCTTAACTCAAGCTTCAAACATCTAAAAGTAATTTAGATTATAATCTGTTGTGATAATATATGTAACAGGCAAAATGGTACAAATTTTCAGAAACAATTAATAAACTTATTGCGCACAAAAGAATCATAATAAGCCCTTGCCATATGGTTTTGATAAGATAAGAAACCAATACGAACCTTGAACTTTGCTAAACTTTGGTCTTTTTTAACAGCTTCACTGATCAAAGTACTGTGATCCACCAGATCAGTCTCAGAAGGTCTGGTATCATAAAAGCTGCAAATTGCATAAAGTGTGAAATTTTCAATTACTACAGGAAAGAAAAACAAAACAAATAATAATAATAAAATAACATTGAATGGGCCGAGATATCTGAAGGAAAACCTGAAAACTTTAGACAAATGATTCCAAAAAGAACTCCCAGATGTTTCTGGATTTTTCTTCACGAAGTGCAAGCAGTGAATAGTGATCAAGATAGTCCTAATAGTATCCTGGAAACTCTTTCTTGGCTTTTGAAGCTTGATCCAATTATGTTCTTTGTATAGCACCGATATCTCTGGCTTTGCATCTGAAAGATCGAACTTCCATGCTGTGACTTGCTTATATATTTTCTGAAGCCCATTATCAGTAATCCCATGCAAGAATATTTGCTTTCTCTTGCCATCTGGGCTCTTACCCTTATTCCATTGAACTGGCAACTCTGCAAATGAAATGGGCTCATCCTTGTCATCAACAAAGTGGTAGTTCGAGACAGTATGTGGCACAAGTTCACCCTCATCATCTGAAGATGCCATTCGCTTCTTACAGTGACACGACTTGCACCAGCTGTTTACTTAATATTCTAACAAGAAAAGGAAAAAAGATTAAAGAAGAGATTTGAAATAGAAAAACAAAATAATAAGCAGTTCATACATTTTGAGAATAGAACAATTATCATCGCCAATAATACAAATTTTGACATAACTAGATGGCAACCCATAATATGACACTATAATATCAGTTGTGTGTTGTGATAGTGTCTCCATTTTTGTTTAATACAAAGATCTTCACTCAACAGCCGTGCCACAACCAACCATTTGCCATAGTTGGACAGTATTTTCATTCCTCATAAACCAACACAATACCAGGAACATAATTCCAAGTTTTACTTCATTCTCTGTACCATGTTGTATCTCAGCGCAACCAAATAGAAAGTTAAAAAAAACTTTCCTGAATTACAATAGGCCTAACGCCAAAATTTGGCTTGGTTGAAAGGAAATCAATTTTTTCCCCCTTTTGGGAACTGAAACAAAATGAAAAACACAAAATTTGAAGGACCTGCTTTGTTCAGAAAACTCAAAATCATAAAAGTGTGGGGGAAAAAAATGGTAAAATCAGTCTGGTTGCCAGTTTCTGAAAACTGTTTTATAATAACCCATTTAGGAAAAAAGTTCTCTTCATATAGAATTGTCTTATACTTCTCTTAAAACCGTTCTTTATATTATAAGTTCTTGACAACTGAACTTTTCCCTTTCCTACTTTCCCAAAACCCATAAAGTCCAATCCTGTTCGATAATTTATGGCATCATTCAATTACTCAAATACAATTAGATCATATGAAATATTTTATAAGTTCTTGACAACTGAACTTTTCCCTTTCCTACTTTCCCAAAACCCATAAAGTCCAATCCTGTTCGATAATTTATGGCATCATTCAATTACTCAAATACAATTAGATCATATGAAATATATATATATATAGAACCAATTTTAATGTCCCTTATTCAATTAATAATTTGGACTCCAGGAATCCCCAAACAGAGAGAGAGCATAGAAGATGAAGGTGAATGTGAATGATTTACCAGAACGCCAATCACCAGGGAAGTCACCGGAGAGCGGAAGCGAGACGGCCTAAACCCTAGATTATGTGTGTGTGGACTCCGTAAAGAGCTAGTGCGCGAAAGTTGGCGACGCTGTGTGTTTTCCTGCTGTCTGTGCAAGTGTACTCGGTATATAGATTGGAACGGAATTGGATTGGGCATCAAATATTTTTCTGATTTTATTCTTTTCTTTATGGATAAGTAGGTAACACAATTCTCTGAAAGTAGGATTCCTTTCCTTTTATGAAAAAGGTAACATAATACCATCAGAATAGATTGTATCCTGGACTGACCTGCTATCCTGGACTGACCTGCACTGGCGTTTCCCAATAAGAATTTACATATTTTTTAAATTTTAAAAAATAAAAAATATAAGTTATACCCATTTTTAAGGTTTAAGCCTCACAATTATATTTTTTTGTCCTTTCTTTGCTTATGTGTATCTCACTCACAGGGTCATTCATATCTTTCTTTTTCCCTAGTTCCGGCAACCAATAATTTCAAATCTGTAATAAATATGTGTATGTGTAAATATATAGCGAGAGAATAATGAACGGAGAGAGAGAGGACAAACAAAGAGACTCTGAGAGAAAGAGAGAGAGGACGAACAGAGAGAAAGAGAGAGAGAGGACGAACAGAGAGACAGAGAGAATGAGACTTTAGATTTTTTCATTTCAAAATTGTACATGCCCAATGTCTTTTATAGGCTTCAATAATGGCTTCTTCAGTACGCTTCCATAGCAATCTTCTTTGTAAGCCATAAAGACTATGATTACATGTATGACTTAATAAATTTGTGGAGCTCACAACAAATGTATATCTATATAATACTCCCCCTTGGGGTCCACAAAACTACACTAAGAATATGCCTCGTTAAAACCTTGCTAAGGAAAATCTAGTGGGACAAAACCCTAGCGAAGAAAAAAGAGTACAGAATTCTTATGTATCTTGAAAATGGTATTGCATAGATTAAAATTGCCTCATTAAAACCTTGCCAGGAAAACCCAGTGGGACAAAACCTGGACGAAGGAAAAAGAGTACAGCATACCAATACCTCTTTGATGAATTGCTCCCCCTCATTAGATCAACCCTGAAGATCCTTTAGTTGACGCATTCCAATGTTGTGCACCAGCTTCTTGAATGTTGTAGTTGGAAGCGTTTTAGTGAATAAATCTGCTAGATTTTCACATGAACGTATCTTCTGAATATCAATATCACCCTTTTTCTGCAGTTAATGTGCATAAAAGAATTTTGGTGAGATGTGCTTGGTCCTGTCACTTTTAATATACCCTTCTTTCATCTGTGCAATGCATGCCGCATTATCTTCATATAATATTGTTGGACTTTCTTTTATTGATGAGAGACCACATGTTGTTCGAATATGCTGGATCATTGATCTCAACCAAATGCATTCCCTGCTTGCCTCATGAATTGCGAGTATCTCAGAATGATTTGAAGAAGTGGCAATCATTGTCTGTTTCATCGATCGCCATGATATAGCTGTGCCGCCACAGGTAAACACATACCCTGTTTGTGAATAAGCTTTATGTGGGTCAGAAAGATAGCCGGCATCTGCATATCCAACTAATAGAGACTTTGGTGCCTTCAAATAAAACAAGCCCATATCAGTTGTGCCACGAAGATATCGCAATATGTGTTTGATTCCATTCCAGTGTCTGTGAGTTGGTGCAGAACTGTACCGTGCTAATAAATTGACTGGAAAAATTATATCAGGTCTTGTGCAATTTGCAAGATACAAAAGAGCACCAATCGCACTGAGATAGGGCACTTCAGGGCCAAGGAGTTCTTCATCATCTTCATGAGGACGAAAATGATCTTTCTTGATGTCCAGTGATCGGACAACCATTGGGGAGCTCAATGGATATGCTTTATCCATATGAAAACGTTTCAGAATCTTTTCTGTATATGTTGATTGATGGATGAGAATACCGTTCGAAAGATGTTCAACCTGCAGCCCAAGGCAGAATTTTGTCTTTCCGAGATCTTTCATTTCAAATTCTTTCTTTAAATAAGTGGCTGTCTTTTCGATCTCGTCCAATGTTCTCACAAGGTTCAGATCATCAACATATACTGCAACAATAACAAAACCAGATTCTGATTTGTTAATAAATATGCATGGACAAATATGACCGTTCACATATCCTTCTTTGAGTAAGTAATCGCTAAGACGATTATACCACATTCGTCCAGATTGCTTCAATCCATATATGGATCGTTGTAATTTTATTGAGTGCATATTACGTGATTTTGTTTCAGGCATTGTAAATCCTTCTGGGATTTTCATATAAATATCACTATTTAGTGATCCATATAAATATGCTGTAACCACGTCCATTAAATGCATATGCAATCTTTCTGTGACTGCTAAATGTATTATGAATCTAAAAGTAGTTGCATTAATCACAGGGGAATATGTTTCCTCATAATCAATACCAGGTCTTTGTGAGAAACCTTGAGCTACAAGTCGGGCTTTATATTTCACGATTTCATTTTTCTCATTACGCTTTCGTACAAACACCCATTTGTACCCAACAGGATTAACACCCTCAGGTGTCTGGACTACTGGTCCAAATACTTCACGTTTAGCTAATGAATTTAGCTCTACTTGTATCGCTTCTTTCCATTTTGGCCAATCATTTCTTCGTCGACATTCTTCGACGTTTTGAGGTTCCGGATCCTTATTTTCAATATCAAGAGCAACAAGTTATGAGAATATGTTGTCGACAACAATTTCATTTCTATTCCATCTCATTTCATAATTTAATGAGATCTCATCATTTTCAGGTACCTTTGCCTCATCAAGAGCATGTGCCTCATCAAGGGCCACATCATCATCTGTTGCTTTTGCCTCATCAATATTTATTATTTCATCATTTTTAGGTACCTGAGACTCATCAAGAGCATCTGCCTTATCAAAGGCTATTATCTCAGATTGATCAATAATATCTGTTGCTCTTTTTGTGGCTTCTTCAGGAGTGCCAACTTTTCTTTGTGATTTCCTCTTACGAGAAACAATATCTTTTGCACCAACTGGTCTACCACGCTTCAGGCGTGTTTTAGATGCATTTGCTGCATTACTGACAGAAGGTCCCTTAGGGACAGCAATTTGTGCTGGTACATTTGCAGCTGGTATATGTGATTTTATCACTTTCTTTGTATCAGTAAATGCATCAGGTAATTGATTTGCAACATTTTGCAAGTGAATGATCCTCTGAACTTCTCGTTCACATTGGTTTATACGAGGATCAAAATGAGACAATTTCAGGGCATTCCAAGTAAGATCACGTTGCTGCTGTACCTTTTCTCCCCCTAATGGTGGGAAAACAGTCTCATCAAAATGACAGTCAGCAAATCGTGCATTGAAGACATCACCTGTCAGGGGTTCAAGATATCTAATAATAGATGGAGAATCAAAACCAACATAAATTCCAAGTCTACGTTGAGGACCCATTTTAGTGCGTTGGGGTGGTGCAATTGGAACATATACAGCACAACCAAAAACTCGTATGTAGGAGATATTTGGTTGTTGTCCAAAAACAAGTTGTAATGGTGAGTACTTATGATAAGCAGTTGGTCGTATACGAACTAATGATGCAGCATGCAATATGGCATGACCCCAGGCAGAAACAGGTAATTTTGTTCGCATAAGCAAAGGACGACCAATTAGCTAAAGTCTTTTAATAAAAGATTCAGCCATACCATTTTGAGTATGAGTGTGTGCAACAGGATGTTCAACATAAATTCCAACTGACATACAATAATCATCAAAAGCTTGAGAAGAAAATTCAGCGGCATTATCAAGACGGATTGTCTTAATTGGGTAATCAGGAAAGTGTGCCCGTAATTTGATGATTTGAGTAAGAAGTTTAGCAAATGCAATATTACGAGTAGAAAGTAGACAAACATGTGACCATCGTGTTGATGCATCAATTAAGACCATAAAATAACGAAATGGTCCAGATGGTGGATGGATTGGCCCACATATATCCCTATGAATTCGTTGTAAAAATGGAGGAGACTCAACAATGACTTTTGAAGGGGATGGTCTGATAATCAACTTACCTTGTGAGCAGGCGGTGCATAGATGATTATTTGGTAAGATGATTTTTTTGATCCTTTAGTGGGTGACCATGTGAATTTTCAATAATTCGACGCATCGTTGTACTCCCTGGGTGACCAAGTCGATCATGCCAAAGTATAAAAAGTTTTGGGTCACAAGATTTTTTATGGATCACAACATTTGACTCAATTGTTCTAATGGTTGTATAGTATAACCCAGAAGAGAATACAGGGAGTTTTTCTAATATCAGTTTCTTGCCTGAGGTAATGGAAGTAATGTAGAGATATTCGACATTTCTTTCATTTGCAGTCTCAATATGATACCCATTACGATGCAAGTCTTTAAAACTCAGCAAATTTCTCCGAGATCTTGTAGAATATAAGGCATCATTGATTTGTAATCTAGTTCCATGTGGTAAAATGATGTTGGCTCGTCCGGAGCCTTCAATCAAGTCGGTGGGACCTGATATGGTACTGACACTAGCGTCTGTCAGAGTTAAGTGGGAAAAATATTTTTGATATCGAAGGATTGTATACGTTGTTCCGCTATCTGCAAGACATATGTCTTCACCATTTATTTTGGAACTTGTCAGATCCATTCCTATTCATGCAAATTTCTTTATCAGAAAAAAAACTTTTATAACAAAAACCTTTAATACAAACTAGAAAATAAAAACTTTAGTACAAGGACAATAAAAAGCATAGTAGACAGTACATAAAAGAAACATAAGATTAACTGGTGTGGACATTTCCATCACCAATCAGGAAGTCTATCCTTCCATCACGATCATAAAAAAAATCTGATACATCCAGATTGGTGATGTTAACTGGCTCATCATGATTAATGAAATTCATTTCCAGATTTGTGGTGTCAATTGGCTCATCATGATCAAGGAAATTCATTTCCTTTTGTTTTCCCTTTTCTTTTATTGAGGCTTGATACAGATCAGCCAGATGCTTCGGTGTACGAAAAATACTTTGCCAATGCTCTGTCATGCCACACCGATAGCAAGTATTATCATGAGCCTTGGAAGGTTGAGCCACATCCTTTCCTTTTAATTGTCTCATTTCATTATGATCTTTCCTTTGAGGATATTGTGTGGATCTCTGATTGCGAAAATGTGAGGATTGATATCCTTCACGATAATAAGAATGATTTCTACCACGACCATATTCCTTATTGTGGTAGTTATTTTTGCCACGACCATATTCATTTCTACCACCACGACCACGTCCACGTCCGCGTCCGCGTCCGCGTCCACGACCACGGGATGAGGCAACATATGTTTCTGGGATCGGTGTCGATCCAGTTGGACGGGACTGGTGGTTTCTCAATAAAAGTTCATTATTTTGTTCTGTCACAAGCAAACATGATATCAGCTCTGAATATTTTTTAAATCTACGCTCTCGATATTGTTGTTGCAAGAGTACATTCGAGGCGTGAAATGTGGTGAATGTTTTTTCTAGCAGAAGTTCATCAGTAACAGTATCACCATATAATTTCAATGTAGAGCTGATTTTGAATAGGGCAGAGTTATATTCAGCCACAGTTTTGAAATCTTGCAACCTCAGTTGTAGCCAATCAGCCCTGGCCTTTGGGAGGATAACTGTTTTTTGATGACCATATCTGTCTTTCAAATTGTTCCACAAACAAAGTGGATCTCTTTCAGTGAGGTATTCATTTTTCAGTTCCTCACTAATATGGCGCCGGAGAAAAATCATGGCCTTTGCTTTATCTTGCAATGATGCATCATTCTTTTCTTTAATTGTGTCTCCAAGGCCCATGGCATCCAAATGGATCTGAGCATCCAAAATCCATGATAAATAATTTTTGCCAGAAATATCCAGGGCCACGAATTCCAGCTTTGTCAAATTTGACATTTTCAGAATAACTAGATGTGACAACAATATAAAAATATAATTTAGCATAGTATATAAAATAAAATGACATTAAATGAGATAATAATATAATATAAATTATTTAAATAATAAAGGTGGTAAATCCAGCCATAGTAAATAAATTAGTAAAAAAAAGCGGTAAAACCGGCCCATAAATCATTAAATAATAAAGGTGGTAGAACCGACCATAGTGTAAGCACATATATCATTTAAGTGAACAAATTTATTTTATGAATAATAATCCATAATTAACATTTCCTTACCCTTTGGAGTCAGAAATATTATTTTATCCGATAAAGCAAACAAACCCAACAATCTATCAAAACTAATATCACAAAATAGATATATAGTTGGGATAGAAAGAGGGAGAGAAAGCTTCTTCTTCAAATCTCAAATGGGTTGAGCGTCGTGCTGATAACGTGTAATAAATATATGTGTATGTGTAAATATATAGCGAGAGAATAATGAACGGGGAGAGAAAGGACAAACAAAGCGACTCAGAGAGAAAGAGAGAGAGGACGAACAGAGAGACAGAGAGAATGAGACTTAAGATTTTTTCATTTCAAAATTGTACATGCCCAATGCCTTTTATAGGCTTCAATAATGGCTTTTTCAGTACGCTTCCATAGCAATCTTTTTTTGTAAGCCATAAAGACTATGATTACATGTATGACTTAATAAATTTGTGGAGCCCACAACAAGTGTATATCTATATAACAAAATTCAAATATTTCCTAGGAGACCTCCACTTTTTAGAATAATAAAAAATATTTTAAATTTCACATAGTTTTTTAGAATCATATAAAAAAATAATTAAAAAAAAATCTGAAAGAGTTTTAAAATTACTCAACTTTGAATGTATCTTCTTTTAATTCTGATTCTAGAGAACAACCCATGAAAATTTGTCTTTTCTACCATTTTCCTTATTTTTAATTTTCTTATGATAGAAAACTATCATTTATAAAATTGAACTAACCATTTCTATTTCTCCCTTTTCAAAATCTACCTCAACTATTTTTTATGCATGCTATATATAAAAATTATTCCTTTTTTCACTCAATTCTACGGTGGAATGATTGGCAGTCGGAGTTAAGGAAAAAAATATATATATATGCAGTTAAATATGTGAGTGAGAAACAAAGAGGGGAGCAAAGAGAGAAAAAAAATAAATTTGTCGGGTTTAACCCTGAAAAATGGGTATAACCCATGTATGTATAATACACATTTGTACGTGCACAGCACGTACGGCTAGAATGAGCCTAATGCACCCAACATCTTTCCCAGAAAAATAATGACGCACCTTCACAGATGTGATATTGTTAGCAAACGCTTAACAAATGTGATATATATGGTCCCATGATATTCTATAATTCTATAGACTTGTATGAAGTTATATTAACTTATGTAGTCATTATTTAGAATTGTATAAGAATTCGGTAAATATTCTACATACTTTTTAGAACATTCTAGAACCTAGTTAAATAGTATACACTTGTATAGATCTTAATCATTCGGTTACCGGCCAATAAATAGAATGGGAGCTCATGAAATAGACTTATAAAAACTTCTTTAAATTTTGTCTACTGTTTAATTTATGTTATAGAATTTATGGTGAATTTTGAGAGCTGAGTTGCGGTTTGATTTCGTTCATAAAAATTCTGAATTATTATGTTAGTATGTAGGACACAATTTGTCCTTATGGGAAGTATTATCCATATTCTAACCAGTATTATTAATCACTTCTTCACATAGGATTGAGATTACGTTTAACAACCCAATCCAATTAATCTTTTATTATACCATTTCAATTTAAAAATAAATTTTTACTATATATTTACGTCATGAGAAAGTTGTCTTTAGAATATAAGCACCTTTATCCATATTTTTATAAGTGTATTATTAACCCTTATTCTTTAAGAAATGAGCGAAAACACCACTTAAATTACTTTTTGCATAGATATGACACAATGTAATGTTTTAATACTCATTATACTCCCTAGCCAACCTTTGTCCTGGTGGGTTCTTGTTGAAGGTTCGAGACAATTACCTGAAAAAAAAATACGGTTTATATTCTCTTGAAAATTCTCAGTGAAAGTCTGAGTGCTTATAATATTTTGATAATTTATCTAGTGGTGGGGTGTTATGTGTGCATTAACTGTATTACCCACTTTTAAGGATTTTTTGTCATTTTTCAAATTAAAAAAAAAAAAAAAATCTCTATATATTTCCGACCAATGTATTATTTCGCATGACTTAATGTCACTCATAAGTTAAAAAAAAAAAATAATAATTTATTTTATTGGTCAAATGGAGATAATATATATATACTGTTTTGAAAATGCCCAATGAAAGTGTGTATGCTTATAATTTATTTAGTGGTGGGGTATTATCTGTGCATTAACTATATTACTCACTTTTAATGATTTTCTCTCATCTTTCAAATAAATAAAAAAATCTCTGTATATTTCCCTACAGTGTTTTATTTCGTATGACTTAATGTCACTCATAAGTTATATATATTATCTCCATTTGACCAACAAAAGAAATTAGATTTTTTTTTTTTAACTTATGAGTGACATTAAGTCATGCAAAATAATACATTGTTGGGAAATATATAGAGATTTTTTTATTTATTTGAAAGATGAGAGAAAATCCTTAAAAGTGAGTAATATAGTTAATGCACACATAACACCCCACCACTAAATAAATTACAAGCACACACTTTTATTGGGCATTTTCAAAAGAGTATATATATATATATATATATATATATATATATATATATATATATATATATATATATATTAATTTACAATATATCATATGGACTAAAAACCTCAGTCATTCTATAATTATAAAAAAGATAAAATTATTCCCCATTAAAATTTAATATAATTATCATTTTTTATTAAATAAATAATTTAACAAATGGTGTTCAATCTTTCACACACACACTGCTCTATACTCGTTCACCACACACACACACACATGTAAAATTCATTACATAACTACGAATGGGCTTCCAATCTTTAAAAAATAATAATAAATAAATAAATACCGGGCGATCAATATATACTGAAAAAAGAAGGGTGTTCAATTACCCCACCTTAAGGGTGTTTTCCACACTGTACGCTACATTAGGGGTGTTTCGTCATTTTACAAAATAATTTTTTTTAAAAAAATAATATGCAAATTGTCTACACAAGAGTAATTTGGGCAAAATCTATCTTAAGTGTGTCAAATGAGACTTATTTGCAACAAATTGATACTTTATAGGTGTTATTCATACATGAAGGAGGTGTGATACGCATTGTAAGCATACTATAGGAATGTTATTCATATATGAATGTGTGATATGCACGGTGGGTATACTATAGGGATATTTTCTGTAATTTATACATTTTAATAAAGTATAAGAGAATTAAAATCTTTTTAAATAAAAAGGGTTAATTTTATTGATACCTCTCAAGGTTGATAAAATATCACATTGAAATACTTTTTAAAAAATTACTATCACTAAAACCCCAAATTAGTTTTCCGTCACCTTTACTGTTAAAAAATTACAAAATGACAATTTTATCCTCTTTTTTAAAATTTATTTTAATCCAAAATATCAACAAATTTAAAAGACAACATTGTCCCTTTGCCCAATGTAACCCACTCCCACACCCACACAATGTGTACAAACATTAAAATTAAGCTAGGTCACCAAACCTTGAAGATATAATTCTCGAGTGCAAATCAAACCCTAACAATAAGCTAGGTCACCAAACCCTAAAAACGTAAAAATAATAAAATTAAATGTTAAACAAAAAACATTATTGTGGATATTTTAAAAAAATTTAAAAATTAGAATTTGATTGAAAGTTGTTGGGCTTGCTTGCTACTCTTATCATTTAAAATTTAAAAATAAATAATAGAAAAGCAAGATCGGTATCTATATATATATATATATATAACCTTGTCAAGATAGATATAGGTATTGCAATTAAAATATAAGAATGAAAAAAAAAAAAAAAAAAAAAGACCTGTCTACGATAATTAAAGAACTGACTCGTATGATTGACCAAATGGGAATACAATTGTTCAACAAAATTCTTATCTAAACATTGTGATTATATTGCACAATCATATAAATACAAAGTCTTACAATCAAACAATTGGTATTGCAAATAAGTAGATCATATATTAGACTTGAGGCATGTTTGTCTGTTCAATCACTCTTTTTTTGGACCACCGTGTGAATGTTGATCATTAGCAAAATTCACTCAATCTCTTTTTGGGCCACCGTATGAACGTTAATTGTAACAAAATTCCTTATTTAAATCCAATCAATTCATAGGTGCTCAAGGATAATCTGTATTTTTTTCTTCCAATAAAAATAGTCAAATAATTAAGGCCATCTCACACTTTGTGACTCGAGCCTCCTTTTTGAGGGAAGGGAGGCTATACCGAAAAGGACGAGGTTATTAAGTAGACCTAACCATCCATTGGTTTCAACGCTCAACACTTATATGTTACTAATATACTACACCCTCACTGTCTTATTAATTGTCCATTTTTTATTTTATAACTTTTTAAAGAAACTGCAATTAAAGTATTTTCTTCATTTTAAATTATTAAATTGTCCTTCAAACTTTAAAAATATATATAACATCAAATTGTAAGATTTTTGAAAAGTTAGAAGGGTAATTATGAAAAGATAACATTTATTTTGTTTGACATTTCAAAGTGGACATTTAATTTAGAACACTCTAAAAAGGGAAAATGGACTATTAATAAAGAATAGAGGAAGTATTTGATGTTATCTTTATTCTTAATTCAATTTTTAGACCTTTTTTTTTTGGTTGAACAATCGAAACTGAAGATGTGACTAACAAGAAAAAAAAAGCGGTTTTATTTTACAATTAATTAATTGTATTGAAACATGTGTGAAGAACCTAATTAAATTCATAGCATACTCAGGATTTTTAAATCGAATTTAAAAATTTTAGGATTGATTTGGTTTCAAAATACTCCCAAACTGAATTGTGTGCACCCCTAATTAATGTCTAGTAGGGAACAATCTTAACTAACACTGTTTCAAGAAAGCCAATAATAAAAACACCATCAAAGTTCAATTGCCAGAGGTATGTCATATTTCTGTAGAACAATCTTAAATTTATTAACAGCAAATTGTTTTGCAAAGAACTCTATAATCACTGAACAAAATTACAATATAAACAAAAACCACAATACCGACGACGACTATCTGGCAGCTGCCTATACAAATGGCTAACTAGCTAATTAAGGCAAAGGAGCCCCTGGTTTAAATGTGAAGACAGACAGAAGAGAGCAGAAAAAGCCAAAACAAATATCACAAACAAGATGTTGATGGTAGTTCGTGAACAGGATAAGGAGATCGTTCCACGTAAGTCAAGAGATCTGAGATCAGTATCCAAGTGGAGATCCAAGCAACACAAGGGATTCTTTAGGTACGGAGATTAAAAAAGGGAAGGACGACCTCGGTACCATGCAAACTCGAGCTTATCAGAGGATAATTGTTAATGTGGTGGTTGATGTCCTTTAAGGCTGATTAACACCCCTATTTATAGCGTTTACCTCCTCGGTCAATGCATTTTAGTCCTTTAGCTGATCCCACTCTTATCCAAAGGTTCGATGGCCTCTTCTTCTGACGGACAAGACGCTGATGGATGGGTCGTGGCACTTTGCCCCCCGGTCAAAGGAGGTAACGGCGCTCCCTAATTAATGAGGGTCTTATCAAATGTCTTTCGCAATTAATGCTTTTCTTATCCTTCATCGCTCGAGCTTAGGTACCGAGTATCCTTTCCCCCTTGTGCTGGCCTCTGACTGAGGCGACCCCTTAGATCTCAGCCACCTATCCACATGTCCTCAGATTCCCGTGCTTCAGTGGGGAAAGGCCCCCTTTCGAGGTCCTACCTTCATGACCTCGCGGGTTCCCATCCCAGTTCTATCCCGAGGTCTTCTTTGCCAAGAAGGGAAATGTGTAAACAGGTAAGTCGAGGTTGCTTTTTCAGAGAGTACCTTTGAGCGAGCCAGGGGGGGAGGAGCCCATCCGACTGAAGCAGGGCGCTTCCACAGTAGAGGAAGGGTAGCGACCCCTCCCTCGGCCAGTGAGTTCCGTTATTGGATAGGTAGCTCGAGAATACCTAATCCACCGTGGGCACGCCAGGTCAGCACTGGCCAGTTGTGCCTATGATGCAAAGGTGGCGCCACTTAGTCAGCTACCGTGGCACGGTCATCAACATTTTGCCCCCCTACTCAAGGTCGTCGAGAGAGGGGCTCGAGCAATGTAATACCCCTAATTTTCAAAAGGATATAATGGAAATTTAATAAATTATTTATGTGCATTTTAAATTGATAAATTGATTATTTGTTTTGTGTGCATTTAAATGTGATTATCTGGCTAAGTGGTTAATTATTTTACTTGTTTAAAATTGGTATTGTGTATTTGTTTTATGTTGTTTATTTATTTTAACTTAATTACGTGCAATTGGGATTTATTTTATTTATTTGATTAATTGGTTTTTTTTTTATTATTATTATGTGTTTTTAAATGGGTTGTGTGACTTGTTTGATTTAAGTTATATGGTTGTAGTTATATTTACGTTTAGGGTTTTGGTGTTAAGTATTTTAGTTGGCCGACTTATACTTGGGCTGGAATTAGGATTAGGGTTTTTGCATGAGTCTATATATATAGAAAAATATTTGTCAGCAAGGGTTTTGGAGACACCCTTTTCACGTAATAATCTGGAGAGGTAAACAGAGGGAAACTAGAGAAGAGAGAAACAGAGACGTTTGAGGGGAAAAACACAGAGGGACACAGAGAGAATCAATTAAGCTTTCAGCTATGGACTAAAGGTGGACCATAGAGGAAGGAAGAGGTTGATGCTGAGATAGAACTGGAGCAGTAGGAGAGTTGCCGGTAGTCTACAGTTCGTCGGAGAATTTAGCAACGGCATTGAAAGGTTTCAAACCGAAACCTAAAGGCAAGTTTCATTTTATCTCCTTCCTGTAAACTTGTGTTCTGTGCATTCTCTATTCTCCGAGAATCTAATTTAATTATTAAAATGGATGTTTATGCGTGATAGAGTCTCTGTACAATTTTAAACCCCTGTTCGCTTTTGAAACTATGAACTGTTGTGTTTTGGTTTTAAATTTTTTTGTCATTAATTTCACAAGAGAATTTGAGGAGTTTCTAGGATTTAATGAACTTGAATTGAACCCTAGGAATGTAAGAAAAATTCTAGAACGGAGGGTTGAACTTCGCCGGACACGAAGAAGATAAACGGAGAAAACATAAACTGTTGCGTTCATGGTTTAAGCTTTTGCTAGGTAATTCATGCTGGAATAAAAGAAGTTTCTAGGCTTGTTAGGACTTAATTTGAACCTTAGAAATCTTCAACAAAAGGTGGGATAGAGGGCGGAGGCTTTGCCGGACACGAAGAAGGCAACACAGAGGAAGTAAAGAAGGAAAAACGGAGGCTAGGGAAGTGGAAGCGGCTCCACACTTCAATGGAGGCGGCTCCATTGAAGTGGAGCCGGCTCCACAAAGAGTTGAGCTGGCTCAACTTAAAATTGGAGGGGGCTCCAATTTTATAAAGTGCCCAGTACGTGAATTTTGTGATTTCAGGGCTCCAGTGTGTGTTTAAACTTGGTTTAATGGATTTGAATGATGTAATTAAATAGGATTATACCCAAGAATGATTAATTCTACCCATGAATAATTAATTCATGTTAGGAACTTGATCAACTTGGGATTTAAAATTAAATTCACATGCGGTTTACGGCTTGGAAGAAATTAAATTTCTTGTCATGATGTTTAAGCAAATTTAATGGAGAGGTTTTAAAATGATGTATTTAATCTATTAAAAGACCTAGAATTATTGGTTGAGGCTATGGGAATGGAGGGCATGACTTTTAATTATTAATTAAGCATACAGTCAAGGAGGGTGGAAGGGTTAATTTCTAGCGTGGTACTAGTAAATTAAACGGACTAAAATAAAAGTTATTTTTGTGAGGTTATATAAATGAAATATATAATGTATGGGTCCCAGGAATGTTGGTTTCTATTATAGTTATAGACATCATGAAATTTAGATACTAAATTGTATGCTGTCAGGAGCAGTGGAAGTTGCAATTGTTAGTCTCGCTTTAGAAAACTAAATAGACTAGCATGGAGGTGGTTTTGGCATTCAAATAAAATGTGTTCAGTTTTTATAGCTGAGTATCATTAGATTATGCTTCGGACTTATAGTTGGGGATTAAATAGTCGCCATGAGAATTAAATATTAATTTACATTACCGAAAAGGATTGAGGAGGATTTATATGTGTAATACCCCCTAATTTTGGAACACGGGTTGATCAAGTCCGCGCACAAAATCAGGGGATATCAAACCAATTAAAGTATTTAAACAAGCACGGATTACAAAATGAAATAAAGAATAAAATAAAACGCTAAAGAAATCCAATTAATAGTAAATCCATTAATAACTTCCAAATGGTTACAACTCGGGAATCCCGTAACTCAAGGACCCCTTAACCAAAAGTTACTATTTAGAATTTCAACCAAATAAGTACTAATATCAATTGAAACAAAACTAATATCCTACTTTTAAGTAAATAGAAGGAATGGATAAGTCCTCCAGCTGCGGATCCTCAACCTTGAGACTTGACCTTCTACAACCTGAAAAATAAATCGCGGGTTAAACCCTACGAGCAAGTTCTCTCTACCAAGCCTCTGAAAACCAATAAACAGATCATCTTTACCAAAACCATCCCTAATTAAGCTTTAACTTTAATATACGATGCTACAAATATATATAAATACTTATATATATAGTGCAAGAATCCTACCAGTTAATAGGGCATTAAATTGTCAAAACCACTCACCAATAATTAATTATTAGTCATACCTAGACCAAGCCCCCCCTTTTATAATTTTCTCATAAAGTAAACCCCACTCACCTCAACTCCACCCTAAACAGTAATTTAGTTATCTACACATATAGCAATTTAAATATGCACCGGCAAATCAACCATACCATTTATAAATATATTTATTTATATACTAGCAATTCAACCATGCTTCCTTCAATATATTTACTTTTACAATTAATTAGCAATTCAACCATGCTTCCCATATATGAAATTTATTCATAACCAATAAGGCAGTATATCAAAGCCTTTGGCAACTCATCCATGCCTACAATTCAACCATGTATTAACTTTAAACTTAACTCTAGGTATAATTATACATAGACTTCACATGCATATAATAAGCATGTCCTTAATTTAATAACCGTGTATCTATTACGATTTTAAATCAACCATACTATACACGAATCAAGTCATACCAAACAAGATTTATAATATTTAATAATCTTAAATAATATATATATACACATATATTTTATAATATATATATATGTGTGTGTATCATACATTCCATACCAATCGTTGACTATTTAAAATCATATCTACATATATATACACATATATACACCTCCTTTCATTGCAAAAATATTTAATTAATTATATTTATACCACTAAATGCTACTAGGTATCTTAGTAACACTCTGAGGCTTTCAAAATATCAAGAACACACCCTCTAATGATTAATTTTAACCCTAACAAGCTTAAGATAAATACTGGAACTTCACCGGAGTCTCGAGCAACTTTCCAGGACCTCACACGCATCCCCACGCGCCTTCACGCGCCGCCACATACCCCTAGACTACTCCCACGCGCCTCCACCCGCTTCCCCTTACCGGCAGGCGCGTCCACATGCCTGCACGCGCCCTCACGCGCCTGAGCCACTCTCGGCGCGTGTTGGCAGCTCCTAATTGGTTGTTGTTTGGTGCTCTTGGTAAGCCGCGATGCACTGGATCCTCTCCCTTAATCAACTACATCTAACCATTGACGCCGCATGTGTATCAGCTTACAATGGACCGCATCACACCAGATCAATCAAACTAAATTAAATTAATCCTATGGCCTAGATCAACGAGTGCACCCTTTTCCTACGTACGCGACCACACTGGATAAAAATCCTATTGATGCGCAAATACTAGCCGCCTCCAGTGTGTTTGTTAAACAATTTAATATATATATATATATATATATATATATATATATATATATATAAAACAATTTCTAAATTAACATTAAAAATATAAATTAATTTCAGAAATTGTTCAGAAATCTCAGAAAAATCCCAAAAGCTCTATTTATTATTTTGGGCATAAATGAACATATACAATTAAATTAAAATCCATTTAATTTAATTAATCGTGCTACATAAGGTTAACGCAAAATATAAAAAATTTAGCAAAAATAAAATTTAATTAACCTAACCTCACATACAAGATCTAAATTATCAGAACAATGTATACATATATTCACATGTTTAATTCTATAATTTTGTAAAGAATAAATATGCTCCTCCAATCTGAATAATAATTTAATTTAATAAAATAAAATTATAATTTCGATAATCAAGGTGATAAGTTTATGAGTTCTAAGAGGAGAAGTAGAGAGGAACTCGCCTTTTCTTTTCCAAATCCGGTCTCCTCTTACGTTCTTTGATCCGGCCTCCTCTTCGTTAGCCCTTCTTCTTCTCCCTCTAATTCTCTTATTTTTCTAACGTGGAAAAACTCCTAACCCTAAAGTCTTATGTGTCTATTTATATACATACAAAAACTAAATCTTTTTCCCATTAGGATTATCATATAAAATAAATAATATTTATCTTTTAAATAATATATATACATACATATATTTTACTATAAACATATATATATTACCTTCCATATATAACCATTAGTTAAATAAATTATATATACCTATATATATCAATATATAATTATATTGACATATATACCCCTCCACATGATTTAATAATGAATTAATATACACATGTAATTATATAGGTATAACTATGCAAAGATAATTATTAAATATCCTCACAACCACGGGCCTTTACCAATTAACCCAACAAGGCTTCCTTCAAGCCCAATACCACATCCGTTGGTCCAACTTCCTTTAATCCCAACCCAAATAACTTAAATACCTAAAATAATGAAATTAAATAAAGTTACACCAACATAAAATCACGCAAATCAAATAAACAATTCACTAACTAGCATTCCACAAATCAAACACCGTATAAATTTAACAAATAAAATTACAAAATATATAATTTAATTAAAACAATACAATTTACCTACGCACTTAATTAAATAAAACAAATCACAACTATCAAGCACCTAATTAAATAAAACAAATCACTTAAAAATAATAATAATAATATAATATAAATTAATTTAATTAATAAATCCTTTTTACAATATCGGGGTATTACAATATGCTAGTCTTCGTTTTAATAATGTAAATGAACTAGTATGGATGTATTGGTTGGGAATTCTAGTAGAATGTGCAGTTATAATTCTGTTATTCATTATATTATGTTATGGATGATAATTGTCGAATTGTCATAATTTCTGTTCTGTCAATTATATGGAAATTGATGGCTTAAATTGTTTATCGGTACTTTAACAATTTAAAAGGAGGATCTATGATTATAATCATATACTGGATGCATAATAGGATCTTAATAATACCCGTTTTCTATTATGCTGGTTTCTGGATTTATTTAATATTCTAATGAATGTGCATCATTTGTGGATCATTTGCATTATATGTACCGGTGTGGGACGGTGACATATCAGGGATGGATTAGATCAAAAAGCTAAGTCCTATCCCTTTCATACATACGGAATGGATTAACTAAAATAGTTAAATCCTACATGGATGCATGTCCTGTCAACTAAAACAGTTGAACGACATAACGGATGGTTGTTTTATCTTTCTGCGTTAGGAATGAATTTATATATATATTTATTGTACCGTGATACGAGCTTGAGTCTCCTGATCACGGTTAGGGTGCGTATATTGCAAAGGTTGAGTAGCTAGATATAGCTAATGTTCCCTGGTAGGTCTAGGTACTTGGCCGCTGAAAAGCGTGTTTTATATGTCACCTTCTACCCAGGCTGAACTATGTTATAGGCTAGTGAGCATCCTATAGTGTGTATTTATATATCTATGGACTATTGTAGATATTGCCGAGCTATCTAGGATGTATCTGCGTATTGGGTTTATGTACGGATTGTAGTAGGATGGAACTTGCATGTGGGCCTGACCCACCTTTATTTTTCAGGTGCTCGTGAGTACCAGGCTTAGGGTTTGATCGTGGTGATGCAGATACAGTCACTCACTCTTCCGACTACATAGGATTTTCTTTCTTATTTTGGTTTTGGATTTTAATTCTGTAAATGTTTTACCAGTTGGAATTATTAGGGGTCCACTAGATGGATTCCCGAGTTGTACGGATTTGAAGGATTTAAATGTTATTAATTTATTATTTTTAAGTTGAGGTTTTTTTTATTTTATTTTAGAATTCTTTCAGCGTTTTGTTATTTTATTCTTAATTCAAATTTTATTCATGCTTATTTATATATTGATTGTCTGGTATTCTTCGAATCTGTGCCCGGACTTGATCACCCGTGGTTCTAGAATCGAGGGGTATCACAGTTGGTATCAGAGCACTCCAGGTTCTAGTGTCTTTAGGAGTGTCTTTCATTAGAAGTCTTCCGCGTTGCGTCTCTTAAAAACTTAAAGCCATATTAGGATTCGTAGTACTCTTTTACGGTTCAATAGGAGGAGCTCCTGGTGTCAATTATATTCCATAATTATGGAATGGTTGACACTAGAAGGAGGATGGGGTCTGCGGCGACAGCAAATCAGACCGAAGGAGTAGAGGAGTACGTTATCGAGTTCTCTATCAGAAGCAGAACTTGGGATTTAAGGTTTAGTTCCGGTTGGCATTACTTTTAGAAGTATAAGCCAATGAGGGATATAAGAGTGTGTTTTAGGTCCCCGTATAAAGGGACTAACACGATTTTAGTTATTCTCCTAAAAGAGACAACCGGGGAATAGGAGTCCAAAGAGGATTCTAGTGGAGGAGATTTCAACAAACTCAAGAAAGAGGGTATTAAATGTTGAAAATCAGGGATCACGTGAAAGTGATCTTGTTCGCTAATAGTATAGTGAACGATACTCATAGAGTTGAGGTGGATAGTTAACTTTGTGTATTACCTTTAAACGAGGTAGATAAAGGGAACTCTTTAGGGGTTTGAGAATTGGATGAAGTTCTTCTCAGAACGAAGCAAAGATTATATAGCACGTTCCGGGGAGTATGGGGATTAGGTTTTGACGATCTAAGTTGCTTTATACAGCTACAGTAGACGGTTTGTATCCTGTATATAAAGAGGATGAAGGTTAAGCCTTTGGCATTTGCTGAGGCAAATGGAGTTGGTTTTGAGCTATGTTTCGAGATTGGGTGATTACCTCCGAAACTGTAGAAAGGAGATTGTGAACCAATCGGGTAAAGTTGATTTCTAAAAGAGATTTTCTTTGTTAGGAGGAATGATGTTTTACGTAGGGGTTTATTGTGTTTTATTGCGTATGCTTTATGTGTTTCTTTTTCGTCAAGTATTCAGGATTGGGAATACGGTTTAGTTGGTGACCCAAGTGAGTGATCAGTTAACTACCGTTTTGGAGGAATAGCGTTAATTACGCTAGGATTTTAGGCATGTGATCATAGGATTTGGTAAGTATATCTAACTT